CATACATACATACATACATACATACATACATACATACATACATACATACATACATACATACATACATACATACATACATACATACATACATACATACATACATACATACATACATACATACATACATACATACATACATAGGATAGGATATAGGATAGCATACTTATTCATTAGACTGTTCACTGTAGCTCGTTTATTAATTAGAAATTTCAATGTTGTTTGCAAAAATATATGGTAAAATCTCAAGGCCAAAAGACTTGTCTATCTCTCACAAATCTAAATTTTTGCTTTTGGTTCATGCTCCTAGGGGTACCATTACGTATTTTGGGCCATTTTTTTAAATTGACAAATAATTAATGAAATTTTACTTCCATATTCCTTGTTGCATGCAAAAATATGAGGTAAAATTCCAACGCCAAAAGCCTTGCCAATCCATCCCAAATCGAAATTTTTGATCTCAAAAAAATGGATTTTGGTTTCGAACTCCCAGGGTGTACTCTAAAGAATTTTGTACTAATTTTTCAAATAGATAAAAAAATAATAGAAATTTGGCTTGAATATTCCATGTTGCATGCAAAAAAAATATGGTAAAATTCCAGGTCAAATCTAATTTTTAGATTTGTTGTTTCCCTACACATTTTCATGTATTCTTAGCCTCCATGTTCACCTTTCCCTTATCATGTCAAACATATGTTCACCTTTCCCTTCAATGGCCACCATATCAGTGAACTCACCCCCTACCCCGAAACCCATGGGCAACAATTCAATCAAATAGAGACATCATAGTGCTACTTATTCATAAATTTCAAACCAGCCATTGGATCCATTTATACCCAATTGAACCCATTTTGACCCAATTAGATCCAATTGGATGCCATATTTCAGATCAGGTCTCTTCCCCTCGGCCCTCACCCTAGCCAGACTACCGACGTCCGCCGTTGGCGGGTCGCTGGAGAAATTAACGGAAAATGGTCCAATTTCAATATAAATTCAATTCAATCAACAAACAACCAAATTCAAAATCAATTATAAGATTATACGTCAATGAAGTCCTAATATACAAATTAACACAAATGATAGGCATAGAAACCATACCTCACCTTGAAATTCGAAGAAATCAACCTTGGATCGAAGGAGAAAGGGGTCACCGCTGTTTCCTTGTTTCCGTTGAACTAGTGCGCGAAGGACGAAGGGAGAACGAGAGACGCTGGGAATCGAAGAAGGCTGCTTTGGGAGTTCGTCGTCCTCTGGTCGGGGGAAATCAGCGAAGAACGAAGGGCGGAAGATAAGAAAAAACGGGTAACCCTAGCCTCAGTTTGTTCAAGAACTTCTTCTTCCATTTTTTTCACTTCCAACAAAACACTTCATTATTATATTAAAAAACCACTTTTATCCTTACTTTTTCATACCCTACCTATCGCATCATACTTTTCTCTAATAATCTATCCATCGCATCTTACTTTTACCCATCACATCAGGGCAAAATTAGAAATGAATTATAATTTAACTCTTCGTGTTTTTTCCAAACGGAGGGAGTATGTTACTCCCTCCGCGTCCACTATATGTGTAATTAAAATTGTATTGACTTTCTTATTATACCCCTCACCACTATTTAGTATTTACCCCCTCCACCATGACTCATCTACCCTTGCCAACACCACCTCAGCCGACGACTCTCCAGCACCACCGACGACGAGTCTCCGGCACCCCCAACAACGACTCTCCGACATAACCGGCGACGACCTCTCTAGTTCTTGTCACTGACATCCCGTCCGCAACCCCGCCGTCGCAGATCTGTTTAGGTTGTTGAAGACAACCTGCAACCCTGCCGTCACATATCTGTTCTAGGTGGTTGAAGGCAACCTGCAACCCTTCGCCGTCTTGACCCCCGCCATCGAAGATCTGGTCTAGATCTTTTCGTTGGTGTTGGTGACCACCTTCGACGATATCTGTAGTTCTCCACCATCTACCATCGCCGCCGATCTGTTATAGATCTGTTCGTGCCATCACTTTGCCTAACCCAATGACACTGTAGGCATTGACGATGTTGGAGGTGAAGGCCTGATGACATTAAACGCTGTGACGATATAGGCAGTGATGGAGGCGGAGAACGGAAGAGCCAAGAATGGCTATGATGGCTGGGGGATTGAAAGAAGGATAATGTTGGCTGAGTTTTGAAAAAAAGTAAATTCCATAATTGGTCCTTTATAATAGGGGGTTTCCCCCTCTATTATCATATATTACCCCCGTAGTCCTTTTTTTAAGGGTATCTTTCCACACAGTGGCGGAGCCAGTAGGGGTGGGTTCGTTTTTGGCGATTCGGTTTTTACCCAAAACCAAAGACAAAATGGAAGGTAAATTGGCAGTTCGGTTTTGCATAAAAAATATGAAAACCGTTGGTTATTCGGTTCGGTTTTTTACGGTTTTTATTTCGGTTTTTTTCGGTTTTTTCCGGTTTTTTCGGTTTATAAAAGTAGAAATTTATAAGCATTTAAAAATTATAAAACACTAACTCGATGAAACAATAAAAATATGTAGTGTTAGTTTTGGTTTTTTTGTTTGATTTTTACACAAAAACAAAAAACCAAACAAAAGGTTATTGCTCCTTTTAGTTTAATTTTACATAAAAAAATGTACCGTGGAGTGCCAACAAACATTTAAAAGATTCTAAATACTTCCAAAGACATCGTATGTAAAATCAATTATGAAGAATTTATATTTTTTGTATAATACTTTCAATTTAATTATAACATCAAAGATTTTTTATGTAAATATATAAATTACGCGTATCAATTTTTAATCTTAATATGATTCTATATTAGGATTACTATTGGTGTTCATATATATTCTTACGTTTTCTAAAGTTTATAATAATATGGCTAGAATATTTAATTAATAGATGAAAAAATAATTTTAATCGACTAGTAATTTATTTGCATTTATATTTCTATGATTTTTCTACATATCACATATATTCATATAAATAAAGTGAAGTATCTAAAAAAGTTTGGTTTATTCGGTTCGGTTCGGTTTTTCAAAGTGAAAACCAAAATGGAACCAAATACTAACGGTTCGGTTCGGTTTTTTTACATTCGGTTTCGATTTTTTCGGTTCGATTTTTTTACTAGCTCGTTTCGATCGATTTCAGTTCGGTTTGCGGTTTTCGGTTTTTCCAACCCAGCCCTAGGAGCCAGGAAAGACTTCATGGGGGGCGAAAATTTATTTAATAAAAAAAAAATTCATAATAGTAACTACCTTAATTGGTAAAGTGCAACTAAACATAGCTTCTATTTGTGCAAAGGAGTAAGAGTTGATTGGGGTCGTAGAAATTTTTTTTGAGATGCCAAGTTTTGAATGCGCTGCATAATAATTTCATCATTAATGCTCCTAAAAATTTCTTTCTCAAAGGAGCACAACAAACAATCTGATAAAAACTCATCTCTCAAACAGTTGCGTAAATCAATCTTGACAATATTCATTATCTTTTATCACTTATAAATTCTAAATTCTTCTTTTGTCTAATAACAAATTTATCCATGTCACGTCTCAAAATTTACTAACTCAATAATAAAGTAACAAAATAAAATATCAATAACCTTAAAACAATAATTTCATATATCTTAATCTCTAGAACTTGAAATTAACATTTATCAAATACGGAGTATTTAAATATCAATAAACACACTGGAACCACGGAACAAATTAAATATTCAAAATTCAAAACATAATTTAGCAATATTCAAAAATTTCAAATATTAAGAAACAAATCTCGAACTTAGATAATTGAGTAAAATTTACATATACCTTCTGGTTTCCGATTTCCGGTTTCGATCGTGGAGACGGTGGAGTGCAGCCGAATAAGCCGATGAAGTGCTGAACGGCTGAAATTAATTAAAGTACTCCTTATTTCTTCATGAATCATGAGTCATGACCTATTGACCTCCGTATTTTGTTTTTTGGCTGGTACTCCACTACTCCGTATTTCTTCATAAATCATGACCTCCGTAATTTTTTTTGGGCTGACATAATGACATTTAAAGTGACTCCGTTTTTTGGGCTGGGTCAAAGCCCAAAATCATTTTTTTAACCCTTTACAAAAACGATGTCGTACGGGATTTCTTTTTCTTCGGGAAGGGCTCCTTCTTCTTCGAGCTGCTGCCGCCGGCCGGACCAAGGAAAGCTTCGAAAAATCTGGGGGGGCAAATTCGGCCTCCCATCGCCGATTGGGTACCTAATGCTAATTTGCCGGATTTTCGCCGGGGCACTTGCCCAGGCATGCCCCTGTCTCCGCCCATGTTTCCACAAATGGTCCTTTTTTGATTTTCTGCCGTGTTGGTGTTAATTTAAAGGCTAAAAATATAATTTGACGTCAACATTATGTCTAGTGACGTGTTCTGATATTGGTTAAGCGGATAACACAAAAATAATGACTATGATTGTGGGCTAGGAGTCTGACGAAAGATCAAATTTGTAGACTATAGTTGTCGAAAAAAGTGAATGTAATTCACAAACGATGCGAACGGAACAACCTTTAGAATTGTGTATGACAAAAAAGATATATTATCATTGTGAAATTACACTTTTAGCCCTCAAATTAACACCAACATGATAGAAGATCAAAAAAAGGACTATTTGTGGAAAGGTACCCATAAAAGGACCACTTGGGTAATATTTGATAATAGAGGACTAAATAGGGAAACCCCCCTATTATAAAGGACCAATTATAGAATTTACTCTTTGAAAAAAGAAGCAAAAAAGAATGGTTGTGATGGGGGAATTGATTTGGGCTGGGGCAAAAGAGTCATTTACATGTATTTTTTTTACCAAAAAAGAAAATGGGAAGATAATTAGTGGACGAATTGAAAAGGAAGTGGGAAGATAATTTATGGACGGAGGAAGTAAATTTTTTAAAAAATAATAAAGGCAAATGTCCCCCTCTTTTTATTTTTTAGTAGTGGGGAACAAGTTTGTCGCTATTTTAATTATATTTCTTTTGTATCGCCCTTTTTAAGTTTAAATTATTCTACCGGGTATGTCCGCCTAATTTATTTCAATTAGCTACGACACTAGAGGCGGAAATATTCTCCGCTAATAAAAATTTAAAATAGAGGGGGAATAGTCCCCTGCTACGTACTCTGCCGCTAATTGGAGGCGAAAAAATCCCCCTCTAAATTTCCGTAGCTTATATGTGAAATTCTAGTAGTGGTTCTTAGGTGTACCTTCACGCATTTTGGACCAATTTTCCAAATTGAAAAAAAAAACAAATAACAAAACTTGACTTTCATATTCCATGTTGCATGAAAACCTTCAAGTCAAATTTTTGGTCCTCAAGTTTTATCATATATTTTTGCATGCAACACAAGTCAAATTTTTTCAATGTTTGGTCCGTTTAAAAAATTGACCCAAAATACGTGATGGTACACCTAAGAGCTCGGAACAAAAATAAAAAAATTAGATTTGCAAGGAGTTGTCAAGTTTTTTCCCATGAAACTTTACAACATGTTTTTTCATCCTACATGAAATATTCAAGTCAAATATCTATAAAAAAAATTATCCATTTAAAAAATTGGCCTAAAATGCGTTAGGATACCAAAATCAATTTTTTTGAGGTGATAAAAAATTTCGATTTGGGACGAATTGACAAGTCTTTTGGCCCTAAAACTTAACCTCGTATTTTTTCTTGCAACATGGAATATGAAAGACAAATTTTATTAATTTTTTGTAAATTTGAAAATTTGCCAAAAATGTGTTATGGCGTACCACTAGGAGCACGAAACCTAAAGCAAAAATTTAGATTTGGGATTGATAAACGAGTCTTTTGGCCCTGATGTTTGACAATATATTTCTGCATGCAATATGGAACTTTCAAGCTAAACTTCCTCAATTTTTGTCCATTTAAAAACATGGACCAAAGTGCGTGATGGTACACCTAAGAGCATGGAATAAAAATTTAAAAAAAATTAGAATCAGGAGGGATTGTCAAGTTTTTTTGCCTTGAAATTTTGTACACATATTTTTGTATGCAACATAGAACATTCAGGCCAAATTTCCATAATTTTTATAAATTTGAAAAATTGGCATAAAATGTGTTAGGGTATACCCCTAGAAGTCCAGAAGTAAAATCATTTTTTTGAGGGGATTGGAAAGTCTCTTGGCATTGAAATTTTACCTCATATTTGAAAAATTTCTCCAAAATGCAACATAAAACTTTCAAGCGAACTTTCCTTAATTTTTTGTCTGTTTAAAAATTTGTCTGGAAATGCATGGTGGTACACTTAAGAGCTCGAAACAAAAATAAAATAATTAGATTCACGAGAAATTGTCAAGTTTTTTTGCCCTGAAATTTTTCCACATGTTTTTTCATGCAACATGGAATATTAAAGCCAAATATCCAAAATGGGTGATGAAAACCTAAGAGTTTGGAACAAAAAAATAGACTTGGGAGGAATAATTGTCAAGTTTTTTCCATGAAATTTACCACATGTTTTTGCATACAACATGAAACATTCAAGCCAAATTTTCTCATTTTTAAAAAATTTAAAAAAATTGGCCCAAAATGCATTAGGATACACCCCTAGGAGCTCGAAACCAAAATTAATTTTTTTTAGAGGAACAAATTTTTTTTATTAAGAATAGATTGACAAGTCTTTTGACCCTAAAATTTTACCTCATATTTTTTCATTCAAGATGAAATATAAAAGTCGAATTTTGTTAATTTTTTGTCAAGCCTTTTGGCCTTGAGGTTTTACCATATATTTTTCATGCAATATAGAACTTTCCAGTCAAGTTTCCTCAATTTTATGTTCATTTAAGAAATTTGCCCAAAATGCATGCTAGTACCCCTAAGAGCTCGGAACAAAATAAAAAATTAGATTTGGTAAAGATTGTCAAGTTTTTTTTGCATTGAAGTTTAACCACATATTTTTACATGCAACATAGAACATTCAAGCCAAATTATCCATTTGAAAAATTGGCCCAAAATGCTTTAGGGTACACCCCTAAGAGCTCGGAACCAAAATCATTTTTTTTATTTGGGATGAATTGACAAGTCTTTTGGCCCTAAAATTTTATCACATTTCTTTGCATGCAACGGGGAATATAATATTAAAGTCAAATTTTGTTATTTTTTTGTCAATTTGAAAAAATTGGCCCAAGATGTGTGATGGTATCCCTTGGAGCACAAAATCAAAAGCAAAATTTAGATTTGAGAAGATAGACAAGTCTTTTGGCCTTGAGATTTTACCATATATTTTTGCATGCAACATAGAACTTTTGATGGTATACCTATGAGCTTATAACAAAAACAAAAAAATTAGATTTCGGAGGGATTGTCTATTTTTTTTGCCTTGATATTTTACCATATATTTTTTGCATGCAACATGATATATTCGAGCCAAATTTCATCAAATTTTTTATATTTGAAAAATTGGCCCAAAATGCGTTAGGGTACACCCCTAGGAGCTTGGAACCAAAATCAATTCTTTTTAGGGGATCAAAAATTTTGATTTAGGATAGATTGACAGGTCTTTTCGCACTGAAATTCAACATGGAATATAACAGTTAAATTTTGTTAATTTTTTGTCAAATCAAAAAATTTCCCAAAATGAATGATATTACCACCCCTAGGAGCACAAAACCATGAGTACACATTTAAATTTGAAAGGGATAGATAATCCTTTTGGCCCGGAGGTTAACCACATATTTTTGCATGCAACATGAAACTTTCAAGCTAAATTTCTTTTATTTTGTGTCAATTTGAAAAATTAGCCAAAATGCATTATTACAGTACACTCCTAGGAGCTCGGAACCAAAATCAATTTTTTTAGGAGGATCAAAAATTTTGATTTGGAATGGATTGAGAAGTCTTTCGGCCGTGAAACTTTACCTCATGTCATTTCATGCAACATGGATTTTTAAAGTCAAATTTTGTTAATTTTTATCAATTTGAAAATTGGCCCCAAATGTGTGATGTCCCTAGGAGCACGAAACCAAAAGCAAAAAAATTAGATTTTGGAGGAATAGACAAGTCTTTTGGAAATTTTAATCCAAGTTTTCTCAATTTTTTATCCATTTGAAAAATTGGCCCAAAATGCGTGATAGTACACCTAAGAGCTCGGAACAAAAATAAAAAATTAGATTTTGTAGGGACTATCAAATTTTTTTTCATGAAATTTTATCATATATTTCTACGTGTGACATGGAACATTCAAGGCGAACAATTTTTTATTTATTTAAAAAAATTGGCCCAAAATGCGTTAGGGTACAACCCCTAGGAGCTTGGAATAAAAATCCATTTTTTAGGGGAATAAAAATTTTAATTTGGGATGCATTGACAAGCCTTTTGGCCTTGAAATAGAATCTCATGTTTTTTCATCCAACATGTCATCCAAATGTGTGATGTTATCGCTAGGAGCACGAAACCAAAAGCAAAAATTTATATTTGGGAGCGATAGACAAGTATTTTGGTCCTGAGATTTTACAATATATTTTTTCATGCAACATGGAACTTTCAAGCCAAATTTGCTCAAATTTTTGTCCATTAAAAAAATTGGCCCAAAATACCTAAGAGCTTGGAACAAAAATAAAAAAATTAGATTTGAGAGATTATCGAGTTCTTTTCCCTTGAAATTTTACCACATGTTTTGCCTGCAACATGAAACATTGAGCCAAATTTCAACAATTTTTACCCATTTGATAAATTGGTCCAAAATGCATTAGAGTGCACCCCTAGGAGCTTGGAACCAAAATCAACTTTTTTTGAGGGGATAAAATTATTTCAATTTGGGATGGATTGACAAGTCTTTTGGATATTTTACCTCCTATTTTTGCATGCAACATCGAATACGAAATTTAAATTTTGTTAATTTTTTGTCGATTTGTAAAGTTGGCCCAAAATGATTGATGCTGCCCCTAGCTAGGAGCACTAAAATAAAGGCGAAAATTTAGATTTGGGGGAGATAGAATGAAGGGATATGCTAGGGGTATATCAAAAGTGTATTCCAAATGTACACCACCCTCCTCTTAACCATTCATTTTATTTTATTTTTATTTTTTATTTTTTTTGAATTTTTCTTGCCTTGGTGATGGAGGGGATGGGGGAGGTTTGGGGTACACTTTTGGTATACCCCTAGCATTTTTCTAGAATGAATGATGCTACCCCTCGCAGACGCCTTCATACAGTAGTATGGTCTTCCGACCCGGATGTAGCGGCCACCCATACTAGTCTTTACTCGTTTTTCATGTTTGTAACTTATACATTATGTTTGGTTCAAGAAATTTGGAAGAAAAAGAAAAGAAAATGGTTTTCTCACATTTTTCTCACCAAAATGGAATGAATTTGGTTTTCCCTCAACTTGGTACATTTTGCCTCCTCATTCTCCTTTCTTTCCACTTTTCCTTTCTTTTCCCTTCTAACCAAACAAGAAAAATGGTTTTTCACTTCATTTTCTTTTCTTTTCCCTTTCAAATTCCTTGAACCAAACATAATGATAATGTAGTGCAACTTAACTTCATTAGTTGAGTTTTTTCAGCTCCCTTCTACCGAATTTCTTCATTTATTTACACTATGTTTCGTTTAAGGAATTGGAAAGGAAAAAAGGAAATAACTTCTCCTCATTTTTCACTAAAATAGGAGGAATTTAGTTTTCCTTTTTCTTAGTACATTTGTCTTCTCGTTTTTGTTTCCTTCTACTTTCTTTTTTTCTTTTCCTCTCTAACCAAACAAAAAAATATTTTCCTTTTCATTTTCTTTTCCTTCTCCTCTCAAATTACTTGAACCAAACATAGTGTTACGAAAAACTAGCTAAGGGATGAATGGATTTAGGGACCTTTTGTACGTATTGCAGGCCTCCTTGCCTAGCTGTATCAGCTAAGGGGTCAAGAGGTTCCAAGACCCTTTGTTGGTCCCGGAGGCCTTCTCGTCTCCTTGTTTGGCGAAGCTAGCTAAGGGATCAAGGGACTCAGGGATCTTTTTTTGTCCCGGATGCTACCTTGCCTCATTACTTAGCGAAATTAGCTAAAAGAGTCAAGGGGCTCATGATCATTTTTAGCCTTGCGAGTATGACATTTAAAACTTTAATTTTGAACCTCTAAAATAACCATCAGTCCATCACTTTTTAAAACATGTCAAAATTCATGAATTTTTTATCCAATTGTTCCTCTTTAACACACACACATATAGTAAAATATCTATATGAATAACATTATACGGAGTACTTCTTTGGTCAATTTTAAAAAAAAGTTTAGAACTCTTTTTGACACGTTTGAGAATAGCGTTAGAGATAAGTGTTAGCGGATATTTGTAATTAGACGCAGATATTATGTTATTGGGCCTGTACTTGTAACCCATTTATGTACTTGTATATATATCGGTTTATGATTAATAGAAAACACATCAGTTCCGCAAAAATTTTACATGGTATCAGAGCCAAACCTAGGGCTTCTTTTCGTTTCTGTTCTCCGGCGTCCAATGCCGTATTTTTTGTTCTTCGCCGATCAGATTCCTCCTCTCCTACGGAAGGTCTAACTTCAGGATTGTGCGCTGTCGCTTTCGGAAAGCTTAGCCAGTATTTACTCCCGCAATTTCCCGATTGAGAATTGACCACGACATCTCTGTTCCGTGCGGTTAGTCGGCATCTCGTGTGTTGCTGCTGTTGATCGCCTGGTTAGTCGGCATCTCGTGTATATGTCGCTGCGAATTGATTCTTTTTATTATTATTGACTGGTTTTGCTGCCAATAATTGCATCTATTGATTGAGTGCCACTGTACTGTCCATCTTGGCTAATATTTCCTGCGGTGATATTCATCAAACCTTCTGCCAAAATTGCCCTTTGTTGATTGTGTTGCTGCTGCAAATATTTGTTCTTGATTGTACACTCTCTTCCTCGGATAAGGTACAAGGTATGTCCCTTAGTGTGTCCTATGAGTGGCTTGTGGACAGTGGTGCATCTCATCATATGACAGGAACAATTTCATGTTTGTCTGACATAGTGCAAAGGCCTCCTTGCACTATAAGTTTGCCCGATGGGGCTCATGTGGTGGCAAATTCTTGTGGTCGAGTACAAGTGTCTCCTTCTTTAACTTTACATAATGTTCTTTATGTTCCTAATTTGAAGTGCAATTTGATATCAGTGAGTTGTCTTGTCAACTCACATAACTGTCATGTTTTCTTTGATGATCATTCTTGTGTGATACAGGACCGAACTACGAAGACGCGGATTGGTCAATGTGAAGCACACAACGGGGTCTATGTCTTTCCTTCTCAAGCCCAAGCGTCCAAAGCCGAGTCTGTTTCCTTATTACACCAACGTCTTGGTCATCCGTCTCCTCAAGTTTTGTCTCTACCTCCATTTAATAAGAGTACTACTGAAATTAAAAATTTTCAGTCTTGTGATATTTGTTTCTTTTCCAAACAGACATGTTCCCAATTTTCCCCTAGTCTTAATAAAGCAGATGCATTGTTTGATCTTATTCATTGTGATTTATGGGGTCCATATTCTGCTTGCATATCCACTGGGGCTCATTACTTTCTCACCATTGTTGATTACTATTCTCGAGCTGTTTGGGTATTTCTTATTATTGACAAAAGTGAGGTTACCAGTTGTTTGAAACAATTTTTTACCATGATTCGAACTCAGTTTGGTAAAATAATTAAGGTTGTGCGCTCAGATAATGGTACTGAGTTTCTCAATAAACCCTTGCGTATGTTTTATAATGATATGGGTGTTCTGATTCAAACTTCTTGTGTTAATACCCCACAACAAAATGGTCGGGTCNGACGGCGCACGGCCTAGCCACCTCGGCAGCCCCTCTCCTTCATGATCCTGCACGATATCGTCGTCTCGTTGGCCGCTTGATTTATCTTACTATCACTCGTCCGGATATTTGTCATTCTGTTCATGTTTTGTCCCAGTTTATGCAGGCACCCACTCTTGATCACATGAATGCTGCTTTGCGTGTTCTGCGTTATATCAAAGGCCATCCGGGTCAAGGAATTTTTCTGAGTGCCACTAGTAATCTTCAGATTACCGCTTATTGTGACTCTGACTGGGCTAGTTATCCTCTTTCTCGACGGTCCGTTAGCGGATATTTTATTATGTTGGGCACTTCCCCGGTGTCATGGAAGACGAAGAAACAGACTACCGTGGCGCGATCTTCTGCAGAAGCTGAATATAGGGCCATGGCCAACGCGTGTGTTGAGATACGCTGGATGCATGGCATTTTGGGCGCGTTAGGTGTCCCTATTTTATATCCTCCGCGTTTATATTGTGATAATCAATCAGCTTTGTATATTGCAGCAAATCCAGTGTTTCATGAACGAATGAAGCATATCGATGTTGATTGTCATACGGTTCGTGAATCTGTTCAGCGCCATGAGGTGTCTACGCGCTATGTTCCCACGCGATATCAATTGGCTGACATTTTTACTAAACCATTACCCAAACCTGTTTTTGAGTTCTTGTTATTCAAGTTGGGCATTCGGGATCTTCATGCTCCAACTTGAGGGGGAGTGTTAGCGGATATTTGTAATTAGACGTAGATATTATGTTATTGGGCCTGTACTTGTAGCCCATTTATGTACTTGTATATATATCGGTTTATGATTAATAGAAAACACATCAGTTCCGCAAAAATTTTACAATAAGCGTTAGCGTTTTGAAAAGGATATCAACGAATAACGTTTAGCGTTAGCGTTTTCAAAATAATTTGCACCATTAAAATTTTATCCAAAAGACTGATGATATTCTCTAACGTTATTCCCAAATAGACCCTCTAACGAGCTATAGTATAGTGTAAGTTCAAAGTTCTCAAGAACATTATTCACAAATGTAACAAAAAAATCATGTAACGAGAAAAAGCATGCAAATCAATGATTAATTAACGTTGAAGGAGTAACTGATGATCAAAACATTGTCGAAATTAAAGGAAGTATTCTAGATTTCTAGGTACACTTGATGAGTCAAAAAGGTCAAAAGAAAGCTACCTGCTACTGTTCCCATGATCGACCATGTTCCTCTGCTCGAATCGGAGCGAATATCAGCTGTTGCACACAACACTCACTTTATTTAAAATTAAAAAATGAGAAAGTAAAAGTAAAGTAAAAGACTTTGCCAATTTAAAGCAAACTTGCTAGCTTAGAGCATCTCCAACCCAAAAGACAAAAAATAGTAGTGTAAATCTCATATTACACTTACACCTCCACTTTTTTATATTTATTCCAACCATATCTTCTATATTATACATTTTTATAATATTTTATTTGATAGAATTTAGGATGGGTATGGACAATTGGATTGAGCAATAAGATACTTGGGTTGAACCACATTAAAAGATTGAATCCAATCGATTAGTTAGTCCAACTCAAGAGCTTATATACCGGTTATTTTACTCTTGAAGTTCCGATGTGGGATGCACTCTAACATTATTACTTTAAAATCTGCAAATTAATTTAGAATATTTCATTACAAAAATATTTGATTCAAAATTAATTATGATCACATTTATTACATCTAGCCTATTTTCAATTTTTTTTTGCCACACAACCCATTATGTATTTTGCATGCACTAAACATTAGACGAATAGCACTAAATAAATACGACCAAGAAAGTGTTGAGAGAGAAAGATGAAGAACAAAGCAACATTACCGGAAGGAAAAGATGTACAAATAAACAACTTTGGACTCCATTGAAGTGCAAATACAGATGATGATGAAAAAACAAGGGAAGAGCAAGCAGAGGGGTGAACAAAAGGGAAGAGAAATAAAAATTAATTTTTTAATTGTTTACACAATCTACAGTGATAGTGTAAATATAGACTATGTCTCACGTTTTTTACACTACATTGGTCTTTACCCTTTCCTTTACCCTTCCCACTCGAGTGGCAAAACTTAAAAATAATTGGCAAAAAGTGTAAAGTTTAGCATATACCCTTTGGGTTGGAGATGCTCTTAGAGCAACTACGGCGCATAGTGCATGTATATGCTTAAATATACCTTTTATTATTTCTCTTCAATAGATTGTGTATATCTAATGGTAAAAAGCTTTATAGTGCAAAATACCACTCCCACCTCCTATTTCTACAAAGTCACTGTTGCTCATCATTTTCCTCTCTTTTTAATTTCCCTCTCGATCTTTTTCTCAATTTGCTTCAATTTCGTCCTATTGTTCATTTATTTCTTCATTTATTGTGAGCTAGTACTATTTCTTTTACATATTGTAACTTTATTCCTAAGTGAAAATCTCCATTCTAATAATTAAACTATGAATTAAAATAAGTAATATGAATAAATAGCTTAGAATAATAAAAAAAATTATAAAAATGGATGTGTATAAAACTGTTGATAGTTAAAATTGATTTTACACTACCACTCTATACCCTATGCACTAGAGATGCTCTTAGTAGAGACTAATCCTATATCTTTTTCAATTTATTTTTATCTATTACTTATTTTTATTAAGAACAGATCAGAAAAAATCTTAAATATAACTACATTCAAATCAGATCAGATCAAAACTTATTTGCTTTAAAATGGCATTTTGATAGTGGCTTTTAAGTTTTTGAGTCCATCATATATATAGGGCCGACACTTTAACAAAGACACCATCAAAATGCCATTTTAAAATTGACCATCACATGCAAATTCTTTTAATAATCAAAATAAATATTTGCATTAAATAGCACTAAAACTTAAGTCATTTTTCTAAATAACACTTAAATTGTTTTATTTCCTAAATAACACTTAATAATGTACATAATATCCAGTGATGGCGAATATTTACTTGAGTAATGACTAATGCATAATGACTAAAAGTGCTATATTGACTAGAGAAGAAAAATAGTCAATATATGTAGGAAAAGTATTATGTTTTACTTTTATTTAATTAAATTTCATATACGTACCTGCAGCGGGATCACAGTTTCTGGTAGAGTTCGAGGTGCCGCATATGCAGGCATTGGTGTAACTGCCGCCGCGTCCGGCTGCAGCTTCATACCCACAGGATCCGCCCGTTGACCGACAGGATTTACAAAAGATGTCACCACCTCCACCTTGGGTGGAGAACTTGACTCTTATCCCATACGACCACCCCTCAGCGCCGCCGCCGCCCTGCCGCCCCAATCTCAGGGGCGCTAGGCTATAAGCGCTGCTGTATCCTTGGCAATCCAGCTTGCTCAAGTTTATAGCCTTCATTGTCCCGAATGCCACTGCACAGCACTCCGGCGGATGAGTAACCGGCGGCGACCCATCGTGGTCGTGCTCCAGCTTACCGAAAACGTCGTTCCAGGCCGGGCAGCCGTAGTAGTCCTCGCACCCCATTCCGGACACGTTCCGGCACGGCAGGTGCTTCCCGGCCCGGAAGCCTTCTTGGAAGAGGGGCGAGCGGGCGGAGCATCCGAGGAGCATGAACACGTTGTCTGGAGCGGGCTGGAGGTAGGCGGCCCGCCACGGCTCGACCACAAAGCCGTTGCCGCGGCGGTCGAGGAAGATGGCGCCGCAGGTGGACATGTGCGGTTCGTCCAGTGTGAGGGATTGGTAGGCGTAGTCTATGTCGAGGACGCGGTAGGAGCCGGATGTGACGTGGAGCATCAATACATCATTGATGCAGAACAAGAGGTCACGGTATCCCGGGTGGCCGCATCCGGCGCGGAGTCCGAAAGGGTAGTCCACGCTCAAATTCCCACAATATGACCTACATGTGTATGCCGCCGCCGTATGGCCACCGCCGTTGGTGTAAGTTGCAGCTGCCATATCTGCCGTCATGATCATCATCATTGATGTAATTACTCCGTAAATAAAGAAGAAAAATAAATCCATGTGTGTGCTGTACGTATATTAATTAATGCCGCTTGATAGCTAGATATATACTAGACTAGACGAGTTTTAGAACAAACTAGGCTAGGCTATTAAGTGATCAAAATGGTGATACTTTGCTTGGGGTGCTTATAAAATAGGCTAGGGATGGATATACTCCGTATATGATCTTACGTGCATATGAAGATATGTACTAGCTCGTCCCTTTAATTTGTCCTCATTTAATCATTAATTATTGGTGTCTTTATGTTTCCATATCCAATTCCATATATTACTCATCACTCTCCAAAATTAAATTATATAGAAATTTACTCAAGTTCCAGCGTCAACAAAAACGAAGGCATTGGTTTTTCGTGCGTGATTAGAATGCGAAATGTATGAATAAATATTACGGAGTATATTATAATAAAGTCAATATTATTCAAAAAATATAAAAAAAAGGCATGTCATGACTTATTTTGTAGAATTTTTATGAAGCTTTTAAACATGGATATTTTATTTTTATTTCTTTACCAATTTGTACATATTAAATTTATTTGTCCCTCCACCCCGCACAAAAACTTTTACATTTTCTTTTTTGTTTGTAACTTGTCCCCTACGAATCTCTTTCACCAAACAATTTCATCTTTATTAATATTACGAAAAAATCATCTTAAATATGAATAAAACATAGAGAAATTAAAGTACCAAAATAAAAATTATATATATATATATATATATATATATATATATATTCAGTTGAAGGTTTCTTCTAATACATTGAAGGTTTTTTTATACTGATAATTATTTGACAATAAACAAGATACTCACAAAATGTATAGACTTACCATTTGTATATTTTAGTTTTTATTTTTTAATTATTTGAGAGCGTTAAATAAATCCCTCTACATATTCAGCAATTTTATGAATTTTATGAATATTTTATTTATGACTCTAGCATTATTCGTTGCTCTATGTGGGTGAGCCTCCGAGTGAGGCTTTTGCGCATACAGAAGGACTCAATCATGTTGCTTACCACTTAGACCAAACCCCATTGGTGACAAGTATTTCAAACCTCCCCGAACTCTTTTGTCCCATGGTTGAGTGGTTGACCACTGCCAAATGTACTAGTAGTAGTTCAACTGCATTGTAGAACAAAAACTCTGAGGCTCCATTTGGTACACGGAATTCAAACTATGAAATTGGAATTGAAGAGTTCAATTTCGATTGTTGTTGTTGTTGGTAGCATAAAAATTATGTGAATTTGGAATTGATAGTGCAAAAAATGAATGAGAATTGGTGAATTTAATTCTATGAAATTGAATTATCTCATGGAATTTCAATTTCAATTCAATTCCAATTCTATCAATTCTATATACCAAACAGACCCTAGACACCCATGCAAACCTTGGTCTTCAAATACTACGTAGCTTTTTGCGAAATGACTTGTTTAGAAGTTTTTTTTTGTGGTTCCATGATACTCAAGTATGGGAACATCAATGAGTGTTGCCCGGTTGTATTAGATATCGTGATATGTCAAATAGGAAAAAGGATATAGTCAAAGGTTTTTAACTTTAATTTGTACACTGGTACAGTTGGTACTCCTCTGTCTCGAAATTATCTTCTGAATTGCTTTTCTTGATCAAAAGTTTTTAATTTTGACTATTAAATATGGAAAAAAAATATTGAGTTATTATATAAATTTAGTATAAATGTATTTATTTTGAAATAAAATTTTAAAGTATCATATTTTAATAATATAAATAAAATTATATATAAATAGAGATATTAACAATCTAAGTAATGTGCCAGAGACTGAAAAACAAAAAAGAAGAAAATTATGAGATGATGAGATTACATTATTAATTCATTATGAAATTTCTCCTTGGCGTGAGTGGGTGATAAAAATTGTTGATGATTATAAGTTCTTCCAAGTTCAAATGGAGAGTGCATTGACTCTAGCAGTCTAGTTATGTGCTTCAATAATTTGAGAAAGTAAAATGAATGAATATTAGGGAGTACATTAATTATAACAGAGTCAATGTTAGGGGGGAAAATTCATTATTATTAGTACTAGTGGTGCAATACGTACAATTTAATAACTAGCACTTTTTCTTTTTTCCTGTCAAACTTGTGTGTGTGTGTTTTTCCTTCTAGCCTGCTGGCCTCCCCCTAGCTACATATATATGGAGAAGGGTAATTAAATTGAAATATGTTGGCACAATATAATTTGGCAAGACGGTGGTGTGTTTGGATGAAAGCATACACATATATATCCTAGCTAGCTAGCTAGAATTGAATTGGCCGGCTATTTGTCATCGTCATGTGGAGCACTGAAAAGAGTGAGGAAACCATTTGGATAGCAAGTGGTGTTTGAGCTTGACTACCAGGACAAATATGCCATAGCATGGTATGTGCATAAGGGCCACGGATGAATACCTGAAATTTTCATCATCATCATCATCATCATAATATAATATAGGATAGGAGTGAATGAATTGAAGCAGCTAGCTAGCTAGCAGCGGGCATGTATTGTATTAATGTATACCATAAAGGAGCAAATGGAGATGACAAATCAAGGAATGGGTATGGCCACCTGTGTATGCAAGCATGTAAATCAATCATCAATACATATATAGCTAGCTAGTAATGAAAACCAAAAACTATATATGTATACTTATGGAGACATACAAATGCAGTAATTAATTAAGAGATATATGTGTGCGTGGATGGGAGTATGTACTAGGTAGGGCGGGCGGGGTTGGTTTACCAAATGGAGATGCAGGCATGGAGAGCCCACTGGAAAATGACATAAACAGCTGTCCACAGAAAGAAATACCCAATCCGAAACCAAGGGAACCGCTTGATTAATTATAAGATCACAACCAGAAAACCAATCAATAATAATTAGTTCATCATATCATCACATTGATAGGATGATGATATATAATCGATCATACACACACACACACACATATATATATATCATCAGCTTAATGATCTAGTACTCAAATTAATTAATTAATTAATTAATCGGGCAGGCAAGCAAGCCACGAATCGCATTTGGGTACGTACCAAACAATTCAACACGGTGTCAACAAGCAGGAAAACAACATTGATGGAGTGCATGCCTATGATCAACTGCAATTGAGTATATATACATATCAAACATAATTGAATTGATGACAGGTAGCAAGCTAGCTAAGTGCATATCATATATACTTACAAAATTCAGATTGTAGCCTTTGATGGTCAAATAAGGTACTAGAACAAACCAAAAGACACAATCTGTGAGAGTTACAGCCCCTGCATTCATCTGTACGCACCCCAATTATTATTATTATTATTATTATTTTAAAAAACATTGAACATGGTGAAGAATGTGGTACCATAATTAAAGACAGACATATATATGTACGCACCTGGAAAATGATTTGAAAAATGTATCCCCAGAAATGTGCAACTTTTGTGTTTGCTGCTGCTGGTTCAAGGTGGTGTGATAATGGAGGAGGGACATGTTTTGCAATTGGGCTGCTGCCATAAAATTCTACATCATCACTAATCATCATCTGATGATGATGATGATGAGTTTCGGTGCTGATGACTCTGTTATGGTATTGGTAACAGCCGTACATGGAGAGCAGTGATCCCAACTGGATGCACATATATGCACATATTATTAACACCCGTACATCATATCAAAATCATACGGAGTGTAATATATATAATCCTACTCAGAGCAGATATGTGTGTGTGTATATATATGCTCCGTACTATGTAGTTTATCGATCGCATTAATTAAATAAATACAGAGTGTAAATTAAAGGAGGCCATCCATCAGGCCAGAGTTAGCTAATTAATTAAGGAGAACTGATGATGATGATGATGATGAAGAAGTTGGGAAACCATATGATGGGGATCAAATTGGTATATCCGTACGTACCCCGAAGTAGATAACAAGCAATGTTGATGTCCACCTGCAACGTAGTATTAGTAAGTATTATTACTCGGGTAGAAGTGTAGAACAGAACAATCGCACTAATGAATTAAGGTGGCCGGCCGGCCTGAATAAATAAGAGTGCGTGCGTGCAGTAGAAGGCCCGGAAGGTAAACTCAACGAACTAACTAGCTAATAAACTCTGATAGATCATCAAACCTGGGGCCGGCATATATATACTTAACTGGGTATAGAAGTAGAAAATGGAGGAGCCATCGACGGCGGCATATAGGATTAACATCACGAGGAGAACGACGAAGGCAAAGATTCTAAAGGCAAGGAACCATGCAGGGTGCACATTCTTCAGGCTTGTCTTCCAAACTTCATCTTCATATAACACTCCCGGCCCCTGCTGCTGCTGCTGCCCACACAAATCATCATCATCTCTTCTTCTTCTGTTTCCACTACTAGTGCTACCACCTTTTCTGCTGCCTTCGTACTTTGTTATCAGAACAATTGCAAAAACGATTGACATTAAAATCCAAAGGCAGCATAGCAACACCCTCCAGTTCAGCCAGTAAGTTGAGACGGTTGTGTCCCCGCCCGTCATCACCGGCTGCCACCCACTCTTTCCACCCGGCGACCACACCTGCTCCCGCATCTCTACTACTACCTTCATCATCATTATTATATTTATATGCTGAATCTGGCTTGCAGCCGATCGACTAAACACCTACTATGCGTACCATATATATAATATATGAAGAACTCAGATTGGCCTGGCCTGCAAAATGGAGAATTAATTCATTAATGCGTATCCTAGCTCTGCTCTCGTAATTAAACATCCACCCGAACAAAACTCGTATCTGCTACGACTACTACACAACGTAACACTATTCATGGGCAAGGCATTATTGGTGGCTGGGATCGGAGCTGGCCAGAAACATATATGGAACAGAGAATATCAGGGAAATCAGATGTCTGAAAATTGCAAGAAATAAAACACGTACAGAAAAAAGAACATTGATTAATAAGCAGATCCCACCGGCCCAATCAAACTAGCTGCAGAAATGAATTGGCACAGTAAAAACTGATGTGCTGGAAATAGAAAGCAGAGAAGGAATCGAGTTAATTAGAGAGAAAGGTAGAGAGGGGGGCGAAGGATGTGAATTGCAAGCAAAGAAAGGTTTGGGATGTGATGCGTACAGGGTAAAGCAACGCCAATGTGTAAGAACATCAGATGCCTTGCTTCTTTTTTTTTTTTTTTTGCTTTGCTGTACAAAACCATTAATTAAAGCTCAACTCTATGAATTTGAGTTATACGGAGTAAATACTTAATTCAGCAACCACTGAAACTAAATTTACAAATAAAGGTTTTACCAATATAAGGTATACATACTTAATGGAGAGGGTATAAGGGAACCCGTCTCAGACCCCACCCACCGTCTTTTTTCATCTCCAATCCTATTTGCAATAGGTATGGTAAGGATAGACTAAAATCTCATTTCAAAATATATCAAAATAAAAATTTCATGTTTTTATTCTTGAAATAAGAATTAAAATGCATTTACATTACCAAACATGGTCATGTACATTATCACAATGCGACATGTACAGTGCCACATTACAACCATATTATCACAATGAAGTCTATTTCGAGAATAAAAACGTGAAATCCCTATATGAATACTTTTTTTATGTTTTAGTATTGATTATTATAATTATATCGATTGTTGGCGTAGCAGCAACTCAAATGATTATGGGGTATGTGGTTAGAGTCTATCTCTAATTTTTTGATCTAAAGCATCTTGAAATTTCAAAAGTAGGGAGCCACGTCGCTCCAAAAATAAAATATAATGGTGGTACATGTTTTCAATTTGTTCATTGGCGATGAATTGATCATCATTCTTTTAGTAACTTTAGTTAATGTGAAATTTGTACTAAATAGAACTAAATTGCATTCTTATTTAGTGGATTAAACTAAATGAGTTGTATTAGCCTGAGTGGTATTGTGGCTAAGCTTTTCTAAGGAGTACTATCAAAAGAACGTTTATTTATTAATTGGACACACCAACTTTTTTTCCCCAATGAGGCCAAAATTTAATTTGGGATGAACTATGCACTGGGAATGCAAACATGGCGCATGTAAGATTCCAAGGAAAACATTCGGTCTCCCTTTTTTGGTTGTAGAATTAGCAGTTTATTCGGCTCTTTTTTATTTTGATAAACTCGCCCAATATTACTCCGTACATAACTTTGAACACATAAATTAAAGTAATTGTAATACTACCTCCGTCCCATTGTCTTTGTCTAATTTTGACTTTTGGAACTGTTCATCTAAGTACTTTGACTCATTAAATTTTCTCAATGTGTAAGCCTAAAAATAGTCATGTGTGATCTTGTTTGATTCGTCTTAACATATGGATTATTAATATATAATTTTTATAATTTTGTAATATACAAATTACAAGATAAAATGGATTAAAGAAGTGTATTGGATGGTGTGTCAAAAGTTAGTGGACAAAGACAGTGGGACGGAGGGAGTAATATTTTTAGTTCTAAAAAAAAGAGTAAATTCCATAAAAGGTCCCCAGTTATAGGTCATTTTACATATTTAGTCCCTACATATCAAATATTACTAATTTAGTCACCAATTGTTATATTCATTTCCACGAATGGTCCTTTATTAATATTTACGTTAAGAATGTGGATAAAATTGTAAATTCAAAATCCTTTCTCTTCTCAATTGAACTTCCTCCCTCTCTCGCACTCCTTTCCCAAACCCGTCGCTAAGTTTGAAGCTTTGAACCCAAAATCGAAATCATCACTCTTCTCTCAATTGTTTGTCTAACTGGTGGAACCCAAATTCGAAATCAATAATCTTCATGGATGAGTTTTAATGTTTATTTTCTTTGCAATTTCTTGAGACTAATCGATAAAACTCATCCATAAAGCTTATTGATTTTGATTTTAGATTCCACCAGGAAGACTAATAATTGAGAGAGGAATGATCATTTCAGTTTTGAGTTTAGAGCTTCAAACTCGAGAGAGGAAGCTTAATTGAGGAAAGAGAGAAGTATGAATATACAATTTTATCCATGTTCTTAACAAAAATGTTAACAAAGGACTATTCGTGAAAAATTATATAATAATTAGGGACTAAATTCGTAATATTTGATATGTAGGGACTAAATATGTAAAACGATATATAACTAGGGACCTTTTATGGAATTTACTCTAAAAAAAATTAAAATCTGTCATAGACTCGTAGTAGTAAAATATCAACCATTGTTTGGCAGTTGATCTGAATTATTATTATTATTATTATTATTATTATTATTATTATAAACTAACAACAACCTATAAATCCAATTTTTTTGTGTTTGATGATGTTAAAAGAGATATCGAGTTTGATATATTTACACCTAATACTCATCAAACGGTCCTAAAATTTTGATGAGAATGAAGTGGTATATGGTAAGTTAATTCGTCTAGTTTGGAGTTGGGACGACATTCAACATACACACACATTATTTGTGTGCACAACAACATGAAGTTTGATTTGCTTGCCCACCCATTGCAAATTGCATGTTAAAAAACCTTTTGTGTGTTGTTTCCGTAATTATTATATATTGTTACAATATGTTTAAATTATGTTTTAATTCATACATTAAGTTTTATCATTAATTTTTGGACGATAATGTCTAATTTCAACTATTTTTAAAATCTTTCAGCTCATTCAATTTTTAACTTCATTTCATCTATTTTATTTTGTTACTTTAATTGTGTACCTGACTACTTGTGTATGGATCCAATAATGGATCCAGATATCAACCCAGCCCGTAAAAGCCCACCTAATAAAATCAGGGCCTAGACTGTATTTTTGTGTTTGGGCAAGCTCGACTAGTATGTAGTAGAGGTTGGGGATCCGTAAGCATTGAAGGTCGGGTATGGGTTGTACTAATGAAACCTGCATGTAAGGATGACAACATGTCGGGTTCATGTAAAACAAAAAAATAAACACAAAATATCATGATTAACAAGATTAATTTGTGACGATTGCGAAGGGAGCATCGATTGAGAGATGTGAGCAAAAGAGAGATGAAGCTAAATGTTGAAAAGAATTAGAAGTGGAGAAATGAGAGAATAAATTATATTATACACATTATTATGTAGAAGCAAAGATAGGATTTTAAGTTTTAAATATTTGGGTTCGGGTCGGGTTAGTTAAAATCCTGAACTTGAACCCGACCAAACTAATGTTGGATTCAATTTGATTCTTTTGCGTCGGGTTTGAATTTAATAATTTTTGGTCGGTTATGATCGGACTCGAGTTGAATTGACATCCATGTCTCTTGATAGCCCAACCTGATCCATATACTTAAAGACCTAAATTAATATTTTTTCTCTTCCTTTTTAACTCTCTAATTCAAATTGCATGTGGCATGTCAAATATGTGACTAATTATATATAAATATAAAATGACTTGAAACGTAAAAATCATGCCAATTACTGAAATGAAATTTATACTTAATGAATTATTTTTGCTAAAAAAATTATTGATCAGATATTAAGCACGAAAAATGTACCTCATCATTGAAAAGGATTGGAGAGAAAAGTCTCATGTTACGGAGTAACTTTTAATTAGGTACTCCCTCCGTCCTAAAATTAATTTCTCACTTTCCTTTTTGGGTTGCCCTAAAATTATCTTCTCACTTCCTAAAAAAGTAACTTTACACTTCTTCAATGACACATTTGCCGTTCAACCTAAAGAATTCTAAATCTGATCGTTCCTCCCATTTCACCACCATCTCAAGAACTCTAGCATCCCAGATCGATTTTGATTTCTTTAATTTCATTCTTTTCGTTTGGATTTAGAGAATGATAGTTTCATTCCCAAAATTGAGATCCGATGTGAAGGGGCCTACGATGGCGAGGAGGACACAAATCGATCTATCCCACCATGGCGGTCACCGTTTTCCCATATCCCAACTTGATCTTCACAGATCCAAGAGGAGCACGACCAGCGAGAAATTGTTTTGATACGTTCTGAAACTTAAGGCAATTTGCTTCCCTTTTGTAATTGTTTCTGTCATTAGGGGATGGAACGATGCTCCAAACCAAAAAGCTAAAACCATTTCTTTGAATTTGAGTCAATGAATAAGGTTGACCCATCTTCCATGAATTTGAGAAGGTGTTAAACAAAAAAGGCAATTGGGAAGAGAAGAGATAAAGCAGTGAGGTCTGGTTTGCAGAGCTATAACAGATTTGGTATTGACATTAGCTTAAAGGTTGAGGGGTATTTTTGGAAAGTCAATGCATTTTTTACACTCCCTTAAAAATGAATCTCGGTCAAACTGAGAAGTTAAATATAGGACGGAGGGAGTATGATTTAAGGAATTTATACAGAAAAGAGAACAAAATGAATTTTTTTCATTTTTCACACCAAAATGAAAGAAATTTGGGTTTTCCTCTACTAAATATATTTTGAATTCTCATTTTATTTTCCTTCCACTTTTCTACTCTTTTCCTCTATAATCAAACAATAAAAATTGTTTTCTATTTCATTTTCTTTTTCTTTTCTCTTTCAATTTTTTGAACCAAACATAGTGTTTCTATTCATTCAAGTTTCCATCAATTCCTTACCATTTCTTTTAATGATTAAAAAAATATTTATATATGATGAATATACAATAATATTATATATTTAAATTTGTAATATCTCATTTCAAGCACAGACAATAATGATTTTTTATTTAAATTTAGACTTTCATTACATATTTGTTTAGTGACTATTTAATTGAGTTATTTTTTAACACTTTAAATTTTTCAATTTAATTGAGTTATTGAAGGACCTAATGACCTCTTACAACACTTTAAATTTTTCAATACAGATTTTTCAATTCGCCTCCTGGAAGGTTCCAATTTTAGCAAGGCGGTCAGCCGCAAAGTTTTACTCTCGAAAGATGTTTTTGAACTCAATCCTTAACACCCTTTTTCCAAGCCCACTCAATGCCTCTAGCAATTGCCATGTTCTCATCGGTACTTTTCTGGTATGCTAATGTTTTTACAATGTTTATGTTTGTCGGAATGTGAAAGTTTCATATTATATCTATGAATTTTAGCATATTGGAAGGGAAGTGTGAGAGTGTCCGTGATAAATCTGTATCATTGAAGGACCTAATGACCTCTTACAAAACTCTAGGGAATGTTAGCATCCTAGAAGGAGAATGTGAGAATATCCATAATAAACACGAAGTAGTTAATATATTTATTCGAGTTGATATACTTTGTATCATACAACCAGATTATCATATTACATTTGGCATAATATATTTATTCGAGTTGATATACTTTGTATCATACAACCAGATTATCATATTACATTTGGCAAATACTAACAAGATGTTCATTTTATAAACATTTAATTTTAGTTGTATATTTAACATTTGAGGTTTTGATGGTGGAGATTCATAGATTTTGTTTGTTGTTCAGTTCTTTATTTACGAATTACTCTTTCTGTCCCATTTGAGCCTTTAATCAGTTTAATATCCATAGTATATTATTTAATTAATTTTATCTTCAATTCAATTTATTTGATTATAGATATATTATTAAAAAATAAAAAATACATATTAAAAAATCATATAAAAATAACCACCCCAAAAAGAAAAAAGGAAAACGTAAAAAAATTGCAGAAGTACTAAGAGGGTTTTTGGCATTGTGCCGCTTTTAATAATTTAGTTTCTGCTTTGAGTAGAAGTGATTTTACTCTGTTTGGCATGTCACTTCTGCTTTTCACAACCAATATTTTGTACATAGAACACCGTTTTAGAGAAGCAGCTATGAGATGCTTCTACTGTCAGCTTTTGTGAAAATCACTTTATACATAAGAGCATCACCAGTGGCGTGTCAAAGGAATGACACGCCCTGCCACATCAGCGAGTGGAGGCGAGGCGCGAGGCAATTCAGGGGCGTTCCACCCCACCTATCGTGCATATGCGAGGCAATATTAGTTTCACAATTATTATTTTTATTAATTATTATTGGAGTATTTGAGATGGAAGATTGAAGAATCTTCTTCTTTACAAAGAAAATTGAAGAAAAGATTTAGATCAGAGGAAGTAATGGACCGATTTAGGTTTTCACCCAAGGACACAACGGTGGGGCTGTGAATTTGTTGGAAGGTTGTGAATCTGTTGGATGCTCTAGCTTGTCTGCACGACGGAGAAGGTTGCGGGCTTTTGTTGACAGATGAAGAAAACAATGGAGCTGGTAAAATGTTGGATTCTTCAATTTGTTTATTTTAATTAGGATTTCAGAATTTTAAATTTTAATAATTATGAACTTGAATCTCCAATATTTTATAAAAAGAGAGAAAGGTTTTTTATGATAAAATATACTCCGGTGATATAATATTTATTATTAATATGAAGTATATATTTAAAAAAGTAGAAAAAATACTTACTTGTCATTGCAGGAATTGTGACTCAACTCATGTGACACTGTATGACTGGACTATATTTTATTAGTCAAAATATAACACATCAGCGTGTGGCATTTCACTTTCTCATTGCTATACTCTAAGTTAATCATTCTCAAACAGCTTCTAATTATTGGGAACCAAGGTTATTGCTTTCATTAATCTGATGTGGGGATATTTTGGTTGACTTTCAATCCATCGGATTTACGTATCTCCTCCGGCGCCGGTCATATATCTACCGATGACTCAGTCAATCATATCCCCATCTTCCCTTACCTTCCTTCTCCGAGGATGACTCCATCGTCCCAGCCATTTAATAAAACGAGCAATTTAAATCTTTGGCGTTCTCTATCTAATGATTTATTTATTTATTTCGAGTAGTTAATCTTTTGTTGGGCTGAGAGTTTCTTCACACAATGATAATGATGAGCTAACCAAAATAAGAGAACAGTATTTTTGACTCTGAACGACTGAACTGGGACGTGTTTTATGGTTAAGAAGCAGGTGAACTGTGGGAGATTAATGGCCGGTGTAAGTAGAGGGGACCTTGGAATCGACGACGATATATATGAGGAGAAGAAGAATATCCAAAATCTCAACATCGAAGGAGGAGTAGACAAGGAGAAGGATCCAATGAATCGGTCAGCATCCCGTCCCCAGCTGGACCTCAGTGGAGCTGCAATTCATGGGAATTTTGAGGTGAAGGACCCTGCAATTCTCTTGCCTAACCAGTCTGATGATATATCCCATTTAGCTCTGGACATTGGAGGTCAACTCTTTTCTTTTCTTTTCTTTTCTTTTTTCCCCCATGCATCTTATTATTGATCCCACCTTTTCTCATCTGTTTTATGCTCCATTTTATTCAATATAGGGTCATCAGATATGGATGACCTCATTTGTATGTACAAAAATGATCTGTACAAGTATTAGGCTGAATACTTTTCTAGTATATATCGAGGTTATCAATTACAGTTCCTTAATAGGGAGACATCAATCTCCTAAAACCTGATTCAGAGGGGATGGTTTTCTGATTTGTTTTAGATGGAGAATCTTCAACTTGGTAAAGACATCAACACCCTTGAAAACACTGTTTTTTCAAATGTCTTTTACTTGTCCACTTGAAAAAAAAAATCAGAAAAAAAAAAACAAAAACCAAAGCCATCCTAGACTTCTAGTCAGCAATAATGAGAAACTCCCTCTGGTTAACTTTACACTTTCACATGCTCCAAGTTGTTCATGAAGCTACTTCTGTATTTGTCATGCTTATTCTATACCCATAATTATGTTAAATCCAAGCTTCCTCTTTGCTTAAGCCGCCAGAAATTGTAGACGAGGGGGTGTAGAATAAGTATCATGTCTATAGCTGCAACGTCAAGAATATCATTTGGTTTCACATAATAGAACAAAGGGTATAATGAGAGGTTCTCATTATATAGATCTCATCCTCCTAACCTTCCAATTTGGGGGTTCTCCAAAACTGGGCTTTAGAGGTTATCAGAGGTGATCATGGTTATTTTCATTAAATGTTAAACAAACGCCATTAATTACGAAGAACATAGGTCAGCCCCGAACCAGGGTAGGGAGCTTGAGGAGAGAGTTTGTGGGAGTAGAAGGTGTACAAAACTACAAATGAATCATCTATCCTCCATCAAGTGGGGAGGGGGGACAGGGGAGGGTATTTAGAGTATAAAAAACCTTTCCTAGACCAAAACCGCAAACTTGAACTTTTGGTTGAATTGTTGACCAAGAGGTCACGAGTTTGACTGTCACCCAATTCAAAACAATTAAGCTTTCATGTACAAGGCTCGAAACGGCCATGCCTGCACGTGAGGGGGCGTGTTAGAGACCGGAGTGTATAAAACCTTTCTTGGGCCACAACCACAAACTTGAGCTTTTGGTTGAATTGGTTTCTTGACATATACAATACAAGTGGGCACAACCTATCAGCTGGCTACAGTGTCGAGACAAAGGCCAACACAGCTAGTCCAACATGAGGTACACCTGTAAAGATGCATATAAAGTAATACATATGTCTAAAATAGATAAGAACAAAGGCCAATGTCTGCTGTCCGAGCCAAGGTCATGAAAACCGGGTTGTGGTCCAAGCCCATACCTGTGGCCTTGTCTTAGTAATCCATCAGAACAGTGTTGATATTCATCCTCATTTTGATTCCTGCTCACTTAACCACCACCTCTTTCTTTTTCATACTGTGAGCTTGGTGGTTTCAATGGACTTTTCCAGGATCTCTTATCAAGCTGGTGTACTTTTCAAGACATGAGGGTGCTCAAGTAGATGACAAGAGAAAAAGGAAAGTCAAGGAGAGATTTGGTGTTTCTAATGGTCATAGAAGGACCTATCCTATCCTTGGGGGAAGACTTCATTTTGTGAAATTTGAGACTACAAAGATTAACGAGTGCATGGATTTTATCTCTTCCAAACAGCTACACTGTGGTGGTACAGCTCTTAGCCTTAACCTAATGCCTAGTCTAGTAACTTGCTAAAATTTTCATGTTTTATATAGAGCACATCTCAATATAAGCATTTGAGTGTCTGCTTACAATTTCTGCATATGCTGTCAAACAGGGTTGGATACCCCCCGTTGGCATTCTGAGGCACCACACAATTACAATGCAATAATCAAGGTAAGTTTAGTGGCATAGCTTTGCTTTTGGATTTTAAATGTTGTACTTTACATGGAAGATCTTTGAAACAAATTGAAGGGGTTTAATCATGTTACACACCCTCATTCATTTATCCTTCACTAAGATCAACTTAAGGAAAAGCACAAGTGTTCCCTTTACCAAACATTTTGTACCCCCTTTGAAGTGTTGGATAACCTTTTGCATGTTACCCCTTTTATTGTGTACCTTAAAGTGTATATACCTTTCCTTCTATACTTCTGGATCATGTGTGTTTTTCTTAAATATTATCATTCTTTTGCTGCAGTCTTTTATTTTTCAATTAGCACTGAAACAAAGAAATTGAAGAACTCTACCTATTTGTTAATCTACGAATGCAAATATGTGGTATATTCAGTTTTTACCATAAATCCATCAACATTGTATACAACCTGCAACCTTCTATTGAGAAGCTTGTAGTTCACGCTTCTATAACATCAGCTCATTCTAAATAGTCAGTCAAAGCAGCTTAGGTTAGTAATCTGCCGCTTGAGCTGCAAAAGTCTTAAAGGAAAAGCTTTCATGTAGTTGTACCTTCTCTACTTCATTAAAATAGTAAATGTGCCGAATTTTCTTTCATCTTTTATTAACTATTAGAGTTTTTGAGAAGGCTACAGGTGGTGGAGCATACAAGTTTTCTGATCTTTTCAAGGAAAGGCTTGGAGTGAGCATAGAAAAAGAAGATGAAATGGATTGCCTCGTTGCTGGAGCTAATTTCTTGCTCAAGGTACATTTTAATTCAACAGAAATTTAGATCCTCAATTAATGATGTGGATAATGCATATATGAATTGAACATTCAGAATAATCAAAGTCTTTTGGGAGTACGATATTTTTCAAAAAATATGAGTTATCAGGGCTGAGCATTTTGTTGGGTTTAGAAGGTTTAATGTGAAAAAGTAAATGGTGAAGGGAACATCATATGTTTTGCTTAATACCATTAGCTATTATTTGTTGATTAATGGGCTACTTCCTTTGGTTGAATAGGCCATTCGTCATGAAGCATTTACTCATATGGAGGGTCATAAAGAGTTTGTGCAGATAGATCACAATGATTTGTTTCCTTATCTCCTTGTAAATATTGGCTCCGGTGTTAGTATGATCAAGGTATTATCTTAGAATCTAATGAATAAATTTCTTATTTAAGGGATTGTTCAATCATCAAGTTATTCAACTTTTAACGACAATAACAACAATAGGTTGACGGGGATGGGAAGTTTCAGAGGGTCAGTGGAACAAATGTTGGTGGTGGTACATATTGGGGACTGGGAAGGCTATTAACAAAATGCAAGAGGTGACAAGATTCTTTTTGTTTTCCCATAGCTCTAAATGTTCATTTTTGCTGTGTCGTTTAATTTCTTATTTGATTCTTGAAATAGTTTTGATGAATTGCTCGAGCTGAGTCAACGTGGAGATAATCGAACCATAGATATGCTTGTTGGTGATATCTATGGTGGTATGGATTATTCTAAGGTATAATATGATGGCCTACATTGTTATCTGGATGATGATTTTATCATATTAAGAAATGGAAATACCAATTTTTTTACCCACACTTCAGAGTTTTATCTGTGGTTAAAATCTTAATTCCTTGTAGATTGGTCTCTCAGCATCAACAATTGCTTCAAGTTTTGGCAAAGCCATTTCAGAAAGCAAGGAGCTCGAAGATTACAGACCCGAAGATATCTCTCTGTCTCTCTTGCGTATGATTTCATATAATATTGGCCAGGTATAACTCAGATAAAATCCAGTCATTTCCATTACCCTGCATAGATTACTTTGCAAGAATGCCTGGTAAAGAAAGAGTGATTAGTGTAGCATATGAGTTATAACTTCCCTTGATCTGATTCATAGCACCCAACAAGAGAGTCCCCTAATAAATGTGTACATTAGTGCATCAGTCTCAGGTAAAATTGCATAACAGTGTGTTTGGATGGACAAAAGAAAATGAGGTTGAGAACAGAGTTAACATTAGGAAAATGATGGGTCAACAGAATATTTCCCGTGAAAATCAATTATCGGAGGATTCTTGGTAGTATTTAAGTTGTACAAATTATTAGCAATAAAATTTTCCTTTACTAGTATGTTGAATAATCTTCCGATTTCGTCAGTGAGTTTAAACTGAACATGTTGAAGTCCCTAGAATTCCATTTTTAATCACCAGGGGACCAAATCCAATGGTCAATAATTTAATAATTGGGAGCCAAAAGTGGAAAAAGACACTACTGTATTGAAATTATTTCTAAAATTCCATTCATTGCTATGCTTATCTTTTTCTGGATCAACTATTCACTCGTCACCCTTCGGTTATTACCTTTGCCGAACTCCATTTTCTTTTACTGCTTTCAGCCATTGTCTTTTAACTTTTTACGCAGTATATGTTACTTCTTATGCACAGGGAATGACTTTCCTATCTTGTAGGTATCTTATTTGAATGCGCTCCGTTATGGTCTCAAGCGTATATTCTTTGGAGGATTTTTTATACGGGGCCATGCATACACAATGGATACAATCTCATTTGCAGTTCAATTCTGGTGAGAATGATGTGAAGTTGAGTGAAGAAATGCACTTCTATGCTTCAATAATTTAGAATAGTCATGTTATTTTCCATGCATCTATTTTTCTGTCTATTTCTCTTCCTTTTTTTTTATTTTCACACTACAATTACATGCTTTGATTAGGTCTAAGGGTGAAGCTGAAGCCATGTTTTTACGACATGAAGGCTTTCTCGGTGCTTTAGGTGCATTTATGAGCTATGAAAAACATGGTTTGGATGATCTAATGGTCCACCAGTTGGTTGAAAGGTTCCCAATGGGTGCTCCATATCTGGGAGGAAATATACACGGACCACCGCTGGGGGATTTGAATGAGAAGGCAAGTATTTTTACGAAGTACAGTATTATTATGTGCATGACATTGAATGCTATTATGAAATTGACCATAAACATTTGTTTCATTTGCAGATCTATTTATCCCTTGTTAATAGTTATTAAAGTGTACTCCCTCTGTCCCAAAATAAGGTTCATACTTAAGATTTTTGCTTCATTTTAAGGAAAGACTGAAAGAGTTGTGCAGTACCACATAGTTCACATTTCTTAATAAGAGTGCAAAATCAATGAGTATTACTCTTGTACTAACTTATATTTCGAAGTAGAGAATGGTTATAGCTTCTTCCATCTAATGTTACCTGAGACTACAGTTCCTGTATATGTGTGCTTTGGCACCTATTTCTCAATATGTCTGGCCATGTGACCTGAGCATACACATTATTATAAGAATTGACTACCAGCGATATGGGCAGCAAGAGGTAATCAACGGTGGAGAAGGAGAAGCCGAGTTGTTGAAGCTTATCACCGGGATAGATGTTGGAATTAGAAGAGGAGGTTGAGGATTAGGTGCTATATCAAGGGGCGATAACAGCGGTAAAACTGAATCCAGATGAGGATGAGGAGTGAATTGGGCCCGGTTTGCCCAAACCCAAATGAATAGTACCGTGGGTTTTAGGGGTCATAGTTGGTAACTAATCTATGAGCACAGGTTTGTGTTTGCAAAAACCTTTTCATGTTCTCAGAAAATTGTGAACCAAAAGGCCTTTCAATATATGACGTCACTTATCAAAGCTTTAAACACACTATTCAACAGCATCCAATAACACAAGCCCAATATTGAAATAGCTAAAGCATCAACAACCAACCACACAACCGCACATAAAGAAATTTAGAATAACTACATTTGCTGATTGAAGAGGATCTCTAATGGAGTCAAAATTTCACCATTTTTGGCTTTGGGGTGTGATGGAATAAATCAAAATGGATCTCTAAACTATCTGCGCTTCTTTAATTAATGAAGTAGCAGTTACTCAAACACTGCAACTTTCGATGTTGAGCCAGGGGTCTCTTTGGAAACAGCCTCTCTACTTTCGAGTAGGGGCAAGGTCTGCGTACATACACCCTCCCCAGACCCTACTCTTGTGGGATTTAACTGGGTTGTTGTTGTTGTTGTTTACATTTGCTGATTGAGAAGTGTGTGATCCGAGAATGATAATTTTTTTTACATCTTGGAGCTTGGGGTGTGGTGTGGTTGATCTGTATTGAACCATCCTGACTCTCCTTGAAAGTCATAAGGGTTACTCCATCCATCCATTCATCCTATATCTTTCTTACCACTTTGACTTGACAGGGTTTTATGAAAAAAGTTGGTTTGTATAGTTTTGGTTGATTAAGAAAAGAGAGAATGTGAAATGGGAAGTAAATTTTGGGATGATTTCAGAAGTGGAAATTTTTTTAGAACAGAGAGAGTTGATAAAACATAGAATGTGTTCTATTTAGGAGTTATATCAGATTCAGGATCACAACCACTTAACTACTCCATGGATATTTCCTTTTAGCAGCATGTGTGCTGGAATAATTAGGTTGGTTTACTGGCAGATATCATGGATGGAAAAATTTGTTCAGAAGGGAACAGAAATTATTGCTCCTGTCCCAATGGCCCCACCAGGAACTACAGGGCTTGGAGGCTTTGAAGTTCCTTCATCTAAAGGTGTTCTTCGGCCTGATGCTAGCAAATTAAATGTTGGTGTCCTTCATCTTGTCCCAAGCTTGGAGGTTTTTCCAATCTTGGCAGACTCAAAAATGTAAGCCAACATTGCAAATTTGCAATCGTATGCAAATATTCAGCCACCTTAAATTTCCTTTAAGCTTCATCTCATCATACTTAAAGTCATAATAGGAACGTGTATGCATCCTACACATCTACATAAATATTAAATACATTTACTTTCATTTTCTCATGTTAGTGGGTCATATACTTGTCTTATTACCATGGTTGCAATTAGCACGCATTATTTCTTTTGCATTTTTTGCACCTCGTGCCTCTTCATTTAAAAGTGAGTGCAGTGTTTGTTGAATATCTGAAAACATATCATTTTTCTTTCCTTTTTTCTTCCCTTTTTTTCTTCCTCTTACAAATTTCTGAAATTCATCAATACCTAGTGAAACATTTCATACTGATTTTGGGTACGTACTGATGAAATTTACCTGATTCTTGTTGAACGCACAATTAGAGGTTTCTAGTTGTCTCCAACTTTCTCATGTTATTTGATCTTTTTCTTTCCCTGCTATGAACTAAATGCTACTTGTATGAATATGTTATTGATTAAGTTTGAACATTTTTCTTCTTTACAGATATGAACCTAACACTGTAGACCTCTCCGATCTCAGTGAGCTAGAGTGAGTTCTCTTTGCCAAAGATGATACTCCCTCTGCCCCTAAAAAAGTTCCTAGTTTGAATTGCATGGATTTTATTGAATAAATTTTTTTGTCTGATTTTTTTAAAATGCCATTGTTAGTGTGGTTTAGAATAATTGATGGTGGTACGCGGGGACATTAAACAAGAGCAGTATATTAAAGTATTTACTTTAACCAACAAGGAAAAAAGTACTTTATTTAGGGACAGACAAAAAAGGAAAGGATGAACTTTATTTAGATACAGAGGGAGTAAATATCTTTACTGGTAGACAGCAAATATACTAATAATCACTTATTGTAGGTACTGGTTGACTGTATTATCTGAACATCTACCCGATCTCGTTGATAAGGTAATGATAGAATTGTTTGGTCCAAGAATGCACTTGTCGGGACATGAACTAATTTTAATATAGAAATATTTGTGCTTTATCATGTTGTGGCCTGTATTACTTTTCTGTGATAGTATATATGTTTGCATATGGTTCTAGGCTTCTAGCTAAATAAGCTTAGTGTTAATTGTTAAATAATTGTTCAGGCAGTGGCAAGTGAGGGTGGCACTGAAGATGCAAAAAGAAGGGGAGATGCATTTGCTCGAGCATTTTCAGCACATTTGGCAAGGTATGCATGCTTAACATGGAATATGTTGAAGATGCTCCATTGTTTTTATTCCCTCCCTTCCAACTGAGTATGGGACATGGAGTGTTTGCACAGAGAATAAAGTTAGGATGACTTTGGATGACAATAATATAAAAACTATTGAATGAGTCAAAGATAGTGAGACAGACTAAATGGAAAAGAAGGCATAAAGATAGTAGGACGAAGAGAGTTTCCGTTAATGGTTTCATTTTTTAAAATTTTGAAATATCCATTTCTGACGTCCTTGTCTCACTGGACACATGAACTCTTCAATTTTAATGTTAAATTGATGTCTTAGTGAAATTTGTTAACAGGTTGATGGAGGAGCCTGCCGCGTATGGTAAGCTTGGACTGGCCGACCTGTTGGAACTACGAGAAGAGTGCTTGAGAGAGTTTCATTTCTTTGATGCATACAGAAGCATTAAACAAAGGTATGAATGTGCATGAAAGAAAAACCCTTTCTTGGGGGGCGGGGTACTTTTTTTTTGCAAAAAAATCATCCCTTGCTCATGTCAATTTATCATTCTACTTTATAATCAGGGAGAATGAAGCATCACTCGCAGTTTTACCCGATCTTCTGATGGAACTTGATGCCATGAGTGAGGTAACTGATGATTAACTGAAATCCAAGCGTGGAATTTCTGACTAGAACATTGACGTACCCACCCATCTGAACTGCTGTGATTTTTTCTTCTCTAAGGAAATGAGACTACTTACCCTAATTGAAGGAGTGCTTGCTGCAAACATCTTTGACTGGGGATCACGTGCCTGTGTTGATCTTTATCACAAAGGAACAATCATTGAAATATATAGAATGAGCCGCAACAAGATGCAGAGACCATGGCGGGCAAGTGCACACACAATCATATATTTCATTTACAATGGCATACCAAAAAAATCTCCGAAGTGTGATATTTGAAACAATCATGAATACCCTTCAGGTTGATGATTTTGATGCTTTCAAGGATAGAATGTTAGGGTGCAGAGAGAAGAAACCACCGCAGCCTCATAAAAGAGCATTGCTATTTGTAGACAACTCAGGTGCTGATGTTGTTCTTGGAATGCTTCCACTAGCACGGGAGCTTCTTAGGCGTGGAACTGAAGTAATTTTTTTACATATGAAATCCTTATTATTGGTTCCGAAAACGTTGATCTCAATTAAATATACTGTGACATCTTACAAGTTTTATTACACACACTTTAATGAATCTACGTATGTATGCTATGGTAGGTTGTGCTGGTAGCAAACTCGCTCCCGGCATTAAATGATGTTACTGCTATGGAGTTGCCTGATATTGTTGCTGAAGCTGCAAAGGTATATCTTTTTGAAAAAAATTGGTAGCCTCACTATCAAAGCACATCGTTTGATGGATATCCTGATTTTTCATGCTTAAATTTATACTCTAAAATTAAAGGTGATATACTTCTAAATCTATAATATGTACAGTATAGAGAGTCCATTTCCAATGGAGCTAAAAGAGTGGTTTTTTGACAATGTTTTAACTTCAGATAAATGATGGGGTTAGATCAAAATGTGGCACATCAAACTTCCATTGCCTCTTTCTTTTTATAAAGTTTTGGGAATTAAATGCAGCAACACATCATGGGTTTAGCGGAAACAACCTCTCTGTTTACAGGGGTAAGGTTGCGTAGATCATGACCCCCAGAGCCCAACACAGTTGGGACTATACTGCATTTGTTGCTGCTGTAATATGCACAACAGAGGCTAATAATGTATTACGTTGGGCAAAATAGCATTGTGGAATTCTGCGAGGAGCTGCAGAAGCAGGTGGGCTTCTTGTAGATGCAATGATTGGCATCCAAGGTGATGATGGATGCAAAGAAGAAGAAGAAGGTCACCTTTCCTCGGTTCCTTTGATGGTTGTTGAGAACGGATGCGGGAGCCCGTGTATAGACTTGAGACAGGTTAGCTCTGAGTTAGCTGCCGCAGCCAAGGATGCTGATTTGGTATGTAAACATTGCTCTGTGCGCTGCTTACTTTCCTCACATTTCCTTTTCATTCTCACTTTCATATGTGTATATTCAGTACGTACATACACGCTTTGGCATTTCTAATACGCTCGTCGGTTTCTCACCCAGATAATTTTGGAAGGAATGGGGCGAGCTTTGCATACCAACTTCAATGCCAAGTTCAAATGTGATGCTTTGAAGGTAATAAAGTACTACTAGTCCTTGTAAGTATGTAAGCATCATTGGTTGGTTTGTGTATTCAGTTCCTGATGCAGATCATTTGTCTGTGTGCAGCTTGCGATGGTGAAGAATCAGCGACTGGCTGAGAAACTGATCAACGGCAACATTTATGATTGTGTTTGCAGATATGAACCCGCCTCCGCTTAGATTTGCCTTCTCATCCAAACTCAACCTGCTGCTGGCTTTGGTTGGGTGCAGTGTGTTGAGAATAGGGGGTAGTGTTGTATTGGGGGTACATACGTGGTAAAGAACGAACACCGATGTGCACACCATGGTTGGTGGGTGGGTGGCAGACATGAAGATGCATGCTAGGGTGGATGTGTGAATATACTACTACTACTACCATAAACCATAAAAGTGGTGTTACAATGATATCATGCATGGATCACATTAAGGATGATATCATTTACGATTCTGTTTTCGCGGATAATGACTTGATAAGATGCATGAAGTTAAATTGATATGATTAATTAAATGTATGATTGGATAAAACAAATCACTAAAACAAAACTATTTTTAGATTGAACCTTTTCTTTGAAAAAAAAGGGTGAGCACACACTATTGCTGCTTTTCCCTCCCATTTTATAACGCCTGTTTCGGTTTACGATGTTTGACTGAAATTATTTTCAAACCATTTTATATGACAAATAGTATAGAATTAAAAAATAAAAATTACATATTAAAAAACTACATCAAAAGATCTACAAAACTAGTAGTGACAATAATATTTTATTTTATCAAATTGCTAACAAAAATAAAAAAAGAAAGTAAATGAAGTTTGACCATGTGAATAGTAAACATGCATTATAATTTGGGACGGAGGGAGTACAAAATTATTTTATTTTATCAAATAATCAATGAAAATACATAAATATACAAAAGTTATCGTGATTTAGGAATAGTAAATATTGTAATCAATTGTGGGGCGGATTAATATCAAAATAGGAGTCTTAAGTCTTTTAAGAAATGAATTGTACTCCCTCCGTCCCTATTTTGTTAAGAAATCTCCCTGAATAGAAGTTCTCCCTATTTTGATTACAAATTGCAAAAAATGATGAAAAAAATTCAATTTGTTTTCAATTCATTATATTTTAAAGATTGAGACATAAATAAAAAATAAAATTTATATATTTAAAATCTACATCAAAAGTTTTACAAAATAAAATATTACAAGAATATTTTATTTTATCAAATAATCAATGAGAATGATATTGACAAAAATAAATAAAAGTTATCGTAATTTTGAAATAGTAAGTATTATAAGTTTTTGTGGTGACAAAAGGATGTATATTGGTAACCATAAAAAGTTTTTCTTTGTTTGGGGCACAAGAAATAATAAATTACGAGAGCCATATGATGGTAGTCTTTCTGCAAATTTTTGTGTATATATCCGCAATTAGGGATGCATTATATTCCCAAAAGGCCAAAACGTTGGGCGAGCCTAAGGAAACCGAGTGCTTCTCCGCCCACAATCCCACATGATACAAATAAAGGAGACGGTGCCTTGTTTTTTTTTATTTTGTTTTGTAGGAGCGAGGTGCGTTAATTTAACTAAGAGTAAAAGGTACGGTAAAAAAACTTTAGGAGTAAAAAGTTGATTGTAATTAAGAAAAAAAAAGATGACTATCGTATTTGAAGACATTCTCAGTATCAACTAAATAGAACTAAACAAGACTAATAACGACTTGTTGAGTGAATATAAACTAGATACAGCATAGAGCAGAGCTATACCTTAAAAGCTACTCCGTAGTTGTTAAGGTGAGAGAATTCTAGGCTATATAATCCCATCACTAAGTCCCTCATGTGGAACAATGAAATCAATCTGTATCATTCGATCCCCTATAAGCCCCAACGTCCTCGTTGGTCATGGCTACGTTGGTCACGGTTGGTTTTCCCAGGGTGACCACGCCACCACTCTGTAGGACACCACTTCGAGTTGGCTCTAATACCATTGATAGAGTACAAGGGAGAACCACATTCTAAAAGTTAGCGGTTAAGGTGGAAGAATCATAGGTCATCACCAAGTTCCTCATTTAACCGGTGTGGGACAATGAAATCAGTCCATATCACTCTCGCATATCCTTATTATTCTTTGTTGTCATCACTCACATTTATCACTGAAAATTATGACTTCAAATTTATTGCAAAATCTTTCTTATTTTTTTTTATAGATATCAAAACTCATCGATACAAATACACCAAACAAGCCCTAACTTTTAAAAAATAGATAAAAAAACATTGGCCCCCACTGGGTGTACAACTTCTGTCCCGAAATATTTGTTTAATTTTGACTTTTTTCAGCTAAATATTTTCATGTTTGACTTATAATTAAATAAAATATATATTATATATTAATTAGATAAAATAATACTATCTCCGTCCCAGAGTATTTGTCCACTTTCATTTTTACACACCATCTAATACATTCATTTAATCCATTTTATCTTGTAATTTGTATATTAAAAAATTATAGAAATTATATATTAATAATCTATATGTTAAGACAAATCAAACAAGATCACACATGACTATATTTAGGCTTACATATTGGGAGAATTTGATGAGTCAAAGTACATAAATGAATTTTCAACAAAAAAAAGTACATAGATAAACAATTCCAAAAATCAAAAGTGGACGAATATAGCGGGACGTGGGGAGTATTTTGAAAATATTATATATAATAAATATAATAAAATTATTTTTATATCAATATTTAATACTTGTTTTATTTAATTTAGAGATAAAATTTATTAATTTTAATCGAAAAAATTAAAAATGAACAAATATTTCACAAAAGAGAGAGTAGGTACATAAACAACGAGCAACTTGGATTGCATAATAAAACTTGTGGCGGTGTATCCATTGGCGGTGCGGTTATATATGGCCGGATCGGAGTTAATTAGAAATAAGTGACTCCGTATTCAATTCGGAATTTGGCCATATCATCTTTAAGTGTTTCTTGATTCCCAAGTTCTGTTCCGCCTTTGTTAACAATTCACATTACAACCCTCCTCTCCACTCTTCTTTCTTCTTCTTCAATTCAATTCCTGTATGTATATACACCATTAATCCAACCCCCTTTATTCGTCCCTTTTTTTCTTCGACCGGCGTTATAGGGATAATGCAGCAAGTCATTCGATTGCCAGTCCAAGATTCTATGTCCACCACGACGACGAAGGTTATGGAAAGACCGACGAGCGAGGAACTGCTTTCTGATTGCGAGAGCGGGATTTCAGGCCCTAACTCCAACGCCGCCGAGACGACGACGGAGAGGCGAAGTCCGGTAGACTGCGGGGAGCTAACCACGGTGGGCGAAGAGGAAAGGATTCACCAGATAATCAGGGAGAAGCTTCTCGCAGGCGGCGCACTGAGCGCATCAATCGAGGCGGTTCGGGCGAATGCTTTCTCGAGCATGACCAAGAAGGCGAAGCTTCAGGCATTCGAGATCTTCGCCAAAGCGGCGGAGAAGGAATCGGGATGCTGCAGTGGTGCTAATGTGCGCTATGCTTGGTTCGGAGCTTCAATTGATGACATCGCCACCGTCCTCTCCCAAGGGTTTCTTCCTTGTATGATTAGGAAGGACGGGATCCATGGCCATGGGATCTACCTCTCTCCCGATCATTTCCCCCTCGGAAGGTAATTAATCGATAGGGTTGTGCAACTAATCAAATTGATGAATTGTTCTTCTTATTATTAGAATGCAAACACATATAATATATATCTCTGGCGGTTTCCACATACATGGCAGTAGCAAAATTGCAATGTGTAATTGATTAAGAATTCAGCGGGTGATGGGGTTTGAACGGAATATTGTATTGAATTTTGTTACTGGTGCAGCGTGAAATCAGCAGTGGGAGACGAGAACGGGGTGCGGCACATATTGCTCTGCCGAGTGATACTGGGGAAGACGGAGGTGGTGCCGCCAGGCTCCGGGCAGTGGCTCCCCAGCTCGGGAGGATTCCACTCCGGGGTTGATGACTCCGTCTCTCCCACCAACTATATTGTTTGGAGCACGAACATGAACACCCACATCCTGCCTCTCTACCTTATCAGTTTCAGACTGCATTCCTCCCCCGGTGGTAAGTCAGCCGCCAGATGTTTGTTTTTTTGTTCCTCTGTTGGTTTGTGTGCCTAATCTTGCACTTCAATCTGATTTGAGTTTTGTGGGTTTGTTTTGAAATTCAGGGGAGGAGAGAATTGGTGGGGGGCTTGGATATAGGAAGCCAACATCGCCATGGATTCCCTTTACGGCTCTGCTTTCTGCACTGGCAAAATGCTTGCCTCCTCGCACCATGAGATTGATTGCAGACATGTACAGGGATCATAGAGTAAGTATAATCTGTATGTGGAGTAGGTGGTTTTATATATAGTGTACCGCCTGCTGCTTCTTAGCTTGAGATGCATAATGCATATGGAGAGTACTACTGTCTGTAATAACTAGTGGGGATATACATATATAATTGATATTGGTGGACGCACAGGAAAGGAAGATCTCAAGGCGTGAACTGATAGAGAGAATGAGGGAGGTGGCTGGAGATGAGTTGCTTGCAGCAATCATTAAAGCCCACCGCACTAAACCTCATCATCATCATCATCCTTATCACCGGAGGAATGATATCTCAGGGGGCCAAACGCAATTGGGAATGTTGATACGATCCAAACAAGAATCAGAGCACCCATCATCTTCATCATCTTTCTCACTACACACTCCATATTAGTAATATTTACGGGCATACTGTCACTGTAATACCTACCCCTAATCCCTCTTACCCTTATAACTATGAATACATATATACATACCCCCAAGTAACACATTTCTATCTCATTTCACTGTAATTTCTTCTTCTTTTTCTTCAGTAGCAAGCTGCTCTCTTTTGACCAAGGCTAGTCATCATCTTCATCAACTTCTTCAATGAAATATGTACTCCATATTTCATTTTCATACTCCATTTTCATCCAAATCATCTACAAAGCAAGGAAAGAGATAGAATGAAGAAATTTTCTGTCTTAAAAGACAATTACACGAGTTTTGGTCACTGAAGATATATATAATTTAAAAAAATTCAATAGTAATTGTGATTCGTTGACTAGTCTACGACTAGTAAGCCGACTAGTCAACTAGTCCAGCCTTCTCAACTTGTCATCTTGTTAACTGTAATACCCCTAATCCCTCTTACACCCTTACCTTTAGTGTCCTTCTACTCCGTCCTACGCAGTAAAAAGCTATTTTTACCTTTACTAATTGTTTACTTATCTATCACATTATATATTTTTACTAAAAATCTCCCCGTCAAGACTATATTAGGAAAGTCAATACAAAATTATTCTCTCCTCAAATTTTCTAAAAACAAAAACAAGAAAATCTTTATGAAACGGAGAAAGTGTATGATTTGAAGTTCCATCACGGCCCAGCCCAATTTGATTAGAAGAAATAGATATTCAATGCAATGTTTTGGTTCTCAGATATTTCGGATTGGATATAAAAAAAACTTGATCCAATATGGAATGGTATACTCATTAAGATTTTGGATATCCACATATGTCTAAAGTTCATGTTTAAGAATAAAGCTCACACCACCTAAGACCAATTCAATTTTATCATCTGAAGTCTTTAAACCTAATCACAGCTCAAGTTTTCTACATTAGTCTTTTTGTCTATGCTTTAATTGTCAATTATATGAATATGTTTTTCATACATTTATAAAATAATGATTTATGATAACACTATCAAGGTAACTATAACATTTAAAACAAATTTGACTTCAAATTTAAGTCAAATTTAAGACCTCTACTATTTTAAGTTTTAACAAATAAAAAGTGATTCCAAATATTTTTTTGGAATTATTGGAAAAATAAATATAAAAAATTGTTCTGAATTCCATTGATCCGATTCAAAATTTGAGTAATCCAGTAATTTCCAGGGATTGGATATGAAATAGGTATTTATCCATGCATCCAAAAATTTTGAATATCCAACAAACCGAATAAGATTGATTATATGCATGCGAATGAACACTCCTAACATAGAGATCATATAATTAACTAGCATAATGATGGGGATATAAATAATTAAGAGATGCATGGAGTACGGCGAGTTAGACGTGGTAGTATTGACTATTAAGAGATGAAGAGAAGGTGGGATGGAAACGAGATGAAGCAGAGAAGGGGAGTAGGCCGGGTTAGGGTAAGAATCAAGGGGAAAGAATCCTCCAAATAAATGACATTCTATGGAATTAATTTGGATGGAATTAAATTGTCCAATTCTAATTCATTTTTTTGTCAGTATCAATTCCAAATCCACATTGTTTTGTGCTACCAAACAGCAGGATTGAAATTGTTGCTTCCAATTCTAATTGAATAGTTTGAATTTCGTGTATCAAACGGAGCCTAAATAAATAAATGTTAAATTATTATATGCTCCGGAGTATATATTCATAAAGCATAAGATATGATTACACAAACTCAATTTGACATAACCTTGATGCCCTTGGTAGGAATCGAAGATCTTCATGCATCCTCAAGTAGCGCTCCAAGAAGCACGATTTGCCACTAATGATAAACTTCTCTAAGACTCTTGCGTTTTTCAGAAGGTACTCCACCAATTTCACTTCCTCGTGATAGCCTTGGAAATTCACAATCTTGATAATTTTGAGATGAAACAACAAGCAATCAGGAACTTGCTGAAGTAGCTCCGGTTCGGGTGGGTGATAAGGTTCACTCAAAAATTCAAGCTGAGGCTGCTCAAATTCAGATATAGGATTATAGATTGCCGGAGTACATCTTGAATACATTGAACAGGTAGCAAGCTAAGTGAGATAACACAGTTCATTTGACAAGAAATATGCAAGCCTACACATACCTGGTAATCAGAATAATTACGATCGTCATAACAAAATTCCGTTCTCAAAGAGCGCAAGTGGGGCGATCTCTCTAGCAAATTCAACAGCGTTTCAAATTTATCATCACGATTAATTACATATACCAAGTCGTCCATATTTCTGAACATGGGTAGGACACTTCGTCGGTCATTATTAGCCTACAAGTCAATAATAGAAAACGGCCGCAACAAGTTTTCAACAACAGCCAGAAGAAAACTATATATATATATATATATACTGTACGCGGATGTAAAATAATAATAAAGATACCTCCGTGAACAAATGTAGCTTTTGAACTATGGACATCCCCTTCAGAAGATCACTTATCGCATCATCACCATGGTAATGTAGGGGCCGGATCCCCGAGGTCCTGCTGCATCGAATACAAATGTGTGCGCTTGTGAGCTCGTGGAGGTTCTCTACCACATAGCCTTCCGCTTCACAATCTTCAATAAAAAGGTCTGAAAGAAACGGGGTGTTGAGCATAATACGGAGACTCATACTGTGCGCCGAGAAGTTGTCCTCCCAAGACAAAAAAGTTAGATGCAATGATCTGAGCAAAGGATTACAAATCTTAGCAACTCTTACATGTGGGCCCGCACATCTCTTCATCTTTAGAGTATCAAGCACAGGGCACCCATCTAGAAACCTAGTTATTGAGTCGTCATCTGGAAAATAGACCCAAGCAAGATCGACAAATTTCACACAAGGCAACAACACCAACCTAGGTACATTCATATATATATACGCACCCAGTGTTAGCTTCACCAGTGTTGTGCAAGTAAACAGGTTGCTTGGCAACAAACTAGAGTTCATTTGAGGGACACGAATATCAAGTTCTTGAACCTTGCATGTCAAGACAGAAGCAAGCCATGAATTGACACCCGGAGCATTGTAGCATTCAACACAGTGTAACCTGAATGTGTCTATGCACGAGAACCTTCCCAATAACAATACCCGATTCACAAATTCTGTAAATGTAGTACGGAGCGCGTCAAGGTCTCGGTTCAAGTGTTTAGGGCTATGCAATAAGTAATCATCGAAGTATAAGTGGGTGATCATTGTCCACAGCTCCTTCCATCTAGTTGACAAAACACTAGTAGCCACAGCATTCTTTGTCGGAAGAAATGAGAGTATGTGGCCGATAAGGTTGCTTGGCAAGCTGCTGATCCTATCTTCACTTGTCTTTTCACACAGTTCCTCAAAATGTTTATGCCTTTTTAACGTCGAACTCATAATTGTTCAATGGTAATAACCCCTAAACAAAAAGACAGTTTACCGGAGAATTTGAATTGATGTCAAGCCATAGATGGATAAATATCACAAATTAAAGAAGGTGAACTGAAACAAAATTAGGGATTTGATTCTAGAAGCTAAACAACTATTTAAGATGGTGGAAGAGGAAGAGCCCATACAAAACTCATAAAACCCCAAAAAGAATACAAGTTCGGTACATATATATATATATATATATATATATACATACAAAGAGGCAAAGCATAGGCTACAGGGGCCCAAGCTATAAAAAAATCAGTTTCACATATTATCAAAGGGAAAACCTTAGCTGCTTTGTGTCTCTCTCTACATATACATGCATCAATGGAAGCTCATTGTGTCCTATCATGCCTTCACAAGAAGTTCTATTACTATCTCCAGGGAAAGGGAGTTGGGGGCCTCAGCAGAGTTGGGGTTCAACCTTTTTTAAATACAAGAATATGAACTTGATTGCGATGGGAGCAAATGTGAGTAGATTTATTTCTAAGTCTCTTCAAAACTAGAGAGTTATCTTAAAAATAAAACAAAACAGATGAATTGATACTACTTGGGGAAAGTTTCTCCTTGTCCATATTTGTATAGGGGAAAATTACCTTTTACCTCCATAGAAGAGCTCCATTGCAGTTGGTGAAAACAGGAGTATACAATTATTTTCGGTTGAATGTTTCTTCTAATACATTGAGGCAATTTGACAAGGATTTATTATTATTATTATTATTACTCCGTATTATTATTATTATTATTATTATTATTATTATTATTATTATTATTATTATTATTATTATTATTATTACCAACACTGTACTGCTTCACTTGTTCCAAACAGAAAATTCCGCATGCACAGAACAACGACACACAAATTGCGTTGAACATTACCTTCGGAACCTGGAAATGGGTCTGAAATAAACGATATTGGCCCCTCGACGGCTCCGATCGACTCCTATTGCTTCTCCTTTCACGATCTTCTTCTGGTTTTTGTTGTTTACTCAAACTCCTCCTCAAACGATGACACGATGAATAACAACGACATCGTCAAATAGGGGACTATTAATGTTTATCTTAGAGTAATATGCCTATGGGCTTAATTAGGCCCACTCTCCAAGGTAATGGGCGTTGCGCGCGTTCGGTTTTTGTTCTTTCTAATGCAATTAGCCACTCCTTACATAGCAGAGGCTTTAGCTATTCCGATTCGCATGTACCGGCGGACAACATGAGGAGTCGTTAGAGATTTTTCACACTGCATGTAGACTTCCTTTACACTGGTGTCATTAAAAATACAAATGTAATCTAATGAATGGAAAGTAAATACAATATTTCAATCTCATGAAAACAGTGTTTGAAAACTAGTATTTCATTTCAATTCATTCATTTCAATTCTAAAATATTAAAATCGTGAATTTCAAATGACAAAGGAAAGTACATAAGTTTCAAATTAAACTTTGTTATGAATAAGAAAAATTTGACTCAAATCTAAATTCAAAATTTTTAAATTTCTCAAACATGAAATTTGAGTCAAATCCAAATTTGAAATCCAAATCTATGTTCTCAAACATACCATAACGGACACCTATACCCTAAAATGTTGGCGGTGGAGGTAGAGATTTACAAATGGGAATTTCAGCAACTAGTCGACCTGTAATATGTATATGCCCTTTTTATTAGATTGTGTGACTAAGTTTTACAGACCACGAAAAAAATGAATTGTTACTACCTTTCTTAAAGGTTCATACATTGGTTAGACCAAGAGATCATATTCCATATATGGAGCTCAAGTCACAACCCAACAACAACAACAAAAGGGAAGTATATACACGAGTTTAGTGACAGCTCCCCATTATCCAGAGATTTCTCTCTAGTATTTCAACTCCATGAGAACACGTACAAATTTTGCATTCAAAGGTGATAAGAGACTTCTCACTGCGAAGAGCTGTGAACAAGGATGAACGAGGATAAAGGTGATAAGAGACTTCCCTGCTAGCCCTGCACAAATTAAATCTTTTGGATGCCAGCATGAAAATATATATCAATAGTGAACAACGCAAGGATTTATTGTCTGAAACATCAAAACCCAAAGAAAGCAATTCATACTGTACGCCTAAAATAAAGCAAAATCAGTTCAAGGCTAGGGACATGGACTTACAACTCTAAGAATCAAAGACTCCAAAACGGGGGGCTCCAGAAAAGTCTGCATTTTTGGCATATTCCTGACCTCCAACACCAAACACACTAAAAAGCTAGCTAGCTTCCAAATAGATCCATCTCTTGGGGAGGGAATCGTAAATGAGGAACATGGCCCTGATCAAACACCCAAAGGAACAACCACATGCCACCTGCAATTATGCAGCCCCTGTTTGCTATACCGCCGATTATGTGATCACCATTCGAGCTCACCAAATTCAGTGAAATTTCACATGTAGCCTCCCCCCTGCCATCTTCTGGGAAACAAACGCAGCCCTCACATGAAGTGATTTGGTAAAGACCTTGGTGGTGGTGAGACACAGTTCTACCAATTGACTTTAAAGAAGGGTCTTGGATGGCACCATTGCCATTCAGGATCAAAGCAGCACTCTGGGCATTCCAAGCTACCCGATGAAGAAACGCGTTCATGATTTCCACGAAGTCCTGCAAAAAAAAAGTATTGTGCAGTTAATGCCCAGAATCATATGGATAAACAGAGCACGGCTGACTAGTTAGTAGTACAGAACCCGCAAGAAATTGGTAAGTGTCAATGGTAAATTCAAATGGATAAACAGAGACAAATCATTCATACACAAACAACAGATCCAAGAACTAAATTAATGGTTCGGAGTAGCAATTCATAAACATTAACTCACACAGCCATCATCAATTTTTACGTAGTACAGCTGTGGCGGATGATCACGTGCCTCTCCACCACCACTAGGAGGAGGCGGTGGTGGGGCCTGTCGAGAAGACCGCCGTGGTGCCGGTTGTTGAGGAGGTTGTGGTGCTGGATGTCGAGGAGGCGGCCGTGCGGGCTGTCCACCCGGGAGATACGGATGATATGTGGTGCCAGGCTCTGATCGACGGGGAACCAACAGCTGTGAACGAGGATACAATACATGACGCAGAGGCAGCCGTGTGTTAGTGGGAGGAGGACTAGACAAATTCATTGAACGTTGGGGTGGGAAAATCGGTGGAAAGATCGGGTGATGTGTCACCGGCGGAGCAGACGCCGCCGGCGAAGGGCCCTGGATATTTTCAGGCTGCAGAGGCTGTTCGAGCCGGAAAGTAGTTGCCGCGGCGAAGGGCCCTGGAAATTTTCACGCTGCAGAGGCTGTTCGAGCCGGAAAGTAGTTGCCGCCGGCGAAGGGACCTGGATACTTTCACGCTGCAGGGGCTGTTCGAGCCGGAAAGTAGACGCCGCCGGCGAAGGGCCACGCTCGAGCCGGGAAGTAGAGGCCGCCGGCGAAGGCCCCCCGCCACGCAGAGGCGATTCTTGAATTCTGAAGGATATGGAAGCAGAAGCATTTCTGGAATATGGCGAGGGCAGTAGTTCGAGCGGCCGCGGAGCAGATGCCGCCGGGGAAGGGCCCCCACCCTGCTGAGGCGGTTCTTGAATTCCGAACCATCTGGAAGCTTGCGGTCGCAGTTCTTGAAAACGGATCTGCCCGGAAGAAGACGCCGGCGGCGGTGGGAGGAGAGTGTCGCGCTGCAAAGGCGGTTCAATACCCGGCGGAGAAGCAGATGAGGCCGTTGGGGGACGATTAAGGTGATGCGTCCCCGGACCGGTGGAATGTGGGGGATGGGAATCCATTCGAGTTCTTGGAACAAAACCACTCTTCGCAGTTCGCAAGAATCTGGCAGGAATATACTCCAGAATATGTACCCCTCTTCGCCCAAAAAATGTACCCGAGTACCATTTTACTCACGCACCACACAATTTAAATTCAAAATTTATTTTTTAAAAAAAAGTTAAAGAATTAATTGCGTTTTTGGCTAGTGTTTTTTCTTGCTCACTAAGGCTCCGTTCCATTCAATTTATTTTTTCTAATCTCGTCTCAATTTTTGTAGTTCTGATCTGATCTAGTTTGATTGGATTGAATCTGATCTAGTCTAATTAGATCTAAATTGATCTGGTTGGATCTGATTTGATTGGATCTGATCTGGTCTGATTTAATTTAAAATTCAAATCAATGATATGATTTGACTTTATAATAACGTTTGAAAATTGTAATAATAATTCATACTATAATATAATCAATATTTTTTAGTTTATGACTTTTTAATAAAATAAAATTACTTGATTCATATATTAGAATAATCATTCATATTATAATGTAATAATATTTTTTATTTTATTAATATTTTTTGTGAAATTAGATTATCAATTTAATTTTTTAATAATTACTTCATATATACATTAGAATAAATATTTAATTTATATATACAATAAAAATTAATTAAATTTTAATACTATCTAAAAGAGATAAAAATACATTATAATAAATATTTAATTTATATATACATTAGAATATTTACTTCATATATACATTAGAATAAATATTTAATTTATATATACATTAAAAGAGATTGTATTTTTATTAAAATATCTCATCCTTATAAAAGATCAAAACTTTAAAACTCAAATTAAAAGTAGCAATAAAAATGTAATTTAAAAGTAGAATTAGATTGACATTGTCCATGTATTTTAAAAATAATTTTTACGACGTCTAATAATTAAGGATTACTTTCTCAGTTTTCTATTTAACTTGTTTAAAAAGTTTATTCTTTTTCGTGTTTAATAATAATAATAGTAGTAGTAATAATAATAATAATAATAATAATAATAATAATAATAATTCTTGATAGGATCTGAATTGATCTGATCTGATTTGATTAGATCTGATCTAATCTGATCTAATTGGATCTGATCTGATCTGACTGGATTTGATCTGATCTGATTGGATCTGGTCTAATCTGATCTAATTCGATTTGATCTGATTTGACCTGATTTTAATAAGAATAAAAAATATAAGAAAAAATAAGTGGAACGGAATAGGGCCTAAAAGTGCACTACACGCTTTATTTTCCAATAAAATCAACAAAACATTCATACATATAACAAGTGATCATATATTCTTTACATATAAAATTTGAAGGTTGAACTTTCAGAATCGCGACATTTGACACGTTGACAAAGACTTTTTTAATGCCTCATGAGGCATGTAATCAAAATGAACTTCCTGATTAATTGAAATTGGTTGGATATTATCAAAGATTTGGGCGACTCTCATCCATTGGATCTGTGAAATTCATTCACGACTCTCATCCACGAGATATCAACAAAGATTTTGAAGGTTGAACTGAAGATTGCTCTGAAAATTGAAATAGATTGGCAACTCTCTTTCCTTCGATATTTTGAGCCTTCTTTGATTTCCTTAGGACTGAAAAAAAAAAAACCTGGATGTTGAAAGAAACTGGAAAATACTAGAAGAAAAATCCAAAAATTTGGCACAAACAAACTAATGACACCACTCAATTAGATTGTCTCATTGCACTAAAAATGAAGACCCTTAACTATGAAAGTTAGGCACAAAGAAACCGATAACTCAATTAGATCATTGCAAGCTACAAGCAATTGGTATATACCAAGAACCCAACAATGAAAATACCCTAAATCATTTCAGAAATTTGGTGGTGAAGAAGAGACACTCAGGAGGAGAACCCTAGCCTAGTGACTAGTGAGGGGTGCGATGTGAGTGGATCGATCTAAACGAACATGAATGGATATGTATTGAAGCAAAGCACCTTTCCCAAATGGGTACGTCACTTTATCTACTTCCAGTTAGCATCTTAAACGAATGTAATCAAAGCAAACATAAAGGCATTCAAATTCATATTTGATTTCTTTTTTTAAAATACCAATTTCGAATTCAAACTTGAAACTTCAAATTCTTAGTTAGGTTGAATATGACACTGGAATTGTTTTTTAAGTGAATTGTGCAGATGAGGGAGGGAAAGTATGATGAGCAAATGAGCAATAAGTTCATCTCATACAATGGCAAATGAGCCCAAAAAAACCAATGTATGAAGAACAACAAAAAAACAAAAAAGAAACATCCGCAAGAATGGAATCTGAAAACAATTTTGAGAAAAGCAATAAGTTGTTGCCTGTTAGAAACAGCAGAAAAAAATTTGCAATCAAAAGATTAAATTCTAGAGAAAAAATTGCGCAATGAATTGATGCTTCATACCTTGAAAATGATTTGCAGGAATAATATGCACTTCTCAGAAAAGCAACGAGTCAACGACGAAGGAGAAGAAAATAGAATGCAGTGTAAAGCTACAACTTTAGACTTCGCTCAATTTTACACTGGATTTGTGCAATGTTAATGGGATCCATCTTCTTCTTTCTTATGGGGGGGAATGGAGCCCACTCGTAGGTAATTTTTGGTATAGACGAAGTTCTCTCTGTTTTTCTTTTTTGATTCTCTCTTTTCTTTATATATATATATATATATATATATATATATATATATATATATATATATATATATATATATATATATATATATATATATAACACTGGAATTGTTTTTTAAGTGAATTGTGCAGATTGTTGGGTTGCCTACCTGTCCTCGTCATTTCCGACCTTCAAGCACCTCAAAAGATGGATACAGCCCGTCTCTTTATAAATTCCAAAATTTCACTCCACCTCCATATTAGAGACATACCACTTCACTTCCACTAAGCTCGACCAGTTTTCGGTAACATCATCTCATAAGCCTTCAAAAGCTCATTCTTCCTTGCCAACTCACTTGCAAGCCTGCTGTTTTCTTCTTCTAGAACTGCCATTTACATGAAATTCATCTACTCATAAATCAGGACAGCAATAACAGAGTGTTATTCACTAGTACATCAAAATGGCTAACTACCTACATTCACTTCTAAAGATATAGTAAAAGAAAAGAAGAAGACAAAAAGAATCTCTCTCTGTTTTTACTGTGAAACCTCCCTTCCCCCACCTACGCGGTTACGCCAGAGCCCTGTTCTGCTAGGGCACTGGAACGATGATGATCAATAAGGGATTCAGATTTACCTGTTAAAAGCTTCTTCAGATTGTAGTCCCCATTCAACGTATTCTCAGTTTTCTTCAGTTCAGGGCAGCTCTGCTCCGCTTTATACCCCTCTCCCTCTATCTTCATCAACAAACTTCGGTCCTGCATACTAGTGCCTATTTGGGAATCGAAGACCTTACTCTTTTTACCTATTTTGTGCTTCAGCTTAGTTTCCTGCTTTTCCTTCAGTGGCATATTAATCCAAGCTACATTATCAACCACAAAGAACTATTATTAACCGAACATACAAGCATACTAGTCAAACCGTGAAAAGAAGGAAAGAAGGAAAAGAACAGAAGATACAAGCATCATTCATCATGATGACTAATTGTGATCAGACAAAAGTTTCAATATTCATTCATTATTCTGCACAGATGATGACTAACAAGAAAGCTTAGTTTCTGTTGTAAAAAAGATCACAATCATCCTCAGAGACCAAGGTTACTATGAATCCAACAAAGTTGCAATATCAGAATAAATGACTCGCCACAAAGATGCTACATCTATATAGGTTATCCCTTCAGCTCTTCACACTCAGCAAGAGAGGAGTCCATCAAAGAAAGAATTTAATGCTCTCACTCTACACAAATATGCCATTCTTCCCTAAATATTCAATTTGATTATCAAAACTACTGGGCTAAATATATTGAAGCGCATTTTTGGATTTTGATCATTTCTAGGTTTTCTTTAAAATAAAATTTGTTCAATTGAGTACTGGGCAGGGCCGTACTTCGAGATTCACATCAGTATCTGGGTAGATCCTCTTCACTTCACCCTACTTTTAGGCTATTTGGTGTGGGTTCGGGGAAGGCATCAGGAAGGTGAGGTCGCAACTATTAAAACATGTCAATATCATGATTTCACAAGGCATCAGGAACTTTAGGCTATTTAAGTATTTAGTTCACTTCACTCTATGTTACTTCTTCTTCTTCCGGTATGATAAATAAATAAACAGATGAACACACTACTATCAGCATATATATATATATACACACACACACACATACATACATGCACACACACACTCCCTTCGTCCCCAATTTGATTATGGGATTTACGAGGAGAAATATCTCATTTTTTAAAATCATTTTATTTAAAAATTGGTATATCGATAAGAAATAAAAATTGCGGAGTACATATTAAAAAACTACGTCAAAAGTTGTACAAAACAAGAGGTGATCAGTATTTTATTTTATCAAATACTTAATGAAATCGTGTAAACAAACAAAAGTTATCGAGAGGAGAGAAAAAAAGTGTAATCAAATTGGGGACGGAGGGAGTATAAAAGAACCAATTAGCAACTGAGCACAAACCATGGGTAAGGATGCATCAGCAAACACACAAAATTGGAGGAATTAAAGAGACTTACAGTCAGGAACAGTGCCGAGAACAGAGACACGTATATGCCTGGAACGGCTGCGGAAATTGGTGTCAATTTTATAGCAGAAAGAAGCTAAAGACCGGAATCGGGTCTTATCGCAATTGCCACCATTACGATTTTCTGTATGAAGCGGAACCTCCTCAAAAAACTTGATCCAAAGACCACGAGAGTTGGGTTCTTCATGCGTGAAGTCACAGCGGTTAACAAGTTCGGCAGTCACAATGTAACAGAAGATGCGGCCACCCATGTGGAAAATATCTCTCCAAGGGAAAAAGGTGAATTCCGTGAAGAACTTGTTCTCATCCAACTCAGTCTCTTCAGCCATAACCTGTTCCTTGACAGAAGCTCGGGAGCAGTCTTTGAGCAAGCTGCTGTCACAGTCCCCTCCTTTGGTGGCAGTGTTGGTGGTGAGTGGTCCTCTTTTAATAACCTGTATGGAATCACCGTCATAACATTCGAAAACATAAGCAGTTCCTGGATTCCAGACATTAGGCCCACAGAGGTGGTAGAGGGAAGCAGTGTCCCGTACAAAGAGGGAGCCAAAGCAGAAGAGAGCAGCCAGTTCTGGAGGCGGCCTTGGATCCCAATCCTGGGTGTCCAAGTTAAAGACCAAATCAAGATACCCACCAATGAAAACTCGTCGACCCACCACAGTGGCATGACCCATTAATTCAAGACCCTTCCACTTATAATAGGGAAGGGGAGGGTCAGGAAGAACTTCCCAATGGTCAGAACTAGGATCATAGCGCTCAAAGAAGCCGGTACCTTTACAACCGGGAAGGGTCCCCTCACAGTCCAACAATGTGGTACCAAGGGCATAGATCATACCATCGGCAACAAACACGCAAGGACTCTGCTTGGGACCATTCAAGGGTGCCACGAACCGCATTCCTTGCTCTGGGTCATCAGTGTCGAAAACCTGAACCTGATGAGCTAGCCTCTTCTCTTCATCGGAGGAAAGTCCTTGCACACGGCCCAGGTTGCCCCCAAAGAAGTAGATTTTGGAGCCAAGGTTGGCGGAGGCAGAGTAAGGCAAAAAGCGATTCTTCTCTGAGAAGGTTAGGACGGTGGAACTGTATTTAGAATCAGCCATGAACCCCTCTGAATCTATCAATTCATCGTAGTCAGATAGATCAAGTGGCAAGGGAAACATGTATAGCGAATGAGACATCTCAGAATACTCATGCTCCACGAACAAACAGATAGTTGGTCGCTGCATGTTCTGGGAACTGGTGCCATCATGTACTTTCAAATTTTGGATTTCTTCACTCATTCCTGAAGCTATCTCAATCCTGGCATCAATTAATTTGCAAGAGAATACATCAATTAAAAGCTGGAATCGCCATGAATCTTATATTTCTCCCATAAATAAAAACTGGAATCATGATATCATATAATAAAAAGAACGAAATGAAAAAAGAAGGATCCAAAAATTTGGCACAAACAAACTAATGACACCACTCAATGAGATTGTCTCATTGCACTAAAAATGAAGACCCTCAACTCTGAAAATTAGGCACAAAGAAACAGATAACTCAATTAGATCATTGCAAATTACAAGCAATTGGTATATCAAGAACCTAACAATGAAAATACCCTAAATCATTTCAGAAATTCGGTAGGGAAGAAGGGACACTCAGGAGAACCCTGAGTAGATCGATTTAAACGAATATGAATGGATATGTATTGAAGCAAAGCACCTTTCCCAAATGGATCCGTCACTTTATCTACTTCCAGTTAGCATCTTAAACAAATGGAATCAAAGCAAACATAAAGGCATTCAAATTCATCTTTGATTCCTTTTTTTTTAATACGAATTCTGAATTCAAACATGAAACTTCAAATTCTTAGTTAGCGTTCAAGATATTGGAGGTCATCCCATACAATGGCAAATGTGCCAAAAAAACCAATGTATGAAGAACAACAAAAAAACAAAAAAGAAACATCCGCAAGAACGGAATCTGAAAACAATTTTGGGAAAAGCAATATGTTGTTGCCTGTTGGAAACAACAGAAAAAAATTCGCAATGAATTGATGCCTCATACCTCGAAAATGATTTGCAAGAGTAATATGCACTTCTGGGAAAAGCAACAACGACGAAGGAGAAGAGATTAGAATGCAGTGTAAAGCTACGGAGTATAACTTTAGACTTCACTCAATTTTACATTGGATTTGTGCAATGTTAATGGATCCATCTTCTTTTTAATGGGGTAAATGTAGCCCACTCGTAGGTAGTTTTTGATATAGACAAAGTTCTCTCTTTTTTTCTTTTTTTTAAGAAATTTGAGAGAAAAAGAAAATGAGAACATTTTTGTTGTTTGGTTAGAAAGGAAAACAAAACCGGAACGAAAAAATGAAAAGAAAAAATATATTAAGAAAAAAGAAAATCAAATTTTTCCCATTTTGATGAAAAAAATAAGTGAAAATTATTTTCTTTTTTCTTCTAAATTCTTTGAATCAAACATAGTGTTAATTTTTTTTTAGAGTTCTGTAAGATTTGTTTTTAAAAGTATCGTAAGAATTTAAAGTATTGTCATTTGACGGTGACAATGGTAGCCGATGGACGATGGTAGAGAATAGTCGGTCAACGGTTGAAAGAGATCAATTCTTCATATTAATATCTCCCAAATTTGAGAGACATGTCAAAATCTTTCATTTAAATAATTTATGATATCTGAGAATATTAAACTTGATATCTTTTGAACTCAACAAACGATGAAAAAGATTTTGACATTTGAAGGTATCAAAATTTGTACTACGGGGTATATCTTTTGCTCCTCAAATGTATCTTTAATAATCTTTCCGTTTAACAAAATTCTTTCCATCTCCTTTTTCATCCATCTACAAAAACTTTTTTTTATTAAAAAATCACTTTTAGCTCTACTAATTCTTAACCTACCTATCAAATCACACTTTTTATCTATTAATCTACCCATCACATCCTACTTTATTCATCACATCAAAGAGAATTTTTGGAAAGTCAATATCAAAATACACTTTTCTTAAATCATTTAAAAGTCAAAATGAAAAGTTTTTTGCGGGGCGGAGAGAGTATATAGTACTACATCCATCCCAAAAAAGAATTTAACATTTTTCCAATAATTACAGAACTTTAATTTATTTTTACGTTTTCACTGATTATTTGATAAAATAAAATATACTAACATCTCTTATTTTGAAATATTTCATATAGTTTTAAAATATGTAAATTTATTTTTATTTCTATATTTATATTTAAATAAACAATGGATTTTAATTCTTTAATAAAACAATGGATTTACGAAATGTGGCAAATATTTTGAAAATAAAAGAGGATTTCATTTGTTTAAAAAATGGATTTTAATTCTTATTCCATAAAGGTCAAAAGAATCAACTGGACCAAATAGTTACCCTAACCGTATATCGGTTGTCACTTCCCAATTTTCACCGTCGGCCAAGAAGGAAGAAGATTTAGCAAAAGCTCTCCGACGAAGAAAACTTGACCAACTGTAAATAATGGTTTTCAGGGAAATTCTTTCGTTCTTCATCGTAGCCGCTCTCTGCTCCAATCTCTGGGTAAAAAACTTCCTTATTTTTGTTGTCTTCATATACATAAAAATTTCTTATAAAAAAAAAGGAAAAATATTTATTATTGTTATTATTTTCTGCAGGTTGATGGTGATACATCAATCTCCGAATCCCCTTTCTCTGTTGCTCTCGATGCTCTTCAAGATCAATTGAAGTATGGTTTCTTCCTATGTTTAATTTTCTTTGATTTTAATTTTGACCCCAAACCCTTGGTTCTTTGGAGTTAAAGAAACAATCCACAACCAATATTTTGGAAGGGCATATTTAATCGTTTCTCTAATATACTCTCCTTCCATAATAGTGGTCATGTTTTAGGATTCTATTCCATAAATTTTATTTTAGTAACTTACTTGTAATGGGGAATGAACTGCAGTGTGAATCGGTTTTCTGAATTTGAAGCTGAAGAGGGATATATTATAAGTATTTTGCCTTTGGATGTGATTTATTTTGGTGTATACACAGCTACACATTTCAGGATGTGGCATTGCTGCGGCGTGCCATGACGCATTCCTCCTACTCGGCAGAGAACAACAAAGTTTTGAGCATCTTTGGGGAGGGAGTGATCGAGACTGCGGTCTCAATGCAACTGTTGGTGAAGGACATTGATGTCTCTTCCAAGGAGCTGCACGAGGAGATTTCGCGGGTGTCGAAGGTGGAGAGCTCATGCGCAGCGGATGGAACCAAGTTGGGGTTGCAGAGGATAGTCAGGGTTTCCTCCAACGTGAACTCCACAACTCCTTCGGTGGTCTGTGGCGCTTTCCGGGCAGTTTTTGGGGCAGTTGCTTTGGACACGGGCAGTGCAGACAGTGGCGGGAAGTTGTTCTTGAGAGTTCACGCGAGAGATGGCAACAATCATGATGATGTGATGTTGGCCGCTCAACGCATTGGTGATGTGATCATGTGAGTGAGTAATGTGATGCCTTACTATGCTGCTGCTGAGGGAACTTTTGGATTGCCGTTATTTAGTTGATGTAAAGCGCGGGGCTGTAGTAGTTTTAATGTCTTGTTATGGGGATTTTAGCAACTAGTCAATCTCTAATATTTATGCCCTTTGGATTGGATTGTGACTGTATGCTTTACATCATGAGTGAATGTACCCTTGTTTGTGTTTTTTGGATGGTTGTATCATATCATATTATCATATGAAACAAAAGTTGCCTTCTGCAGAACCAATGTGTTTTTTGTCTCTACAACGACTCGGTATGTATAGATATGATTTACACCAAGTTCACTCCCTCACCCTAACCTCTGTATATACACACGCACAAACAATGTGCAATCTACAACTAATAACATAAGACTGTAATAACAAATGACGAAACAAAAACTAAAACTAGACCATGATATGATGGTTCTTTACCACGGTAAAGACTACCCATGCCCTCTGGCTGATCAAAACCTCTTTACCTTATACGAATGGACCAGGAAATAGATGGTGATCGAGAAACTCCACTGAGCTAGCCTAGTATGAAGAACCTTTCCCTCCCTTTCTTGCGACGATCCGTCTCACAGAGAACCACCTTAACACGCTGAACAACATCCTCCATCTCATCTGGGCCTTGTCTGCTGCAACAACTGCTGATCTGCTGCCGACAAACCCACTCTCTATATAACAATCCAACGGTTCAAAGCTGGTGGTGGTGTCGTCAAGTTGTGCGTAACCCGACGTGTCAAAGTAGTGCAGAGTCTCATCCTCTCCAAAAGCCTCTTGTGTTGCAGCAGAGTCATACATGAAGGAATCCGGTAAACTAACATCCAAACTGTCAATGCTATGCAGCAAGTCGTATGCAGGTTCCAATCCACTCAAACCACCAATGGAGAATGTGTCATCGGGTGACGATGATGCTACTAGATAATCACACCCTTGTGATGTCATCGAAGCCTCAACTCCGAATGAAGGATTTGAAGATTGGATATGTGGAAACACAGAGGAGGACTCGTTGTCAAAACACACTACTTCTTCCCAGTGTCGAAATGCAGATATCACTAGCTCACGTGCCTCTGCCTGGGAAGGGGGGGAAATGAAAAAAGAGGACAAATGTAGAAAGATGAAACTCAGGATCACAAATCACGTTCCCACAACTTGGTTTTTGTCCATTATGCAAACGTTGCTAGAAGAAACGTTTGTGTTTTGGGCTAAAATCATGTTCTGGGAAACTCAAACTTGTGGCGGGTTATCTAGCATAATAAAAAACAAGCATGCATGCCTTGTCGGTCTCAGATAGATTGTCTGCAGGAACAAACTGAGAATCTACAAAGAGCCCCATCACTTGTGCCACAATGTTGAAAACCACTCCACTCTTTTGCTCCGTTCCAGATGGGTAGTATGAGTACATTTTATTGCCAAGTACACATGTTCTCGCGTGTTCAACAGTCACTTCCCACATCTTAGTGGACATTCCTGTCCCAAGGATCTGCAACATTTCCATACATTGCCTCACGACTCACATATACAGGACAATTCGTTATAATAATTTTTTTTCTAAACAATACTTATCATCATTCGAGGAGATAAAAACTGCAGTATGTTTCTTACATTCCGAAGTCTTCCTGAGTCGAGAGATAGCAAAGTCAGGAAATCCTTCACAGTATATACTCTTTCTTTGCTCAAACGCCTGTGAAATGCTCCGTCTTTACCAATTTTTTCAAGTCTCCATACTTCATCCAAGAGTGACGGTGGGTGGTGCTTCTTGTATACTACAAATAAATAAAGGGAAAGAGTAATGAGTTGTACAAGTATTATTTAGTTTACTAAAATATATTCCCAAGAGAGACGGTGGATGGTGCATCTTGTACACTGCAGTTATGTTATTAGATTAGTGCTTCATCACTCTGAAACTCTATAAGTTCTCATAATATACACCCATTAGGGTAGAGAAGCACATGCATAAGATAATAAATAAATAATGAACTTACACTCTCCGCGGTGGTCTCTTACAACAAAAGACTCTGTTTTTGCCTCTGAAACTTTAATTTCTTCAAAATTTTCCACAAATCTTGCTCCCAGTCTAAACTTACGACTTCTAGTCCAGCTGGAATTATCTGTGAAGGAAATATCGCCAACCAAACCAATGCCATCTTTAAGATTCAGAAATGCATCCCCATTAAGAAGGCGCTTCTTCCCTTCCCTTTCTCTAACAATGTTATCTCTAAATTCCTCAGCACTCCAATCGTTCCCTTCATCGTTATCAAAATCTCCTTCAAGAACCACAATTTCCACCTTTGCTGATGACTCTGGGCCTGTTGTCACAACTTGTCCAGTGAGAGCATCAACTAAAGCAACTCTAAAACCTGACCCATCCTCTCCTTCTATACGAGTTCCAGTAAATACGGGAGGACAAATTGAATCTATGAACTTTAACTTGAGGCTTCTTGATTCATAAGAGTGTGTGTCTATCCCATCATTCCTAAACATGAGAGGCGTGAAAAGATCTATCACATGCAACAGCTAGCTGTATGTATTGACCATGGACCATATTACATACCGTATCATACTGGTGGTGTACTTTCTCAATGCCAAGTCAACTTCCTCTTTTACCTGTAAGCTCCCACGAAAAAATGAAGTCACTACCTTTCTTACAGGTTCATAAATTAGTTAGACCAATAGATCATTCATATACCATGGAGCACAACTCAAGGCCCAACAAAAAAAGGAAGTATATCTAAGAGTTTAGTTACAGCTCCCCATTATCCAGACATTTCTCTCTAGTATTTTAACTCCATGGGAACACAAATTTTGCATTCACAGGTGATAAGAGACTTCAATAAGTCCTTATGCAAAGAGCCCCACACAAATTTTTTCGATGCATGACAATATCAATGGTGAACAACCCAAGGATTTATTTTATGAAACATCAAAACCCATGGACAGCAATTCATCCTATACTGCTAAGAGAAGAAAATTCACATCAAGGACATGGACTTACAACTCTACGAATCAAAGGCTCCAAAACAGGCTCCATAAAAGTCTGCATTCTGTTCATGTTCATAACCTCCAACACCACACTACATATATTAAAAAAAACATAATCAGTAAGTAATAAAATTGAAGGAAAAGAGAAGAAAATCAATAATGTGATTTAAGGTGTTGATGATGATGATGACATAGATTAGGTAAGTGTATAAGACTAGAAAAATAAAAAAGAAGAAAATATCCAGGATACTCTTTCAACTGTTCTCATTTTTTTTATTTAAATGCTCTTTCATCAAAAGCAGATTGTGAAAAAAAAGCCATCTTTGTCACACAAAAAAAGAGAACCTTTTGACCCTAAAATCCAATCAGTAAGCACCAAAAAATGATGCTTCATGCACCAAAATTCATTTATCATTATTATCTTCAGCCCAAAAAGAAATCTCCACTACTCTTAACAGATCCACAAGCAATTCCAACCATCTTAAACCGATTATGTGAACAGTAATAAACTTCCCAACTGTCATACTTAAGGCAAGAACCTTAAAATGGATTCAACCCAACATATTCTACTCCTAAATTAACGGGAAAAAGAAAAGTCTTTTATAGCACGCCTAACCAAGCACCTTACTTTAATGGCGATTTCAAAATCAAGAACAAAAAGAATTTCAAATCGAAGGATGGAAACCGCAACCTTCTGAGAGAAGGAATCCTCCGGTGCCGTTTATCTTCCGGTGGAGGCGCGGGAGCCTGCTCCGGCAGTCGTTTCTGTGACATCTCCAACGGCCTCAATCCCCCCACAGGATTTAATGGCTTCTGTTTTTTTTTATTTAGAAAAAGTTAGTAGAAGAAATCGAGCGACCGACCGGAGCAAGGAAGAGAAATGATCATGGATGTGAAATATCGATTCTGTCCCACCGGTACTTGAGTGGACAGCAAGACCAACATGCGTTAGAGGAGGGCGATGATGGTCAGAAGATGTGCCATAAATAATTATTGCTCCGTATATGGGTCGGCCAGGCCAGGCCAAAGGGATAAAATTCTATCGAATAGAAATAAAATTATTTGGAGAAGAAAACAAAAAAAAGAAGGGGGAGGGGGTGGGCGTAATGGCGTATGAGTGAGGAGCAATAGATTTTGGCAGGGAGTGGGGGAGGAATCGGGAGAAACCCCAGTAGGCGGTGGTTAAAGAAGACGACGAGATTGAAAACAACCCCCGCCCGTTAAAGACGACGAGATTGGGATTTTTCTTTCTTTTCATGGAAGTCGTAATTGTTTTTTATTTATCACTAAATTTCAATTTGTGGAATCTGATTTGCAATCCCTGGCCTGCAGTTTCGTTGTAGGGTGGACGTGGAGGATGAACGGAAAGAGGAACAAAAGGAAAACGGGCCAACGGAAAAGCCAGCTGGCCCACCCGGAAATAGTCCCTACTTTGCACGATACCTCTGGGAGATTAGCGTCATTGTTTTAAAAAAACGATCAACAACAAAGTCAAAGGTTAGTCTTTTCATAGTAATCAACACTGTTAAAATTTTATCGAAAATGTTAACGCTAATCTCTAACATTATTCTCAAATAGACTCTCACTAATCTTGGGCTCCCTCAATCTCATCTGAATACTCACATACTCACTGAAGGAAGATAAATTATTTTTCTCACTAGTTTTTCTAGTTTCCATCCGAGTTTTTTGAAGTCCTCATCAAATACTTCCACATTACATTGAGCATTAAAAAATTTAGAGTTTTTTGCGCCATTTATCTTTATACTCCCTCCGTCCTAAAATTAACTTCTCATTTGACTTTTCACGGTCTCCAATGCGGCACTTTGACCACTAATATATCCATTTTTATATGAATATATATTATCAAAATAATATATTTCAAAACTATGTTTCAAAATGAATCTATTGATACTAAATTTATATGAAAATTCAATATATATTTTTCGTAATATGCAGTCAAAGTTTAAAAACTTTGACTGCAAAAGTCAAAATGAGAAATTAATTTTAGGACAGAGGGAGTACTTTTTAAAAATTGTTAGAATCCCCTTGAACTTTAAAAATTGCGTCAATGCCTCTAAGCTTTTAAAAGTATTCGACCAATGGTCCCTATATGCCAGCTTTGAGAGTGCGCTAATCATATGTTCATCCAGTACAAGTATGGATTCATCTAAAGTCATATTTCACATGTGAGTTCTGCAATATGTCTTTCCCAAACATTATGTTTTTTATATTTTTAACCTCTTTAAGCCCGAGATTATTATTTTTAATTTAGTCATTGATAACCAAATTTGAAGGCCAGACATCAGTTGATAAAGCTCGTCATCAATCGATCAACATCTTCATCAGTGTATGTCATCTTTATCAAGCTCCAACACATGTATTGATGAGCGTGTGATTAATGCACTTCCAAATCCAGCATAGAGAGATTGTTTGTGCAATATTTTTAATAATTTACGAGGCATTGCATTGGTGTAATTTTTAAAGTTCGGGGTAAATCCGAGCAATTCTCAAAAAGTTCATGGTTAATGGGCGCAAAAAAATCGAATAATTAAAAATTATATGGCTAAAATTTATTTAAAATAAACAAATGATAGTTGTCACATAGGGAGTATATTTATATTAAGAAAAATAATTGAACTTTTATTATAAAAAGAACAAAAAAAAGACCTTATTATTTATTCTCAAACATTTGGAGTATTACATTGACTAGTTTCATGGGACAATTTTTAAAATAAAGTGAAGATTGTATGACTGATATTTATGCAATGTGGAATAGATCATGTAATATTCTCAATAATAGAAAAAATGATTTGGGAAAGACGTAAAGTTTACGCAATATAGAATGAGACTGGAAAGATTTGAGAAAAACAACATAATTATGCGATATAAAATGAAACGGAGAGACTATTTTATTTTTTCCAAGTATTGTAAATGTATAGATTAACCAAGATATTATCTGTTAGATCATTAATCTCGAGAACAAAGCTAAACCAGTCTGAAATTGGTGCAAAATTATATCTCACCTTAATTTGTTTATACTAGTCCGTACATATATGGATTTCGCAAATAATTGTGTATTGGCATGGGCCTATTCTAAATGGTTTTCCAAAGAATGGGCTGTCTCTCTCTATTTTATTTGAAATGATTGCTTGATAATTGTTGTTCAAGATTTAAAAATTGATTTAAAACAGACCAGACTCAATCCAATTAACATCGCTCTCTATTACGGACCATTTGTTTATGCGTGACATATTGCGCTCAAAGCATGCCATTTACTCGAGTCGGCTCTCGCCCACCCGATGAATATCTTGAACCAAGAGGTATTAGGCCCATTGGGAATGGCTCAGAATCCTAAGATCGTGTGCCGAACATGGAGGTTTTCGAGGGCCTCGGCCCAGGCCTTGCCAGTGCATGGGACCGAGGTCGAATCCCCGGTTCAGAAGCAGTCACATGACCAACTGATCTCTCTCAAGTACGTGGTCAGTCTCGTTTGGGCTTCTTGGTTTGAAAAGACCAAGATGATGGTTCACTCGTTTGGCACATATCAAACGTTCGTTGCTCGGGTCTAATTGTTAAGAAGGCCGACAAAACAACTTGTATGGTAAGCTTGAATTCAAACCATTGCTACAAGCGTGTGCTTAAACAACCAAACATGCCGTTTGTGAAGAAATGTGGGTGTATTAGGTATATCTGAAAACATGCAGCGGTGCAAGTTTGGGAGGACAAGTGAGAGACAAACTTAGCTTCAATTTATAGCTACGGTTCCATAGATATCTCTCTGTATCTTACCTGGAAAGTTTATTTGGATAACACATCAGAGACAAGCAAATGAAAATCCATTTTAAAAAAACCAAAAGACAATCAGTCGTTTTTCTTCTTTTTTTCTTGTGCTTCTTTGTCCCCTTGTGAATTCGCCCAATTCCAAGTTTACACTTGAAATAAGAAATGACCACTTACACAAACCCGCCATTGTAAAAACTTCCGAGTACTTCATATAGTAAAAACAAACCATATTGTAATTTTTTTTTACACAATGAACTACTACTACTAGTACTACTACCAGTCTCCTGCCCAAAGAATATATCCTTAACTGGTTTACATAGAGGTAGATGCAGGTAAGTTCCAAGCAAAACAGGAGTAGTGGTAAATATATATACTCCGCTAACAGCAAAAGAAAGAAGTTTTAGTTTTCTTTTGACCAAAAAACACACTAAATTCAATAAACTGGATAAAGAAGTAAAGGTTCACTAAATTACCACAAACACACCTCTTTACCAATCATCCTCATCAATGGCCTTCACAACTCGGTTCACTCAGCACCGAGATGGCCTTTTCCAGCTCGGTGCCGAGGCCGGCTCAGACCCACCTCCAACTCTTCTTCTTCTTCTTCTTCTTCGCTGCTGACCATCTCGTCCTCGTTTCCGGCTCCAAGCACTTCCAACAGCCTCTTGGCCTTCTCCTTAGCCCGCTCGCTCCCTCTCTCCGACACACCCTGCAACACCTCCGCCACCATTGCGTTTCTGGCCATTCCCTTGAACCTCAGGCACCCCTGACTCAGTGAGTACAGAGCCGCCAGGCAATTCTCCTGCGTGGCCTCATCCAACTCGCTGCCGTGCCTAAGCAACCCCACCACCGTCTCCACCGCCTGGGCGTCCAGCAGAGCCGCCTTCCCCTCGGCACACGCCGCCAAATTACACACCACCAGAACCACTATACTGGCCAATTCGCCCCCGTTCAGCATCCCCACCAGCGCCGCAGCAGCTCCCATCTTTATCAGCTTCGACCGGTTGCTCTGCACCAGGGTCAGATGGTAAAGCGCCAGCGCCGAGTCGCAGCGAGTCCGCTCTGTCCCCGTCCTGAGGGCGTGCAAGAGCGGCTGCAACGCGCCCAACACACCGATGGCAGTCTTGTTGTCGTCCTCGAGCGACAGACTGAAAATCACCCCGGCGGCGTGCTCCTGCGACTCCTCGAACCCGCCCTTCAGAACATCAATCAGCAGGGGGAGGAACCCGGCTCGAACGATCTTCAACTTGTTGACTTTAGCAAGCGAGAGGTTCACCAGCGCGGCTGTGGCGTTGGGCTGAATCCCGGCGTATCTGGACACCACAAGCGGCTTCAGCGCCGATAAAAGCCGCGAAGTGCAGAGGGAAACCCTAGCTTCCTCGTTTGTCCTGGTCGCCTTTCTCAGCTCAATCACTGCTTGTTCTTGGTCAAATGAATCCAATTTCTCGAACTGCGCGACATAGTATTCATCACCCGACAACGAGGATGACGAATTGGAGGCGGAGGACGGAGCTTCGTCTGAAATGATCTCCGACGAATTCGATAGGGACGTCGGGGAGGATAAACACGCGGGCAGAGGCGGGGAATTGGCAATCACAGACTCTTCGGAGCTCATGGAATAGTAGAGATTGTGGTTATACCTCTGATTCAACTCCGAAGAGGCCCGGGAAAGCGGCGCCGGAGGGTGATCCGAAACGGCTCTGAGCAGTTCCTTCTCCGAGACCCGGAATCCGGGATCCTCAGCAGCACGACCCGAATCAGTCATCAGGGCTCGAACAGTGGACTCGACGGCGTAATAGTCCGGCGGGAGGGGTTTGGTGGCGCCAGACTTGTCGCACCAGTTGAGAATCGCGGCTCTGAGAGCCATATTTGGAATAACGGCGGAGAAATCAGGGGTGCGGTCGTCGGGGAGCTGGGGGCGGAAGCCCAAATCTTTGCAAACCTGAACAGAAGTGCGGTCGAAGGTGTGGCCGGAGGAAACCACGACAGGATCAAACATCAATCGGCCCAAAACGGGGCAAAGGAATTCGCGGGGCGTGTCTTCCTGGTCGTATTTATATGAAAGCCATCTCCGATCGGATAATCTCCACCACCGTTGCTTCCCTTTTCCGCCCATCTTCTGCCGGAGCGAGCTCTACTCACTTTCTCTGCTCCTTTGTGTAAATAAAACCTTGCTCAAATTGAGCCTTTTATTATTTATACATTAAATTAAATAATTTTTAATAGAGATTTTTTTATAGAAAATTATTTAAATACCCCAAGTAGTATATTAAATTAAATAGTAGTATTAAAGCATAACGACTTTCCCATGCAGTATCATATTCTCCCGTCCTAAAGTGTTCTTCCCACTCACTTTTTACCCGATCAAACTTTAATCACTTTCTTTACCTATTTTCATTAGGTATTTGATAAAATAATATAGTCTTGTCACTACTTGTTTTGTAAAACTTTTGATGTAGTTTTTTAAATATATACGGAGTAAATTTTATTTTTTAATTTTACACCTACAATCAAATAAACTAAATTAAAAATAAAGTTGATCAAACCTCGTAAAAGGAACCGGAAAGAACATTATAGGACGGATGGAGTATATTTTTAATTGCTAATGTAGTACCAATCAATATCCGCAGGTTATTGTTCAAGTAAATGTCCGCCACTACTAGACATTGTTCAAACTAAATGTCTACCACTATTAGACATTGTTCACGCCACTAAACATTATTCGAATATTATTTAAAAAATAAAAAAGTTTAAATACTACATTGAAAAATAACATATATTTAAATACTATTTAGTGTAAATTTCACTTTTTTGTTATAAACTTTCAAACATTAAATTTTCACTTTTATTTTTAAAAACTTTCAAATGTTAAATTTTCACTTTTATTTTTATCATACCTTGCAATAATTTTAAAAAAACCTAAAATAAAAATAAAATATACAAAAATAGTTGAAATAAAGTTTTCATATTTTTATCTTAAAATACAATAATGTCTATGTTCAATAATTTTATTTTAAAATAAAAGTAAGTCAATCATACTTTGGAGATAATGATAAAGTTTACCCCGTTATAATTTTCTCCAATTTTGAATATCTTTAATAATTAAGGTTGGGGATGAGAATTGAGAGATAATGAGATGGTTGATGATGAGCGATGATTGAAGGAGTTGTTGAAACCAATCCCGGTGAAAAAGGGTATGGTTAAGGGAGTAATAAGTCAAATCTAAGCGCAGTTAAACTAGCAAAGCTATCCCATTTGCGTGGCCGATAATTCATCATGTTGACCATTTCTTTTGACGCTAATGATGGATATTAAGTAAGTCTTGGAGTAATGGTATCATTTATTTTGCTTTAAAAAACCATAAAGTATCTTTTTTTTTGTTTATTTTGAATTTTTTGATAATACTGACATACAATATGTATTTCTATTTGAAATTTATACTAAATAGTACTAAAACATATATCATTTTCCAATGTAGTACTTAAACTTTTTTATTTTCTATATAGTGACGGGAATAATGTCAAATGATGGTGAAATTTAGTTTGAATTATGTCTAGTGGTAGTTGACATTTACTTGAATAATAACCGGCGGACAATGACCAATCATACTATATTGAGAAATAAAATAACATGATACTATATTAGAAAATACATTGTAAATTATCTAAATAAGGCCAAAATATAATGACTTTCTCAATATAGGACCATATGTTTTTATTTATCAATGTAAGACAATTGGTCATTATCTATTAGTCATTATTCAACTAAATGTTTAGCATCACTTAGACATTATTCTTCTCACTTGTCATTATTAAGTCCTATTTAGGAAATAAAAAAGTTTAAGTCCTACATTGAAAATGACTTATGTTTTAATCTTATTCACTGCAAATTTTACTATGTTTTAATACTATTTAAGATTCTCCTATTTCTATTCACTCTTAATGTATCTCCCAACCCTCTATGTTTCATTTTTCAAAATTGTTTTTATAATGTTTTAAAAATAATGAAAACTTGTTTGTGTTTGAAACAAAAATAAATGACATGAAAAAAACAAAGACATACTTCATTTTTCTCAAATTAAATATTTTTGTTTTTTTCTAAAATAAAAAGAATTTTTTTTGTGGGGAGGAGGGAATTCAAAAAAGGAATACACAAAAAGAGAATAGAAAAAATGAATGGAATAACAAAAAGATACAGAAGTACTCTTATAGATTATTGAGAAGATAAATTGTAATTTTGAAGTCTGCCCACATGGGTAGCTCAACTAGTTTAAGGGGAAGATGTTAATCTCAATGATTTTAGGATCGAATCTTGACAACGGCAGTGTGGAGTTCTATTATTTGTAATAGCTCCTTAACTTGTAAACACCAGACATGGACAACCTCTCTAAAGACCGTGTTGAGATTGGTAAGATTCTTTGTTGGGACTAGTAAGAAAAAAGTCAAAAAATTATTCGATCACACTGCTCTTTAGTTTAAATGCATGGGTAGTCACATGAAATGAGGCAATATGAATTTATGACTACGCTAATAAGGTGATGCATTTGTTAACGTGAACATCTTATTTTTTTCTCAAGACGAGTGATTAAACAACGAGCCCACCTACCACACGTCTACCCTCTCACTAGTATTTTAACCCGTGCCGCGCACGGGATCAAACGAATTTATTTCGATTCTAAAATTTTTTAGTTTAATATTTTTTTCAGAATAATGAAAATAGATTTCTCACATAATCTTTAATACTATAAAAAAATGACAAAATCGAATAAATAATATTTGAGGAATTAAAAATGTACTCAACAAAGTTTATTCAATATTTTTAAATTATACAATATTTTTGGTATGGTTTTCTAAAAGATTTTAATGTATACAATATTTTTGGTATGGTTTCAAGAGTTTTCATTGACATCTAGAATCCATATTTTTAATCTTGTCTTTGTGTCACTTATGAAACAGTAATATAAAGCTGATCATGAGTGGATATTGATTTGATTAAAAATAATTCAACAAAAGATAATATTTGACCTTGACTTTTGTTGATAGTCATAGCAAAACATAAGGCTATTGGGTTTGATGGTACCAAATTTATTTGGGGTATGTAAACTTTTTCTCTAACTCAATTTTCCGAAACAACAGTACCACCGATGATGTTTTTTTGCAGCTCGTCAACGATTAATCTTTTACCACTATACAATCCAAATGTTTGGTCAATGTTATTCAATAACATAATCGATATCCCCTTTTTTAAAACAATTTTGTGGGTTGGGATTTTTTAAAATTTGATTTCATTCAAAAATTAAAATGTTGTTTATCCTCCATCAACATTTACATCTGAACCTGTCTCGCATATGGAATCATAAGTCAAGTACTCCATTTTATCTTTTAGAATGAGGGATAACACAAATTCATTTATCATTTATAAAAAAGAATAAGTTTTCATACTCTCCAATAGGTTCAGATAAGTGAATTCCACTATACTCTTGAAGGGATAACTTTGTTGTGTCTAAAATCAAGAATTTGGGTGAAATTTCAATGTCACCAGTTCCATCAATCACTTGTCCAAACTTTCTCTATCCAATTTTGATTATCATATCAAAAAAGCTTGTATGTCCTTATGTGCGCAAGCAGATGTAGATGAATGTAATATCATATTTTTGGTCAACGTATAAACTTTACAATATGACCATAATTTTGAGGAATTCACGATGGTGCCTACAATTTCCTCTCTCGGAGATCTGAGCACAATTATTTTCCTTCCAAATGATTCATTTCTAGAGTTTTTAGAAACAAACATCATTACATCTCTCATTGTGTGACTCAATGTCTCAAAAGCAAATCTATTAATCGTGTATGTTTCATCTTATATGATTAGACTTAGTACCTTTAAGTGTGTAAATACTAAGCATTTTTTATACCTTTTATTCATTAATAACTTTTATTATATTCTCCAAATTGTATGTATTTTTTACTCCCTCCGTCCCCCTGTATTTGTCCACTTTCATTTTTGCACACCATCCAATGCACTTCTTTAATCCATTTTATCTTGTAATTTGTATATTAAAAAAATATAAAAATTATATATTAATAATCTATATGTTAAGACAAATCAAACAAGATCACACATGACTATATTTAGGCTTACACATTGAGAGAATTTGATGAGTCAAAGTGTTTAGATGAACAGTTCCAAAAGTCAAATGTGGACAAATACAGGGGGACGGAGGGAGTATAAGTAAAGCTTGTACCGTATAAGAATATAACAATTAAATTTTAAATTGGAAAACACTATTTTTAAAGCATAACTTTTATTAGAATTAGAATTGTTATACTCAATATGGAATATTATTAATGCTCCATTATATAACATGCTAATAAAAGTCCTTTTCCTTTTATATACTTCTCTTTCTTTTTCAAAATAGGAAACGAATGCTTTAAATATTAGTTACTACTACTATTTATTATTATGATTTTTATTATACGTAATTCCAATCCTTAGTTTATATTGTTTTTGTTGAGGTTGTGAAAACATTGTTCGAAATTTAACTTTACATTTTTATTTTTTAAGATTTTTTTTAAAAATCAAATTTATATTTTTTAATTTTCTTTTTTTATGAAAAATCATTTGTCTATCAAAAAATATAAAACTACTTGAGTATCGTTAATTTTTTAAAATTAGTTTTAAATACACAATAAGGAAATTCCAAGGAATATAATAAGAAAAGTTCTAGTCAATGTATGATTGCGTACATGTTTAAAAAAATTGTCTACTAAACATGCCACATGTAATTTTGGAAGCCGACTCTTAAATTTTATATATAAAGATTTAATATTTGTAGTATCACTTTTAAGCACGTAAATATTAAACATTTTATACCTTTTCTTCATTAATAACTTTTATTATAGTTTCCAAATTCTATATATTTCTCTATAAATAAAGTGTGTACCATTTAGTTATATAAAAATTAAATTTTAAAATACACAATACTAATTTTAAAATGGAGCATAATTTTTTGTTAGACCTAAATTTTTTTTATTGTGTATGAAATGTTATTAATACTCTCTTAAATAAACAAGCCAATAAAAATCAATTTCGTTTAAAATATTGTTTTTTTTCAAATTAGGAAACTATTTCTTTAAACGTTAGTTGTTGTTATTATTATTATTATTATTATTTTGCATAGTTCCGGTCCCAAATTTTTACTTTTTATTGAGATCGTGAATATGCATTTCAAAACCTAAACATATATTTTTATTTTTTAAAAGTAATAAAAAATCATTTTATATTTGTTCATTTTCGTTTTAAAGAAATTTCTGAAGAAGATGAAAGTAGTGTATGCATATTCCATGAATTAGTTCTTTATTTTGCATTTTTCTTTTATGGATGGATTTATTCTCTGCCACCTAAGCTTGCCATCACACAATTAGTTCTTTAAGAAGGCGACACATCAGCTATGCCACATGTCACATTATAGCTCCGTCAAATGTCACATTATAGCTCTGCCAAATGTTGCATTCCTGCAACTCCGAGTCTGCTTTATATATATAAAGGATTAGACGAAATAGATTTCCTGTACTTTAGAAAATAGCAAGTAAAATGGAAAATATTTTTGTATTTTTATCATCTAAATTATAAATTAAATCTTCAAAATTATTTTTTTAAATTAAGTAAGTGACTGCTAGATGAACAGACCCACCTCGATTAGGCTCATGGGCTCCATTTCGAGAAAAACATTTACTTAGAAATTATCAGTTTAAATAAATACTTAATTATATAATAAAGAGACATTTTGAGAACATACTTTAAGTATATTACCTTTAGAGAAATACTTAAAATCAAATTACCTTTTATTTAAGTGATATTTTCAGGAAAGGACCATTTAGTGAATAAATATAAATTACAAAGAATCAAACATACAATTACTCTGGTATTATTGAGAACTAAGTTAGTGATACATATCACATTTTTAGAATTCACTCTATAAACATTATTCCACCTCCATATTTCACTACCATCCTCCAATTTTGGTTTGGTTGACCTTCTTCACTAACTACCCACCACTCTCTCATATTAGCGTTTCCAAATGGAAAGACAAAAACAATTAAAATGGCACATTTCATTTCATACTCTATTCCTTTCTCTTCTCTCATTAATTAGTTAATTAATTAATTAATATTAGCTTAGCTTCTTCCTCCCTAGCTATCAAATATATTCATAATTATATTCATCCGCTTCTCTGTGGTTGGCCCTTAAATTAATACACACCGGAAAGAAGAAGAGAGGCCAGCCAGGCAAACAAATTAATAAGCTGCATACATGCATGCCATTCCTTCTTCTTTCCATCCATCTATTATTTCCACCAACAAAAATCAACATAACATAATTTAAAGATGAATGACCTCTTCTCCAACTCCTTTAAACGTTACCAAGACCTTAAAAAACAGGTGGAAATGGACGACATCGAGGGCGGCGGAGGGGGCAATGCCGCGGCGGGGGCAGACCTCGACAAGTTCTTCGAAGACGTCGAGAACGTGAAGAAGGACATGAAGGCCGTGGAGGTGCTCTACAAGAAGCTGCAAGAAGCGAATGAGGAGAGCAAGACCGCGCACAATGCCAAGACCATGAAGGATTTGCGTTCCAGGATGGACGCTGACGTGTCTCAGGTGCTGAGACAGGTCAAGGTCATCAAAGGAAAGCTCGAAGCCTTCGAGCGGTCCAATGCTGCCTCCAGGCGGGTCCCGGGCTGCGGCCCGGGATCCTCCACCGACAGGACGAGGACGTCTGTCGTGAGCGGGCTGGGGAAGAAACTAAAGACGATGATGGACGACTTCCAGGCGCTGAGGGGGAGGATGAACTCGGAGTACAAGGAGACGGTGGCGAGGCGGTATTACACCGTCACGGGGGAGCAGCCGGACGAGGAGCTCATCGAGAACCTGATATCGAGCGGGGAGAGCGAGTCGTTCCTGCAGAAGGCGATCCAGGAGCAGGGGCGGGGCCAGATCCTCGACACCATATCGGAAATTCAAGAACGGCACGACGCGGTGAAGGAGATCGAGAGGAACCTGATCGAGCTGCACCAGATATTCCTGGACATGGCGGCGCTGGTGGAGGCGCAAGGGCAGCAGCTCAATTCCATCGAGAGCCACGTGGCCCACGCGAGCTCCTTCGTCCGGCGAGGGACGGAGCAGCTCCAAGAGGCACGTGAGTACCAGAAGAGCTCTCGGAAATGCACGTGCATCGCCATCGTCCTCGTCCTCCTCCTCATCGTCGTCTTGCTTTTCCCTATCTGGTCCAATCTCTTAATGATCCATTTTAGGTAGACTAGCTAGTTACATTATTAATTACTCCAAGAGATAGACACTCATTTTTCATTCAACTTTTTTTTTTTTGTAAATTAGTAGAGCGTAACACGTACACTTGCATATCTAACTAACCCGAAATGACCATATCTAATCTGTACCAAATCAGTATCATGAACATGATATACGTATGTATATACAACATTTTTGTTAAATGTAGCAAGAGTTCAAATTTTACAAGTTTTTTACATGGTGGTGACTAGTTTAATTACTTTTGTTACTGTTGTTGTCATGTTGGTGTGCACAACGCATGGTTGTATAAAGGGGCGTCGTGGCGGTGACAGATAACAGCAACAACAGCAATGGTGAGTACTCATCAGGGTATAGAGGTTTCGGATTCTTCGCCGGTGTGGGGAACAGTCGTCGTTGGACATGAACCATAATAATTTGCATGCATGAATTGAATGATGATGTTAAACACTAAACGCCGAATTGATGATCGAATTATGGGACGTTCATGCATGCATGCATGCAAGTTTAATTAGCGTATATATGAAGATTATTATAGAGAGTTGTACTCGATCGATCTCTTTTTTTTTGTTTTTTCTTTGTAGAAATTAGCCAGGGTTTAAAGACAAATGTTTTGATTGAATTGACTGAGGATAGGCTTAGGATAGATATTAAGGGTTGAAATATAATTTCTGTAATTAATTCTTATCATCCTCCCTTTTCAAACCAATGTCTCTTTTTATCTTTTTACTCCCCCCTTTTATAAAATGGTACGGTTTTTATTTTGACTTTTAAAAGAAATAAAATGTGTATATTTGTAGTTAAGGTAGGATAATAAAATGTACAGGAAAAAGTGGTTTAATTTTTTAATACAAAATAGAAGTGTTTTGGAGAAAAAAAAGTGTTTTAAGAAACGGAAGAAGTATATTTTTAAAATGGTTATTACTCCCTCCGTCCCAAAAAGATTTACACGTTTCAAAAAAAATGTGTCCCACAATCCCTTACCCATTTCTATTAAAAAACCACTTTTACCCCTTACTTTTTCAAACCCGACCTATCACATCATACCTTTTTCATAATAATCTACACATCACATCTTACTTTTACCCATCACATCAAGGGTATTTTTGGAAAGTCAACACAAAATTATCCCTCCCTTAATTTTAACTTTAGTCAAAATGGGTAACACTTTATGGGACGGAAGGAGTATAAGCTTAAATTTGTAGTTCAAATCTTTTTTAAAATTCGTTATTTAAAAATAGGTATGAAAATTCAAAATAACACTTACATATTTAAAAATAGGTATAAGTGATAATATGCCTATTTTATATCACTTACACACTTAAAAATAAGCATATTTAACTTACATATTTACAAATAGGTATAAGTGATAATATGCCTATTTTATTTGTCAAATGATCAACCATTTGAAAGGAGAGAGTGATAATATGCTTATACTTTTTCAAAAGAGTAATTTACCTAAATAGGACTAAAACATAATGGCTTTCTCAAAATAGGACCATATGTTTTTATTTCCGAATGTAGGACCTTTGGTCATTATTCTTTAGTCATTATTCAAGTAATGTCTATCATTGCTGGACATTATTCCTTCTACGAAGACATTAATAAGTCCTATTTAATGAATAAAAAAGTTTAAGTCCTAGATTAGGAAAGTCATCATGTTTTAGTCCTATTTAGTGCAAATTTCACTTTTTTCAAAAGTGCTTCTAAGTCCCTAAAATATTTTAATTGATTACAGGCCGGGTCCCTATATTTTTCTAAAAGTACTCCATAGGTCCCAAAATTATTTTTAGTATTTATCTGATCCCTATTCTTTTTAAATGATGCATTAGTGGTTCCTTTGATGGCTTTTTAAAGACCAAGTCTTCTAAAATTATTATAAAAATTGACATTATATCATAAATTTCCGGTAAGTATTGGCCAAATAGTTTTCGTGCACTTAATCTAAAAAATGCTACCAAGGTCTACTAACGTAGTAGTTAGAAAGTACACGGACTTGATAGGAACTAAAAATAATTCAAAGAAGTAGAAAACATTTTCAAAAAAATATAAGAATTTTTAAGCAGTTTACCTTTAAAAAAAGATTTTTAAGTCTTATAATCTGATCTAGCAAGAAACAAAAAAGTTTTCCAGGCCCAACGGCCCGGCCACAACCAAAACTACAAGAGCGAGCGAGCGAGCAGCGCCCCGTTCTCTCTTAACCGGCGGCCGAAGAGAAGAAGATGATGAGCAGCACAACCCATAATTTCACCCTCTTGCACCACCACCCGCTCTCCGTCGGCGCCACACTTCTCAAACACTTTTCATCTCTCAGGCCTTCCATCCTTCAACTAACCGGAAACTCCATTGCCGCCGCCGCCGCCACCGCAGCACCCGCCGCCACCACTTCCCAGTTCCGACCTCTTACTTCTCACCAGAAGCAACAACTCAACGCCTACGTCGGTTCTCTTCTCGAATGGAACCAGGTTCCATCCCGTACCTTTCTCCCTTGCATTATTAGTATATATTCATAGACAAAAAGTTTTTTTTTTTTTACAAAAAAACAATTTATTGCCCGCAGAAGATGAATCTTACGGCGGAGAGAGAGGAAAAGGACATCATGGAAAGACACATCGCGGATTCCCTCGCGATGATCGACCCGATTCGAGATTCATACTTGTCGTCACGCTGTGGCGATTCTTGCGAGAATCTTAGGGTTGTGGATGTGGGGAGTGGAGCGGGGCTCCCTGGACTTGTATTAGCCATTGCTTGCCCTGGTAATTCTTTGATGATTACCCATTTTGCTTTTAGACTCGGTGCAACTTCAATTTTCAGCCTTTGCATTTTGTTTGATTTCATTCATTCCTGATGTGGCGCTGTAAAATTACAGTTATAAGGTTTGGATATTGATTTCAAAATGCTACAATCATCTGCTTGATTGAATCACTATAATCCCATTCAAATGGAAAATGTCATTTCTTGTTTTGCACACGAAGAAGTTTTGGTGTTTATATATAGATTGGAGAGTGACGCTTCTGGAATCAATGAATAAGCGTTGTCAATTTCTGGAGCATGTGGCTGAGAAGAATAGTCTATCAAATGTGGAAGTTATAAGAGAAAGGGCCGAGGTATTTCTTTGCGATTCACTGCCGTAGTATCTCATCCCGGCATATCATAGGCTCTGTATATATATGCTGCTTTTGATGGATTAATGCAAGCAACCGCCTATATTCATGATACTTTACTGAGTTGTGGTTACATTTTGTTTTCCAGTATACAAGTTTACTGATTTGCTTTCATTCACCTTTTTACTTTCACGGACCGTCCCACACTCCCAAAATATACTTCACCTAACAAATGTTAGCTTGTTTTACAGAGGGAGGGAGTATATTTTTTCCCTTCAATTTTCTATGAATCTACGAGCATGAATTTTTTATTGGGGGGGGGGGCATGATTACTTTCTTTATCTAGCCTGCTACTTCGTATTTCCTAAGAGAGAGTGTATAAAAATAATGAATTTTCTTTTTATGCACACAACTTAAGTCTGAAACATTGAATAGGACAGAACTTAGGGCAAAACAAGGACTATAGAGAGTCATTTGATGTTGCAGTAGGCAGAGCAGTTGCTGATATGAGAGTTTTAGGTATGTGTATTCTTTGTTTATATCTGAATTTTGCATGGGTACATATATTTTGTTTATGAGTGTCGTATCTTCATTGTTCAGCTGAATATTGCCTTCCTCTTGTCCGAGTTGGTGGCTTGTTTGTTGCTGCAAAGGGTCATGATCCTCAGGTCCCTCATTTATCCTTCTCTAGTCGAAACAAACAGGACATATATATTTCTTTCTCGGATCCCTTTCCTTGTATACATGAGTTTCACTAGCTTTACCTTGTGGTAAAGAATTCTTAGTTGGGCAATGGCCAGCAGATGAGCTTCTAATGTAGTTCCAGTAATGTATACAAGGACTCTAGAAGAGTAAGTAAGAAATGAAATATGTGTAGCTTAGACTTTTATTTGGGGGACATAATTTTTTTAGCATTTTCTTTTCTTTGGCAGGAAGTAGTGTTTCTTTGCTTACTACTCTAGTCATCGATAGAACTATAGAAGAGGATGATTTATGGGAAAGTTTAAGTGTATCGAAAGTAAGACAAAGAGTTGTTGAAAGGTGTTAGGGTTGATATAACACTGAATAATGTAGCAACTCAAGAGATAAAAATAGCACATAGCATCTAAGTAGTTTGTGATCGTAGCAATAGTAGTAGAACATGATTGAATGATATAGAGTTTTAGAGATTCCCATCTGATCCAACAGGAGGAAGTGAGAAGAGCAGAGAGAGCAATACATTTGATGGGTGGAACTATATTGCAAACTTGCAATGGTACATTATATTTTCTGTGTGTTTCTCCTTTGTTTGTACTTGCACATATTTCATATCTGATGTTCTGAGAGTCCTAACAGAATTTCGTTGTTATATGAGTGAGTGAACAATCCCAAATGCAGTTGATTCACACAGCAAGTATGGGCAGAGAACTGCTGTCGTATGTGTGAAAGGCGGTCCGAGCCCAAAGAAATATCCCAGAGATCCAGGAACTCCGGCAAGGTCACCACTCTAAATGTGCGCGTCCTCCACAGCCGCACATCTGAAGTGCCAAACATACCAAAGATTTTGCATATAGCGGAGAATTTACCGAGTTTGAAGGGGAGGCAAGCAGGTTGGAGGGTGGGCAATGCATGCATAACAATTAACAAAGCAAATATTCTGTATCATCATGGAAAAACAAATGAATGTTTGATTTGGAACAGAGTATGTCCTAACAATCAACATCACATATCATGTGAACAAACTTATTCTTTTTTGCTCATTTGTTGTTACTGCACCTGCTATGTCCCTATTCTTTTTGCATTAATTTTGATGGGAATTAAGAGTTTATGCTTTGTCTACATTTTAACTGGAAGCTGGAGAATGAAATCGCACATACCAATTTCAATATTAATTATTTCAAAACTATACATCTAAATAAAATCAAATATACACTATTGTAAACAAAGCATCAATTAACTACACTTATTTGAGAGATAGGAGTTGTTTTTTCATTTAAATTATGCTTAAATATTAAGATATCGCATAGTATAGAAAAAAAAAGTGAAATGAAACAAAACATTTATCTAAACCAATACATATTGAAATGCATATTCAGAGTACACATACTTGCTGAAAAAAAGAAAACAACTTTTTCTGATAGATGTCTTCGACTTGAAAAAGGGATTCAAAGGCTGGAGAAATTGGTCCGATTGTATGGCACTCTTCGGATTAAGAAACCAAAAAATGAGAATGATGAAGATGGATCACACAGTGCTACGAACCTGGAGAAGTTATTAATTGATGTAGATGTTTTATTGGTCCAATTTTGATTTTTTTATGGTCAACTATTTTTCACTTTTTACTTATAATTAAATAAAATATATATTGTATATATTAATTAGATAAAATAATAATTTGAAAATATTTTATTTAATAAATCTAATAAAATTATTTTTGTATCAATATCTAATGCTTTATCATTTTTATTTAATTTGAAGTCAAAGTTTACCAATTTTAATTGAAAAAAGTAAAAAAAAGACAAGTACTCCGTACTTAGGAACGGAGATAGTAGTTTTTTATTTCATCATTAAAAAAAATTGTATCATGTACTTTTCTCTAATTTTAGTTTTGTTATCTTCGAATTATAATAATTTTAGTTTTGTAACATGGGAAAACCGATTACAGTTTAACTATTACGCTATTGGCACAACAAATGGAAAGCCAAAATCAAACACGAATAAAAACGCACCGTGTTGCTTTATTTGTTTTTCTCAGTGAAGGCATGGAAGATCAGTGCCTACGTGTCCGTGGCAATTACGGACGTTTTTTATAGTGCAAACTAGACGAGACCAAACACCGAATAAGTGAAGGTGGTGGATCAATGATCAAACTAAGTAGACATAGATATTTGCCTGCTTCATTCCAGTCCAAATTTGAATAAATCATCAACAGTCTTATGATGAAATGGGGAAACCAAACACAAGAATACATTACATCTTAAGAGTACAACATTAGTGAATATTAAACTAGTTCAGCCAAGAGCAGATTTATTTAGGTAACCACATGTAGCCGGGAAAACAATTAATAACACAAACAAAACATCCCATGAAAATCTGAGGAAACAAATAGCTTCTATTCCATTTTAAACATAAGGTTACAGCATACATGCTGCTGCTTATGATTAGTTACTTCTTGATAATGAGCTCTGCGCCTGGAGGTAATTCCTCTCTGAGTTCATCAGCACGCTGCATTGAAATATCTAGCGATTTATTCAAAATAATACCATATTGGTAATTCTTGAAGTCGATAATGACCTGTTCCAACACAGCAGCATTCTCAAACACATAACGGGCAAGTCCAAGATCAACACGTCCACCCATAAAGCCAAACAACTCCAAGATTTTCAAGCATTTGAGAGGGCGCGCATTGTGACGCTTTCTAAATCTATACCTTGGTCCCGGCCCGAAATGAGTGTACAACTGCAATATGAAAACAAAAGTCCGCGTGATTTGAGCACCATGTTACATGCAAAAGTGCAAAGCAAAAACAAAAAGTAAAAAATTTTGCTGATATCAGCCTTGCTGACTCATCCACAAGTTTCCATTATGTTTTGTTAAATGGGATGAGAAAGGTTCAAGTGCCATTGAACCCCAATTGAGGCCAATGTCATCGGAACCTTGCCTGGGATGGGAGATGTTCAAGTGACATTGAACCCCGTTGTCATACTGCGAGCCGGGCTCTAATTAGGGCCCCCATGGTACCCTGTTTGAAAACTGACAATTCTTACTACCCCCCCNTTAATTGACTTTGGAGTTAACAAATTTGAGTCCAAAATCAACTAAAATTGGAGAGTACAATTGAAGGGGCTGGATGTGTGCGTTTGGAACGGGTTGGGGTGAGAGGGTTTACGAAGGGGTAGGAACTGTCAATTTTTTTAACGGGGCACCATAAGAGCCCCAATTATGGCCAATGTCATCCCATGACATTGAAACTTACTGTCATGGGAACCTTGCAGATGTTAAATGTGTAAAAAATGATAACATAATGGTGATGGAAGAGGTGGTATCATGTGGCACACAATTCGTGCTAACTTCCATCCTGGTGCCATTATCCTTTCCCACAAATATGTCTGTATGTATGTGCATAAGCAGGGTTGGTCATCTAACCTCTAATGTCAATTTTTGCAATGCCGGGGAAGCCTCAATTAAGGCAGTCCATCCATCAAGGGTTTGACAAAAACTAGCAGAAACACCCAATCTTAAATGTTTGAGGTTTGTCAAATTAAGGGGAGGCATATTCAAATTCAGCTGCAGGTAAGATGTAGGCATTTATTCACAATAACAACAATTTTGGGAAAGAACAAAACAAAGTTCAGCATACGGACCTGCGAATCTACATGAGCCGTCACACTTAGATACTTCAAGTGTGAAAAATATTCTGAAAAAGAATCAAGAGCAAAAGCTACAGGTACATTGGGCAATACACGTACAGACAGTTCGGAAAGCAAGGAGGCATTTCTGAAATGCAAGTTTATACGTTCACCCATGTATGCAAATGTCAACAGCCTTGGGGCTAAAATGTCAATATTTTGCAATTTTGGGCATGTGCCTACCTTTAGTTCCTTTAATGCTAGCGGCGAACTCAGAGCTCTTATACTTGTCAAGCATAATGACTTCCAAATATTCAACTTCTCAAGGCATTGGCATGATAACAAAATGCATTCAAGGCCTTCGGTGGATATATTGACGTGATCAAGATCCAAGACTTTCAAGCAGGGCTTTCTACTCTCCAAATTAGGAGACTTAAGCGAGAGGAAACACTCGAGAGATGGGGCATAGAAAGAGGCAGTTGGACATAATATATATTTATCTCTAAAATTTAGCACAAGACATTTTGCTCTTTTTTGCCAAGGCAAATGCCACCCACTTATCTATTTGAGATTGGTAAGTATTGTCCAAAGCAAAAGCAACCTTGAACTCTTCAATTGATGAACCGCGATGTTGTTCCACAATTTGAGCAACCCAGCTCACAAATCTAGATGTATACTGGTTCACAAGAGCCCAATCAAGTAATGATGAACGCCAATCTCTCATTAACCTTGGATCTTCAAAGTTAAATACGCCTGAAAAATAAGTCCATAACTCTCTCCAATTGAGAAAAACGGTGCCGAGCTGTGCAGCTTCCTTCAATGTCAAACGAGACATGATTGACAACAAAGTGTCATCGGGTAGCTTACTTAGCCCATCGGACAAATTTCCACTACTTGTGACATGAACCTGAGTTGTGAAAAATCAAATTAGGCTTAGAAGCCTTTTTTTGCTTTTTCTTTATTATCAAATTAGACGAACACCAATATAAAAAAACTCAATTAAGAAAAAAAAAGAACAATAGGATTGAGATGTTACCTTTTTGGGTGTAAGCCCTTGGTTGTCAGCCATTAATTGTGGGAGCAAGACCAGAGTAGTAAAGTAACCTACACTCACAAAAAGATCTATGTTTAGATGAATTTTTCAAGAGCTCGAAAAACCCAATAAGCTTCGACACAAAGCAAACACAATAAACCTCCATTGCTAGCTACTTACAGGGGTACCGAAGATATAAACTAACCCAGAATCATATATAGAAGAACAACACGAATGGTAAAAGTAAACTTTGGGTTCGAATTCAAAGATGACTTTGCCTAACAACAGGTTGAAATAAGAAGAAAAAAAAAGCCGAGTTCGAACCTAGGTTCAAGATCGAAAGCCGGCAAACTTTCAAATCAATAATTGATCGAAATCCAACTTGGGTCTTACTTCATCGAGCTGAGCTGGGCTGAGCTGAGGAAGAAGAGAAAGTTTTCTTGTACCTTGTCGAATAATAGATCCGTCCGTCTCCCGCCAACTTCTCTTTCCTCTGTTTTGCGTTGCATGCAGTGACGGCTTTGGTGGGCTGTTATTTTTTACCCTCCCCAGCCTTTTAGGGTATATATGGGAATTGGAGGGGAAGGGATGGATGGGAGGGAGGGTATTGCAATTTTGCAAAATAAAAAATAAAAACAAAATAAAATGAATGGTAAAGAATGAGATGGGGTATATCTTTAGTGTATCCCTAACATCTCTCACCCTAAAAAAGTGTGTTTGGCTTCAGTTTTAAAAAAAGGCTTTTATAAAAGCAAAATCAATCACTAACACACTAAAATCTCCAATGGTATTGCTATTGATTGAGAAAAATTTTATTCTCTCCGTTTTACAAAATACTTCCGTTTTAATTTTTTATACACCCCATAAAATACTTCTATCCCACCTAAAATGTCTAAAATACCCCTAAAACAACTTCTACCCGCAATAAACTACATAGTAGAGTATATTTTAGATATTTTAGGTGGGAGTAAAAGCGTTTAATGAGGTGCGCAAAAATTTAGGACGGAAGGGTTTGAGTACACTGAATTGTATATTGTCCCTCTCTTCTACGCATTTTTTTTTACCAAAATCTAATTCTTTTTGTATCTTGCATAAGAAACTTGTAGAAGAAGGAGCCATATAGAATTTGGGGTTTAAATTTAGTGCATATTTTGGTGTATTGGAAACATTACTCATTTGCCTTTCATATAATCCAAAAAAAGTCATCATGGGTAGCTCAACTAGTCTAAAAAAGAATGTCATTCATATTGATCATAATGTCGAATTCCGCCAGCAGCAGTGTGAATTTTTTATTGGGAGAAAAACCAAAATAGCACTCTAAAAGCATTAAAATACTCTAAATAGCAGTGCTATATGTTTCTTACCGGTAATTCCGATTTTGTCATTTAATTAAATAGCAAATGTTCATTATTCACTGCCAAAAAATATGATTATTTTGGACAGTGTGATTGTTCACACGTAATTGTGTAGTGGGCAGTGTGATTTTTTATATGTGAGTTTTTAATGCGGTAGTGTAGAATACATATATGTTGTTATATCTTATCGCAGTGTGTAAATGTATTATTGCGTTCTTAAATTTCATGTTGTAGTGTAATGTCCATTGATTTATGTGGCAATGATTTCATTTATTAATTCTACACTGTCAACAAATGTATGACTATTTTCATGTATGAATTCCACACTGCCCAAAAAATGTATATCTCTTTTTATGTATGAATTCCACACTATTTTCATGTATGCATTCCACACTGCAAAAAATGTATATGATTGTTTTCTTTTATGAATTCCACACTGCTCAAAAATGTATGGCTGATTTCATGAATAATCTATTACACCAAAACACACTGGCCAAACATGGGCTTGACTTTTTTTGTCTTTCTTGATTTTGTATAATGTTAGAAGATGTTAGTATTAGACATATGCTGAATTTCATTTATGTGGTACTGAAAAGAATTGGATAATGAAGGTATTATGTTGTAAATTTTAAGACTTTGTAAGCAGCATACACTGCAACATTATGTAAAATTGTGCAACATAGCACACTGACCAAAACATAGGACATAACACACTGCCAAAAAGATAACTAGAACACAAGCATTCCACACTGCCAAAAATCTTTGAGCTTACACTTCATGCTTTGTTTATTAAAGTTATTCAAGTACTAGTCATTTTGGTGATTTTTTTGTGTCCGCTTCCAATGGAACTCAATGAATAATTTATTACATTGGAATTTTTAGATATATATCCCATTCGACCAAAACACATTAGGCAAACATGGTCATGAGACATTTCCAAAAAGTGTAGCTAGAAGTTGATTATTCCGCACTGCCAAAAAAATTTCAGCCCCTATTCGGTAACACGTTTCCATAACGAATTCTTGAATGTTCAAACCCAATAGTCATAGAACGAAGCATATGGCTTTTGCACAATATGAAATTCAATCCATAATTCATAACATTCGCAGTTTTATATTTATGTCTAATTTCACTGCCATATTATTAATGGAAGTTAATGAAGTACATACAAATTTGTTTAGGTCGCTAACTTTTATACACTGTCATATTTTCACTCTTGTCTTCCACATTATATATAGAAGACAATTTCACTGCCAAAAAGTGTTTGCATAACATGATCAATTTGTACTGCCAATATATTTATAGCCACCATATTGAGTAACATATTTCATAACAATCTCTTTCATGGTAAAACCCTATTGTCATAAAATCAACCACAAGCTGTTTGCACAATATGAAAGTCAAATAATAATTTATAACATTGGTAGTTTTATATGTAAGTCACATTGTCACCACTTCTTTATAAAAAATTTTATGTAGTTTTTTAATATATAATTCCTATTTTTTAATTATACAATAATTTTTACTTATATTGATTTGAAAATAACTTCAATCAAACATCATAAATCGAATAAGAGCCCTATTTTGGGATGAAGGAAGTATTTATAATTGACATATTTTTATGATATAATTTTAATATATCGTATTTTTATTATATATATTTATTTAAAATTACATTTAATTGATTGACGAAAGAATTTGATAAAAAAGAGTACTCCGCCACTATGCACAAAGTATACATTATGTGAGTCCGAATTTGATATAGGAGTTAAAAGAAGAATTGAAACAACTAATAGTGGGATAGATAAAAAGGATTGACAACATAAAGGGTTTGATTAGAAGAGATTGACAACATAAATAGCTAATTTGGTAAAAGACAATAAGCATTGCTAAATGCGTAATTTTAGATAGATTAGAGTGCTACGTAGATAATTTCATTTTTTTATTATCTATAATTTTTTTACTACATCTTTAGAAAGACGAGACTGAAATTATCCAAAAGAGGGGTGGAGGTTCCACCTTTTTCATGATATAAGGAATCCCATGATATAATCCAAAAGAAAAGCACCAAAGTCAAGTAGAGTGAGTCGTGGAGGACTCTATCCACTAGGCAGTGGCTCCCTCTCCCTCCCATCGTTGCTACATTTCTCAGATATCGAGCCTACTGGAGCCATGGCGATTCCTAATATTCGAATCCCGAGACGACAGTTGTTCATCGGCGGCGAATGGACAGATCCGGTCAAGGGGAACCGTCTCCCGATCATCAATCCAGCTTCGGAAGAGACCATCGGTTCGTAAAATTGCTTTTTTTTTACTTGGTGCGTGTGTGTGTGGAATTCCGTGGTCGATTGGAAATGTTTTTAAAAATTGAATTACTTTGAGTTGAATGATTTTGACGCTGGAGCCTTTGAACATGGCAGGGGATATTCCCGGAGCTACAGCAGAAGATGTGGATTTAGCGGTAGAAGCTGGTCGGAGAGCTATGGCTGGGGAGTGGGGCTCCACCACCGGTGCTCAGAGGGCCAAATATTTGCGTGCCATTGCTGCCAAGGTGGATCACCCTGAAACATATGCTACACTTTTACCATCACAATTCTGTCATTGGCATTCCTAAGTTCAATTTGATGATGTTACTTTTACCTAGTTTTAAGCACATGTATTGCGAGTTGCAACCTCTTTCTGCTCAACGGACAATCATCTTCCCTAGATTTGTCAAGCATATAGTTTTGTGCTTGCACTGATCAAAGAGTGTCTGCTGACTTGATATCACTTTTTTTTCTTTTGATTGATATAGGTAAAGGAGAGGAAGCCAGAATTAGGAACGCTTGAAACCATTGATTCTGGAAAACCTTGGCTAGAAGCAGATGCAGATATAGTAAGTCACAGCTTACACATGATAACTTGTTTATAGACTGCTATAAATAGCATATAACCCTCAAGTTTGCTTAACGTTGCTTTTTCATATCACTCAGGATGATGTTGCCGCATGTTTTGAGTACTATGCTGACCTTGCAGAAGCATTGGATTCAAAACAGAAGACTCCTGTCCCTCTTCACTTAGATTCGTTTAAAACTTATGTTCTCAGAGAGCCCATTGGCATTGTTGGGCTGATTACTCCATGGTATGTTTCTACACATACAAGAAAGTTGTGCTTTCATTGTTTCTCTTTGCATTTTGGCTGTTGATTTCACTGCAATGTAACTGAAAAGAACTGCTAGACTCTTATGACCCCCATTTGCCTTAAATTGGAAGGAATTACCCTATGTTGATGGCTACCTGGAAAGTTGCCCCTGCGCTGGCGGCTGGATGTGCTGCAATACTCAAGCCATCTGAACTTGCATCAATGTGAGCATATGCTTTTCATTTTTGCTACCTAGCTAGCATTTACGCCGCTATTTTGGTTTCTAATGTACTACACTTTTGAATTTCAGTACATCTCTGGAGCTGGGTGAAATCTGCAAAGAAGTTGGCCTTCCTCCTGGTGCTCTGAACATTATTACAGGGTTGGGACCGGAAGCGGGTGCTCCACTTGCATCCCATCCTCATGTTGACAAGGTTTGCTGCTTCAGAATTTCATGATTTTAGTACTATACACACACTTATAAAAAGATGAAATATTGGATCATGGACAAAATATTGGCCCAAACAGTCAATCAATTCTGAAGGACCATGTCAAATGAACTTGTTTGAATAATACTCACATAAAATCCCATCAGGGCATATGAAGGAGATTAGGAAGATACCTCTTTACATGATGGGGGTGGGGGCATTGTTTCTTTCTATAAGATGGTTGATAGCAATGATATTTGAACTGAATCCCTTCATCATCTTGCAATCCATTCATAGATTGCATTTACAGGGAGTAATGCTACAGGGGTCAGAATCATGACTGCAGCTGCTCAGCTTGTCAAGGTACCCGAACTGTTTAGGTTCTCTTTGATGCTGTTTCTGTTTGTGAGAAGTTTATGGTTGATGGTTTCTTTTTTCTTTTTGTGTTTTTTTATTTACAGCCAGTAACACTTGAGCTTGGTGGCAAAAGCCCTATAGTTATATTTGAAGATTTTAGTGACCTTGATATAGGTTTGCACTTTTCATTGCAACTTTAGTGATAGTGTTCTGAAACTGTTTATATTCAAATGTGCTGCATTTCATATTCTACTCTTGCTCTCAAGTTATTATTATGTGTTTATGATTCGATCAGCTGCTGAGTGGACTCTTTTTGGTTGCTTTTGGACAAATGGCCAAATTTGTAGTGCAACATCTCGTCTCATATTGCAGGTGTCTTCTCCTTACATCATATAATAAAATGATTTATTTTATTTTCTGTCATTTGGCTTATTTAGATCCAGTTACCACCTTCAAGATAGGTGCTTAAATTGGAAATGTTGACCTATATTTTTTTCCACTCATGGGCATTAGAGTTGTTATGAAACATTAATAATGTTTCACTATGGAAACCTTGGATAAATTAACGTTATTCTCAATGTCACAGGAAAGCATTGCTGCAGAATTTATGGACAGGCTTGTGAAATGGACCAAAAATATTAAAATATCAGATCCATTGGAGGATGAATGCAAACTTGGCCCGCTTATTAGTCGCAGGCAGGTAAGAAATCTACTTTCAAACGGGAGAGCTAACTTCTGGCAAATAATGGATTTTATGAACACCACACTCTGAAGTTATTGCAATGCTATGGGTAAATATTGCATGAAGAAAACTCATACTTTTCTTAGTTTTCTATGATATGGCATGGAAATTAAGAGCCTTTATTAGTTGCTATTAACTAGTCTTATGGTTTCATTGTTTGCTGCTTTAGTTAACTGTCCCCCAACGACTGACGAAAGGAATTGTCCAATTTTAACATTTCAGCATGAGAAGGTGATGAAGATAATCTCTACTGCCCAAAGTGAAGGCGCAACCATTTTGTATGGGGGCCAGCGTCCTGAGGTAAAAGCTTGGAGTGTAGCTTTTAGCCATTGGTTTATTTTGTTAAAATAATTAAAGTACTTTTGGGTAAGAACTTGTTGCACAACTGAATTGCAGCATCTGAAAAAGGGATATTATATTGAGCCAACCATTATAACTGACATAAATACCTCAATGCAAATATGGAGAGAGGAAGTGTTTGGACCTGTTCTTTGTGTCAAAACATTTAAAACCGAAGAGGAAGCCATTGAGCTAGCAAATGATACCCAGTGAGTAACCTCCGCTTATCTGTCTGTTATCAGTCATCAGTATAGGATCAACACTAGACCCCGATATGTTGTTTTGAATCTAAAAAACTTCCCCCCCTGCATAGATACGGATTGGGTGCTGCTGTGTTATCCAAAGATCTCACAAGATGTGAACGACTAACAAAGGTATACATTTTTTTTGTGCTAGATAAAAATAATGTTTCGTTGGTTCTTGGTTGGTGATATAATTACGGGATAATTAGTATTGTGATGATATAAACTATATGCAGGCATTTCAATCGGGTATCGTTTGGATAAACTGTTCACAACCATGCTTTTGGCAACCTCCTTGGGGAGGAAAGAAACGTAGCGGTTTTGGTCGTGAACTCGGGGAATGGTAACACCAATCTAATCCTTTTTCTGCATTTATTTTTGTCGCAACATAAAAGCCAAAAGTTTTTCTCCATCTGGAAGGGCCTTCGCAAAAAACATCATTTGGTTGTTTGCAGGGGGCTAGAAAACTACTTGAATATAAAGCAAGTTACACAGTATGTCTCGGATGATCCTTGGGGTTTTTACAAGTCTCCTTCAAAGCTGTAAAAAAAGGCGGAAATTGTTGGTCTTTTTGTATATGTACTGGTACCTGCTAGTCCGCACTCTTTTTCATAATTTGTCTGCTTTCTTTAATAAGTGTAACAAGCCCTTTTCTGAACGGGATGAATACAAATTTGAAGTTTCTTGGATTCATTAAATGGGAGCAGTGTTGTACTATGTTGCATGGATTCCTCAAATAAGTGCAGCTTCCTGTTCCTAAAACGCCCCTAGGCACTTGGGGGCATCCTAACGCCCAAATCCTTTGTAAAATTTTGAGAAGTTGGTGCTTGTCCGTCATGTTCCCATATAAGTGATCGTCTCTATGCAACTTATGTGCTGTAAATGAACATGACATAACATTCAGCGAATTACTCATGTTTGGGCTTGTTCAGTGTTCTCATTCAGGTTGTTGTTTGGTTAAACAAACGAACCGGAAAAAAAATGTGTTTAAAGACTCGATTGAAATTCACACAAGTCTGTTTGTGAACATGATTGACAAGTGATCATCTAATGTTGCATGGACACACTATCACGTTGACACATAGACATGGTAGTTTTGAAAGGAAAAAAATGACTAGGACTAGATATTGTTTGGACATTGTTATAAAAATATTCGTTCAAATAATTACACAAGAATAATATATTCATTTTATGAACTGTAATCATGTAATAATATATTAGAAATAAATGATTGTTAAATGCGTAGCTATATTAGAGTACTTTGTAAATTTTTTTGGTACGGCAGAGTACTCTGTAAAATATTAAACTAATTTTATCAAGTTTTATTTTAATTTGACACAATTGTAATCCACATGTTCCAAACTTGTTAGCCATCCTCCAAGTGCACGAAAATTTTAGTGGCCAAAAAGTAGGGGAAAAAATTATGTGCTGAAAAGGAATATCCTCTGTGACATGCGTTTATTAAAGCTATCACTGAAGCACTTCCCATATAGTCTTCAGCATGTTTTAAGCTTCCAGATACTTTGCTTGATGAGCTTCATCGAATGACGGTCAACTTTTAGTGGGGACCGCGCGAGAACGAAAGGAAGATGATTTGGATCAGTTGGGATAAAATGACTCAGCCAAAGAATGAAGGGGGTTTGGGGCTAAAAGATCTAAAATCCATGAACCTGGCAATGGCGATTGCTAACTGTGAAAAACTCATTGCTTTTTAAAGTAATCAGTGGCAAATACTTCAAAGATGTACGCTTTTTAAAGGTAAGAGTGGGAAACAATCCTTCCTGGCTTGGCGTAGCATCCTGGAGGGAAGAAAGGTGCTTGAAAAGGGCTGTTACTGGCAGGTGGGAGACCAATCTGCAATTAACACGTGTGACTGTGTGAGGATCCATGGATTCCAAAAGCATACTCTTTTAAGCTTCCACGTGGTTTGCCAAGGAATGATGAACTGCAAACAGTGTCGAGTTTGATGCAAAATGGTTCTTGGAATACACCCTTGCTACTTGAGAAGTTCTTAGGTGAAGTTGTGGATTTAATTCGACAAGTGCAGCCAATTGCAGGAAGTGATCAAAATTTGGTAGAAAAATCATAGTAGCGGGAAATTTTCAGTTTCATCTACATATAAAGTGGCATATGAATTTTATCATCCCCTAGTAAGTACATACCCTGCTCATACGAGGTTAAAGAGGATATGGACAAGTGTATGGAAGATGAAAATTTCACACAAGATGCATGTTTTCGTGTGGCGTGCCCTACACGAGGCTTTACCAGTAAGACTAAATTTGAACAAAAGACTTAACAATGTTAACCCTTCAATTGTAGCTCTTGGTGGATGGACATCATCAATCTTGCTCAACATGATGTAGATCATGTTGGGAAGTGTTCTTTAATAACCATTGCCTAATCTCTTCTTCTTGTTCTGCAATCTTTGCTGGAACTTTATATTTATAATACATCACCTGAACCACCGTTTCTGTGCAGCAGATATGGGGTGTTCAAGAAGAGAAATGCTAGAGTCACAACCTTGCCATTTGTGCACCTCACTAAATGAATAAAATGGTGTTGAATAATTAAAAAGTGAACATTTCAATACATAAATGGTAAGTTTGTGTATTTTGTGACCGAAATGCTTGTGACTCTAGCATTTCTCGTTCAAGAATGGGGCATATCGATGAACTAGAGGAATAACAAGCCTCCCAATCTTTGACCATACACTCTGATGGTAACCAGCTGTTGTGGGTGCATGATACATGAGTTTTAGTAGCTTCCAACAAGAAAGTTCAGTCTATGGTAAGAATATTGATTTACTTTGAAAATCTTCCAACTTGGGTCACACATACTATTAGACTATCCAACTGTTGGTACTGAGTTTAAAATTTTTTGTGGTGGAAATGAATTCAAGTTTGTTTTAAATGAAAATTTAAGGTTTTGTTAATTGCATTTAAATTTGAATGTGTTCAATACATGATGAACATCAGGTGGTTTACATAATGGCATATAATAAAAGTACTCCCTAGTTATTTTAGTTTTTCTTTTAATTGATTGGTGGATGGTGGACACATCTAGGACATGATGTTAAGAAACAAAACTATATGGAGTAAGAAACTAGTACAAAGCAATGTTTCTGTAAGAAAGTCAGAACTTCAGAATACAAAGTTAGTTAGTCAGAACTAACAGTTAGTTTGTCTCTTCCTTGCCACTTCAGAATACCACGAATTCCACGCTTCCGTATAGTGAGAAAACAGGTCTCTTAAAGCTGAAACATCATACAACAAAAAAAGGTAATTCCATTACGAGGTTGCCAATAGCTAAATGCAAGGTTGAAAGTTGGAACATGCAATCATATATGTTGTGTATGTATATCTCACCTTGGTTGTGATACTCTAATGTAGATCCTAAACTTTCAAGGTCGCTAATCACTTTGGACCTTTCACTGTTCTCGAGAGGTTCAACTTTGGGTATAGTTGAAGTAGGAGAAAAGGGACCAAAATGAAAACCATTAGCACTTGTGCCTGATCCAGTATCCAGATTGGCTTCACAATCCACACTCTCATGTTTGATTTGGGCTTGTGGTTTTATTGCACCACCATCTACTGAGGAGGTCAGTTTGCTCCTCTTGATTGATTGCATGTTTGTGAGATCAGTCCCAAATGCCCTTTTCTTGGATTGATGCTGATGATGATGATCAAAACCCAAATTATGGTCTGAAACATTAGCTGTTGTGATTTCTGCTACGCCACTCAACCCCAGCCATCTAAAAGCAGGCTTTCTTGTTTCCGGGTGTTGAGTCTGCTCATTGAAAAAGAGATAGATTAGCTTTTCTATTACGGCGTACAATGTTAAGAGCTTAAGTCTACATGCCAGCCAAAACTCTATGAGTTACCTTCTCAATGAATTTCATTGAGGACAGCACATTGGCAATATCATACAGTCTTCTAACTTTATCTGCAAATTAAAAAAAATGCAGGTTAGCTCTATGATACAACAGATATGAATCAACTATCAATGCCACACAAGTCTAGTTTGGGGGGATAGGAAATAAAGATTCATTACTTTTGGTCATAGACGGAGACTTGCCATCACCCAACAGTATCTTTGCAGCATCCTCCAGGCAAATCATTTCTATCTGTAGGAGGAGCAATAAACACTAACATGAGGATCATGGTGTAAGGACTTATCCTCTTCTTTTTTTTGTTGAAACACTTTCAGAAAGCAAAGAGAAAATGAACAATTTTGCAAAATGACTTCAAACTCACATCAGTGCAGATAAAAAGCTTGATGAAATTTTGTGTGAGAAGCCCCAAAGATTTCTCCTTTCTATTTTTGTCTGTAACATGTTTATAACATAGGTAAGGCAAACAAGAAATGAAGCTAAACAGTTTGTGTCAGCATTGATATGGAATCAAAAATACCAAGTCCAGCCACCGATGAGAAGTCTGGTTTTTCATCCTGACCGGTAGCACAATCGATTGATTGATGCAAATCACCTTCCTTGTCTGAAACCTGGTAGGGTAAAATGAAATAGTACATCTTAGACTCTTAGTGGTGGCAATAATTCTGGAAACAATTTATCCCAAATCAAGTCGTTGAAGAACTAACTTGCAATGCAAAATTTCCATCAACCGCGAACATCCTCTCTCTAATCCCTTCTTCCTGTTTCATTATTCAAATTACTGATCATTAAAAGAGAATAATATGAAAGAAATCAACACTTAAAGTTCAAGCAGCAAGCAAATTATGCCCAAAAAAGGCACTAGTACCTTCAGATCCTGGAGAGCTTTTGGGACAACTGCAAATCCTCTCCACGTATATCTATTCTTGGCCCTTCTCGCAAGAACCTGAATCCATCCAAGTGAGAATTTACAAAAATCATTCAATCGGTTCAATTTCCTAGATGCAAATCTAGATCTGACCAAATTAATAATAGCATCTTACACCAACGCTTTCCAGAACGTTCACAATATCATATATCCGCCTCCTCTCGACCCCTAACTGCGTTGCTGCATCATCAAGCCCTATGGTTTCAACCCCTTCTCGGTTGTACAAGCTCAAAAAACTGAATAGAAATCCAGACGGCAGGCACATTAGAGTGAGGTATTCAGACACAAAAGCAAATNCGAGAGATTTCTGTTTGCGGGAGTAGCCCGATCCAGAATCCTTGGAAGCCATTTCAGGGTGGATTCAGATAATGGCTGTGCGCGCAGAGTGGACTGAGTGATTGGAGCTTGGAGACGGAGAAGAAGGAGGGGGCGGCGGCGGCGGAGGCGTCAAGAAGAAGGGTTAGCTCGTCGTAGGTGAGCAGCAATGGCGGGTGGGAGAGGAGGGTTTTTTTTCATTTCAAAGTTTCGAATTGGTTCATCTTTTCAAGCGGGAATTTGAATCCGGTTTCTCTCTTTCACTTTTACTCCGCATTTGACTATTCTCCATGCCCGCGCCTCTCCAACGGCTTCCCTTTTTTATTCTCTCAAATCCCTTTTTAGTTTTCTCTGTTTTATTGTTCGCCTCCGGTAAGGCGGTAATTAAAAAAAAGGGAGATGCCAGGGTACGGTACAGGTCTACCCTAAATGTAAACCACCTCATTTTTTACCATTAATTTTATTTTGTTTTTTTTTTATTTTTTTTTTTGAATTTTACTTGCCTTTTACGATTACATATTTCATGATTTACATTGGCATAAAATGCTAGTATAATCAAAAAAATTTACATCGATATTTTGTGTCATTGTAAATCTTTACACTAACATATAATATTGATGTACGTATAACTTTTGGGCTAAAAAATGCACAAATGCACAATTTGTTTATCAAAGATTGAAATTTTAAAAAATGAATTTAGGTAGTTGAAAGTGTTCTAAATATAAATGAATTATACGAACAAAAAAACTTTTCTGTATTGATACTCCATCCGTAAAGATTGCCACGATTTGATTTCTTGGATAAAACTGTGGCACCATTTGACCATAAATTATGGAAAAAGTATATTTAGTTATTATGTAAATTAGTAAAATTAGGTTCATTTTAAAATATACTTTTGAAATATACTCCCTCTGTCCCTCATAGATCTTCTCAATAGCCCGTTTTCTTTGTCCACAATAGATCTTCTCATTACATATTTTAACAATTAAAATACCACAACTACCCCCACTTACTTTATTTATTACACCTCACCCACCTCATTTAATACACTCCACCCATTTTTCATTAAGGGTATTATGGTAAACTTTCACCTTTTTTCAACTCTCCTTAAAAACCACCAAAAGTCAAAATGAGAACATCTTAGGGGGACGGAGGGAGTAATATTTTTATAATATTTAATTATTTTAAATTATATTTAATTTATGATAAAAAAAAGTGTGACCAAGACTTTCCCCAACCCGCCCAAATTATAATTACATAGTTAGGGAGTACAATTTTTCTAAATAGAATAAATAGAAAATAGAGTAAATTAATTAGGTTTCATAAAGTAGTCGAGCATACCACTAATGTTGCATTTAAGAAAGTTTTTCAAACTATTTGAAGGATGTTGTAATGGTCAATTCTTTGTTTTCATCAACACGTGTCATTCGTAATGTATTAATAATAATAATGTTTTAATATCATTTAGTCCGTTTCTCCTTATCAATAATCTATTATCTAGAAATATTATCATTATCTTTGGAATTTCTTAAGGTATATAATTAAATTTTTTATCCTTATTAATTAAACTCTTAATTAAATTTTAATTAGTGACAAATATAATAACGAAATGCTCCCCGTGCATCGCACGGGTACGATGCTAGTTTTTCTAAATAGAATAAATAGAAAATAGAGTAAATTAATTGGGTTTCATAATGTAATAAAACAGTCATATGTATAATTTGGTTTTCCGTCTGCTCATTTTTTTTTTCAAAAAAAAAAAACAAGAGAAGGAGAGAGGATGCATTCATCTATACGCACCTCAATATCAACGGGAGAGTTTAGCTATGAAATAAATTTAACTTCAAAATCATACGCTCTCTCACTCGTCCTAAAAACACTTTCTGTTTGCTTTTTTACTCCTTTCCTGAAAATGTTCTTCACATTCATTTTTTTCACACGGTCAAATTTTAATCACTTTCTTTACCTATATTCATTAGATATTTGATAAAATAATATAGTTATGTCACCACTTATTTTATAGAACTTTTGATGTAGTTTTTAAATATATAAATTTTATTTTTTTATTTCACACCTACAATCAAAAAAATTGAATTGAAAATAAAGTCGGTCAAACCTCGTAAACAGAACCGGGAAGAACATTGTAGGACGGAGGGAGTATTAAAAAGTGACAGCTTTTTACCATAATTTGTGAGAAGGGTATATTTAATTATAATATAAATTTTATATAATTGAGCTCATCTTATGAAAAAGTTTTGATATATCAATATTTTATAATATTTATTTATTTTGATTATGTTTAATTTATGATTAAAAAATGCCACTATTGAAGTGTCACTGTTTGACTAAAAAATTTAAAACATGAATGATTTTTAGGACCGAAAAGAGTATAATTGATAAATAACTAAAAAAAATCATACTCTACAGTTGATAAAGAGTGATGGTTAACTTGAGTAGTTACAAAAACTCATGTTGAGGATGGATATCATGTAGATCACATTTTAGACCCTATATATATATATATATATATATATATATATATATATATATATATATATATAGATATATATATATATATATATATATACATACATACATACATACATATATATATATATATATATATATATATATATATATATATATATATATATATATATATATATATATATATATATATATATATATATATATATATATATATATATATATATATATATATATATATATAGGTTCAGGTGAGAATGCAATCTAATGAAAGAAATAAGAATGAATCTGGTGCATTAGATTGGGAGATCTAAGGGTTAGGATTGCATCAAAACTAGGTGCACCAAAATGGTTTAAAAATGCATCATGTCGAAATGCACCATAATCCTTTGAAAATGCACTATCTCAAAATTTGAGTGCAGAATGCAATCTGAGCCGCACGATGCATCAGATCCAAAGGCCAGATTTTATTCTTATTTCTTTCACCAAGGTGCATTCTCACTTGAACCAGCCCACACACACACACACACACACATATAATACAACAGGTTGTACGATATTTCTTATACATTCGTAGTGAATACTCATTTTCAAACAATCGAATATTCATTTTCGAATAACAAAATACTCATACTTCTAAATTTCAGTTATATTCGTAAATGTGTATTCACTTACTCGAAAATGAATATTCCATTACTTAAAAATGAATATTCAATTACTCAAAAATAAATAATCAAACAAATGTATATGAAACGTAGTACATCTGGATGTATGGTATATGTACTCTGTTTCATTTTAGATGATTTTGTGCAATATATTATTTTGGGAAAAGATTTTTTTTAAAAAAGCAAACCCAATAAAATGATTACTCAAATCAAACGGCAAAGCATCAACAATCAAATCCAAGCCAAGTTTGACACCATAGATAAGATTATTGTGCACGAAGCAATAAAAGCCCCCAAGAATGGCAGGCAACAGGCTCTCTTCAGGTAAGACCAAAAAAAAAAAAAGAAAATCGATAGTGTACAAATCCAAGCCAAGTTTGTCCTTAAACTCTGTCACAGAGTGTACAAATACTAGAAAACATTTCACTGATGAATTTATAGTATAGCCAATCCATGACCAACCAAATAAAGACCTGTCCATACATTCTTCCAGGGAAATTACAGTTAAACTAGCCTCCAGTATTTTTTTTACTTGGCAATTGGCACATCTATTGAGTCTCAAACATTCTCCAACCCTATCCATTACCAAAACCATATGCTTCAAATTCAGATAAAGCACAAAATGTGCCACACCAAGCAAGCACTGTAAGAAAATAATCTCCTTTTGCAAGAACAATTTCATTTCTGAAAGCAAACAGAAAACAGGAAAGGAAAGTATGTTTCTGTTGAAAGTTTGAGCTTTTCAGCTAAGAACAAAGGCCAAGAAGGTTAGGAGAACATTTGTTGTAAAAGACCAAAACAATGCATATCAAAGAGAACTTTATTGATATGACAAAGTGCAAATTCAAGCTACCAAAGAGAACCTTATTGTAGTCCAAATCCACATATTGAATTTCTATACCGCCAACTTACCTTACTACACCCGCAACCCTCTATGGCCATCCACAACACATCAACATAAGGGAATCGGAACAATTCCACACAAGGATCTTTCTTTCTTTATAATGCCCTATTTTTCACTACCATGAAAAATCAGTCTAAACAAGAGAGTAAAGACCACACTTTTGTAAACAATGGAAACAAGGAACTGACACACATGAGATTCTTCCTTATGGCCTTGAAATCATTGTAAAAGATCGAGACAGCCGGAACGAGGATGTGCTGCCCCCAACCTCGTCATACTGCTTCCTGCAACCGGGGCACCGCCCATCCTCCTCAAGGATCCTCTTGTGACAGAAGAGGCAGAGCCTAAACCCACACAAACAAGGGAGAAAACTCGTGTCCGTGAAATCCAAATCTTCACAGCATATAGGGCACGATTTGGGTGCTGATGACATATTCCCCCAAGCAGACCCTCGCCGCTCAGTATTCATGGGAAAACTATACTGCTTGGATAGACTGGGAAGGGACTGAGGACGAAATGCATCATCATGCCTCCATGCTCTGCATTTTGCCTTTGTATTATCGTCTTTACCGGTCAGCTCTGACTGTGAGCCTGATGGATTGCCATTATCGTTCAAACCCAAGCTAGAACTGTGGCCATCTGTGTGTTTCTCATCCGTGACAGCCAAAGCATCAGCTATGGCCTCCCAGTCATCCAGACACCCATCATTCCCTTCTTCTTCTTCTTCTTCACTCATATTCCCTGACCAACATTGGCTGCTGTTGCTGCTGCCGCTGCTTCCGGTGAAGTTTGTACTGGAATAATTTCCACCCAAGTCGCTACTTGAATAGTTTGTGGGACTGTTAGCAGGAGAGTCCAAATCACTGTAATTGTGAATCGAACCTTCATTGTCTTCTTCCACCTTCCTGGGGTTTATCTCTAACTTATTCATACATGGAGCCCTATCGTTCTCATCTTTCACACTCCCACAACGCCCTCCTAGACAATCCAGCTCCTCCTTTGTCCCCTTATTCTTCACTATAAGAAAACCCAAAATCTCAAAATCAACAAAAATACAAGAAATGCAAAAAATATGGATAAAAATGACAGAAAAATAGGACAATCGAAACACAATAGAAAAAGAGAGATCTGGGACATACCCTGGGAAAGCCACTGTTCACGCCGGGCATCAAGCTTGTACTGCTTCAACTTTGCTGAACGATGGGCCTAAATTCCGGGAAAAATGTAGAAAATAAACAAATACGATCCGATCACATCAAGAAAATCATAAAGAAAATGAAGAACGCAATTAAATGAGAAGAAATAGCACGAAACAATCAGCCGGCGAACAAGAATTGAAAAAATACCTTCTTTTTCTTGGCTAAATCCTTAGGGTTAGCAGCGGCCATCGGGATCGAAGCTTTGGTAATTGAATCGGAAATCATGGCTGCAAAGACGGATTCCTGAGTCGGTGAATCGACGAGAAACCCTATTCTCAACACGAAAGGGGAAAAATGGGAAAACTCAGAAATTGTGCTATTAGGGATCGGAGAAATTTCGAGAGTGACGAACCACACACAGAAACAGAGGACAACGGAAACTATATATATACACACTCTCTAAAAAAAAATGTCTTGCCCGATTTATAAATTAAAAAGAAATATCCGTTTCCAAGAATATCCTTGGAACCGTACATTATTTCCAATGCAACCAAAGGTTTTGGACTGAAAAAAAGTAAAACGACGTCGTAAGATTTGGGCTTGCTCTTATCGTTCATAATCGGCCAAACTTTACACTAGTTGGGCCGAGTTCGGTGAACCTGTTTTGGGCAGGCCAAAATTATTTCTTTTTCTCAGAATTTTGAATTTTGAATTTTTGTATTCCAAATTTTAGATTAAGCTTTTCAATTTAGAATCTATAATTTTTTCTTTTTAAAATAACCAAGTATATCATTATATTATAATTTTTACAAGGGTAGTAGTTTTTACCAAATAATTAAATAAATATATCGATATGTTGATTATATGTTTTTGTACAAATAACAAAAAACGATTGAAATTATTACCTTAAACTATAAAAATATTTATTTTTGTATATATTTACATTATATTCTAGAAAATATATTTTTCTATCATAATTATTTACATAAATATTCATAACATATTTGTTTGACTAAATGTATTTTTTATACGAAGTATTAAATAAATATAGTGTGAAAACTCATATCCCGGAGTATTATTTTATATAATTGTAACTTTCTTTACATAATGATATGGATCGGATAATATTTTACTAATAAACTTATTGTGGTAATTCTATTTGAATGGCCACGAAAGACATTGTCCTAATTGAAATATCTACGATGTTTCATTCGTAAAATTAATACTTCATACATCTATTATGCCTTTTGGTAAATTTGACACAGTCTTTACCCCTAAATGCACCATCAATTTTTTCTAAATATCAGAATTTATTCCACTTTAACCTGTCTAGCTTCTAAAAACATAAATTCCTTTTTTTGGAGAAAATAAATTCATAATTTTCATTTTTACAAAATATTTCTACAACTTCAAGTCTTCAACAAATACACGGCATACCGCATACACGGATAGGCGGCGAGTTGCCGGGAATAGAGTCGCCTGTTGTTTAAAATGGCGCGATGGAGTGGATACGACGTCGTATTTCTCGAAAGGCTTATGACGGTTCCACTAAAAAAGATGAACGGGCCACGCTCCCACAAAAGCAAAAAAGAAGAAAAGAACGAGAGAGAGAGAAACTCTCTAAAACCGGCCACCGCTAACCGCCGCGGCGATGCTGCAGGAAATTCCTCCGGCGCCACCACCACCACAGCCCTGAAGTGTGATTATTTTCCGTCGATCTCCTAATTGATCCTCTTTCCGGCTCCGAGAAATGTCGGCAACAAGCAAGCAGAAACAGAGTCAAGCACGAGAGCTGAAGCACCGCGTGCTGACGTGCATCCACAAACTCTCCGACCGGGACACGTATTCCGCCGCGGCCACCGAGCTCGAGTCGATCGTCACCACTCTGTCTCCGGACACCATTCCTATCTTCCTCTCATTGATCTCAGCCACTGATTCCTCCGACAAGTCTCCCGTCCGCAAGCAATGCCTCCGTCTTATCTCGCTGCTTTCTGAGGTGCATGGAAACAGCCTCTCCCCTCATCTGTCCAAACTCCTCTCCGCCGTGGTCCGCCGCCTGCGCGATCCCAACTCCTCCGTCCGTTCCGCCTGCATCGCCGCCTGCGGATCCATCTCCTCGCACATTACCATGCCTCCGTTCTCCTCCATCGCCAAGCCGTTCCTAGAGGCGCTGTTCACGGAACATGAAATGAACTCCCAGATCGGCATCGCCTTATGCTTGTCGGCAGTGATTGAGGCGTCTCCAGATCCGGATGCAGCATACCTGAGGAAGCTGATGCCGCGAATCGAGAAGCTATTGAGATGCGAAAGCTTCAAGGCTAAGGCGGCGCTTCTCACCCTGATCGGCAGTGCAATTGGCGTTGGAGGCGCTTCTAACCAACTGGTGGTGAAGAATTTAGTGCCGTGTTTGGTAGGATTTGTCAATAGCGATGATTGGGCTGCGAGGAAGGCCACTGTGGAGGCTTTGCTGAGGCTCGCCGTGACGGAGAAAGAAATGTTGACGGAGTTTAAGGGAGCTTGCGTGAAGGCTTTAGAGGCCAAAAGATTCGATAAGGTATAGCAGCATATTGAAGATTGAGTTAGTCAGGATCTTGGCCAATACAGATCAAATTTTGTTCGATTTGTGGATCCAAGTTGATTTGTGGATTGAAGATTCACTTTTTGATCGAGTTAATGATTTTTGTGATTGATGACGTAGGTGAAGGCAGTGAGGGAGACAATAGATCAGACGCTGGAGGCGTGGAAGGAGATTCCTGACTCGAATGATGGTGTTTCACCTCAACTCAAATCATCTTCCTCATCCAAAGGTATCCCATTCCACCAATCTGTTTTCCAGATTCCTTAAATTCCTATAAAGTTATGGATACTACTTTTTCTAAATGAAATGGTAAGAGATCTTTATCCTTTAAATCCTTGCCTAGTAACTGTAACTGTTATCCAAGGGGTAATTTGTTTCATTCTGCAAAAAATTATGGATTCAGCACACCATTTGGTATATTTTTCATATCAATTTGCCGATTGGAAATTGCGTTCCTTTGTTTACATCTTTCTGCATATATCAGGTGATATAAATTCTGCAACTTTTCTTCCTTAACTTTGTTCGGAAGTAAAGTTTATCACTCATGGTGGAAGCCTTTGTGGATTTGGCTCGTCCCAATTTGCTCTCCTTTCATTTAATTTCTGCAGCTTTTCAACACTCAGGTTATCCCTAATAAAACTAAATCTATCTTTCATCTATACCATTGGTACAGAAAAAGCTAGCGATGGGTATTATCAACCAGGCTCCATGGTTTCGCGCAACATGAGTTCTGGTGCTCCAAATATTAGAAAAAGATATACCACTCCAATCAAGTCGCATGTAACTGATAATAGCTCACCTGCTGCTACAGCTAGGAGGAGAAGTCTTCAAGAGGGTACTCAAAAGAAATCCGCTTCTGCAATATTTCGCAAACTTGATTGCAAGAAGACTTATGAAGTAGAGGTTGAAGTTACTGCACCTCAAGGCACTCCACCTGAAGTTTCACGGGATGAATTGAAATATAGAGATGTGAATGCTACAAAACCAGAAACGAGAAGAGCCCTGTTTGGACAGAAAAATGCAGGATCTCGTGTGGTCCCATGTAATGAAGAGAGATCTGAGCATACCACCACTGGCATGGGTAGTGAAACAGGGGAGCCTCACAGGAACCAAAAAGAGTATGAAGAGCTCTCTCAGATTCAGAATCAACTAGTTCAAATTGAAAAGCAGCAGTCCAAGTTGTTAGATATTGTCCAGGTAACTTGTGTTAGACAATGTTACCCTTTCCACTTTCCCCACCATTTATCTCAACCATCTAGGCTATTACTCTACTATGCCTTTGAAAAAGCCAAGGAAATTAAAGAACATAGTTTTTTTTTTTTGGGGGGGGGGNACCAATTTAAACATTTCTTTTCAAACTCATTTTAATTACATCATTGATTTTTCTTTGTTGTTTTCAAACAAATTTGCAATTATTTATAACTATGACAAAAGAATAAATGCAATGTGCATACATCCATACACATCCCCAATGGCTATGGTTATCATTTTCCATATTTCTATTATATAAAGATTGTGACCTAACTTTAGAACTATTTTCTGCTGCTTACCTTTACCTGCTTTCCAAACATAGAATCTTTGTAGAAGGGCAATCTACTAGTTTACTACAGGAAAATATTATTTTTCTTCTGGATTTAGTTCACTTTCTTAAAAAACTCATATTTTAAGAAATCAGTTTGAAATGTCAAATAAGCCTTTCAAATCATACCTTATTTCTAGGATATCTTAGCCCATTCATCATAATATTTCTTATCAAATATAATGTGGACAACTAAATTCAGGCATAGGGAATACTTTGAAGTGATTGTTTTTGGGAAAAAAACAATACTAATTATCATCATGTCATTGTTAATCCAGAAATTCATTGGGAGTACACAAAGCGGAATGCATTCTTTAGAGACACGGGTTCGTGGCCTAGAGTTGGCATTAGATGGGATCTCTAGAGACTTGGCTGTGTCAACCCGACAACAAACATCACCGAAGAGAAAGACTGGATTCACGTGTTGCAAGCTACCCGGTGCAGAGTTTTTGACCTCAAAACCTTGGAAGAGGACGGGAAGAACTTTGTCCTCGCGGTTCTCACAGGTTGCTTCTACTGCTGCACAAACTAAAGCTGGTGTGAGTGAAGGTTTGAGGGCAGAGAGTAGGAGGTTCGGATTCCAAGGAAGCCATGGGTTTATCTTAAATCCATTGGCCCATGAACCTCAACAGGGAGACTGTGAGGCTTCCACAAGTGGCGTCTAAAACAATGTGGACTTTGTCATGTGGAGAGAAAGAGAGTACATATATCTATACAGATAGTACTACGTATTAGAGCTATGCTAGTAGTTTCTATCATTATCTTGTTGTTTTTCAGTTGAACTAAACACATGTTACTGCCCCATCCATCATACACACATTCCCTTGCGGAATGTTATGGTCAAGGTGTGGGTGGTTTGAAGAAATAATGTCCTTGTTTCTAATTTTCTGTACCCCTTGCATTTTGTTTGTTCAGTGCCTTTAAACAAGTAACTCCGGACCTTCAAAAACGTAGAGATGACTGAATCAGAGCGGAGGGAGTATATAACATTTGAGTGATTGGCAAAGTGCATTCCCTTTTTCATTGAAACTCGCGAAAAAAGAAGGCAAAATCATAATGGTATAAATTCGAATGATGGGCGAAGAATGAGAAGACGTATATATAGTAGAGAAACATTTTATGCAACAAAGGAAGGTACAGAAGTATACAAAGAAGTTTATATACTTCCACCACGTAATGTAAAAAGCCTCACAACAAAACAGATTGGATCTCATCATGCAATTTGACATCTTCTTCACTCCTCCTCTTAGGGGGTAACTA